CCATCGCGGCTCTTCATAAAAAGCACATGCGTCCTCTACAGTGAATGGAAACTCCCACAATACCGCGTTCCCCATATTCGCTTATTCCGCGTTACAACGGATTTCCCTGCAAAACTACATGTTTACCCCAGGAGCCCGATTTCCTGGGGCAAAGGATCTGATGTTACACCTTCCCCACGATGAGCGGGGTTGATCCGCAAGCTTTCAACATGCAACGATGACAACGACTTTCCGAATATTGCGGGACTACCCAGCTTCAACCCCGCGACTCAGCGCTGGGGCCGAATTCGTGTTCCGATCCTGAATTGAGGTAACACAAGCCCAGCTTGCCGTTGTACAAGCACCAATGCAGGAACCGTGTGATCTAGGTATAGAATACGCGCCATAAAGAATCCCATTAGGACTTTGCGACATTCATGGATTCTGGACCATCATCGGAATCCGGGCGGGCAAGTACATGGGTACGCGCATGAACTTCTCGATGATCGCCGCCGGGATTTAATCTTCAGACATGCGTGCCTATTTGATGTTGATCGCGCAACAGCGCCATACCTCCCGCTTCGGCGCTGACTTTGAATCAGGACGGAGGAGAAGCTTATAAGTCGGGATATTAACTTCGAGGAAGCTTCGGTCAAGTTGCTCATTTGAGTCGACTTGAGTATTATACGCCAAAGCCACGAAAAGGAGGGAAACATACTGGAACCAAGGCCACGTTAGACTCACCACGAGACCATGTGCGTTAGACCGACCGAAAGCCGGGTGTAGCACCTAATCCGGCATTGGGAATCGCCTTCTCCTTGTCGTTCGTTGGTCACAGTGTCGTGGAGTTACCATCAGACCGCGCGCAATTTCCATCACGGGTTCCCATCCACGAACAAAAAAAAAGATATAAAAAAAATAAAAATAAAAAGAAAAAAAAAAGTAAAAAAAAGCATCGTGACATGCACGAGATGAAAAGCCAAGAAAGCACAAACAAGCCCGCACCGAGCAAGGGAGAAAAAAAAAATGCAACAACACACGTACCTGATTTGGGGATTTGAGTGCAAGCCTCTTTCTCTCCTCTCTGAGCAGGTGATAAACAACCAGGCCAAAAAGCAATATTTGTCGACCGCATTCTCGCCAGGAAGAAACTTTGAGCTATGTGCGTCAAGCAATGTAGGTCTTGAGTCGGTCTCCATTGGTTGAGCAGGCCGGACATCGGAATGTGTGAACGTGTGGTGGGTGTTGATGTGTCTCACCCCTGTCATCACTTAAGTCCGCCGCCGACCCCTGTCCTCATTCATAGGGTACTCCCTTGTCACTAATCTTAACTCCCTTCTTTATTCCCCATTAGCACCGATGAGTCTTTTCGGGAATAGCTTCCCTTCGGGCTTCATGGCTTGGGATGGCTTGTGACTGCACTGGCTGGCCTATCCCTGGCTAAATGACAGGCGAATGGATCTCGAAATTTCGAGTGTCGCGTGGTAGTGTAGTGTAGATGATGAAAGTGACTTACCTTGCGCACCGAGTACTATCGATGAATGAGAGAGATGTGAAATAAGCAAAGGTATCGGATGCGATTGATTGAATACCCTTGGGAAGGGATACAGAGAGGCCTTGGCCGCTGAAAGCTGAACAACAAACACGTGAAGAGAGTTGCATGCGAATTGCTTTTCCTCCTTCTTTTTCCCCCGAGAGGATGTGAACATGCAGGGGTGGTTGGAGGTGATCGACAATCGCGCACACCATCACAGGCTAAGTGCCCGAGGTGCGGTGGACGGGACCTGCATTCATTGTCACCATGCCACAATCTGAGGTGGTCTTGTTAGGCATGGAGCTGAGATTTGTATATCATATCTCTGCTCCGTTACCACGGCGACTGCCCTGCCATTGGAAATCCGGCCTATGCGATGCTCCATGCCCATGTCCTCATCGTCTTGAATTCCACTCTTCGACAATCCGCGATTCCGAGATCGAACATTGCTGGGCCTTCCTTCCCCATGGGCAAACCACGCGCATCAGTAACCCGCTGAATCTCCTTTAAAGCCATGTAAGATCCGCCGCCTTCCCCCGTTTTGATGAAGAGCATCCTGAGATCGTCTTCTTGTCTTTACCAGGAGTAAGGGCATCGTTTCTTCATGCTGATCAGATAGTTCCCTCAACGCATCCAGTCACTCTTTGCACACTTCTTCAGGATGCGCAGCCACTCGTTCTTTCCCGCCCTGATAGGGCTTCTCCCTCTCGTTCCAGGTTCGGGTGTAGCTGCCTCTCCCTGCCGCCCGCACGGTCCCCACAACGGCGGCGTAAGCCATGCCCATGGTCCCGGAGGAGGCTCTCATGATGGAGCTGGCAATGGCCATGGCGGTGGTCATGGCGGACCCCCGGGATATCCTGCCAATGGAAGCCCTGGTCATCCCCCGTTTCACGGCAACGGTACCCACGGTGGTTTTCCTCCGTATAATGGCAACGGCAGCTCACCCATAACCACTACCACTACAACCACCACCACCACCACCACCACCGACATCTCCACCACCACCGACGTCACTACCACCACCGGCACCACCACCACCAACCCGACCACCACAACTGCCACCACCACATCTACTGCCAGCCCGACTGCTTGCAGCGACTACTGGCTCGAAAACATTGCTCACCAGGGCCTCGCTCCCTATGCCATTCCGGGCTATAGTGTCTTCCGTAGCGTCAGGGACTTTGGCGCCAGGGGCGATGGTATTAACGATGACACCGACGCCATCAACGCCGCCATCAGCTCCGGTAACCGGTGCGGCCCGGGATGCGATGGTTCCACCACGAGCCCAGCTCTCGTCTACTTCCCGCCTGGCACGTACCTCGTGTCCCGTCCCATCATTGACTACTACTACACCCAGATCATCGGCAACGCGCGATGCCCGCCCACGATCAAGGCCAGCGGCAACTTCACCGCTAACTGGGTCATTGACAGCAACCCATACCAGAGCAATGGTAACCTAGCCTGGGGCTCCACCAACGTCTTCTGGCGCCAAATTTCCAACTTGATCATCGACATGACCGCTGCGCCACCACCCACGGATCCTAACGCCCCAGGACTGGCAGGTATTCACTGGCCTTCCTCGCAGGCCACTTCTCTTTCCAACATCGAGTTCAGGATGTCTCGGGACATCGCTACAACGCAGCAGGGCATCTTTATCGAGTCGGGATCGGGTGGTTACCTCGGCGACCTGACCTTCAACGGTGGTCGCTATGGTCTCCAAGTTGGTAACCAGCAGTTCACCATGCGCAACCTGGTGTTCAACAACGTCCAGACTGCCATTCGGCAGATCTGGTCCTGGGGTTGGACGTACCAAGGCATTAGCATCAACAACTGCCGCGTTGGTTTTGACTTTACCTCGATCAGCGACGATCCCACGTCATTAGGTCAATACCAGGTCGGCTCCATCACCATCCTCGACAGCTCTATCAGCAACACGCCTACCGGCATCCTGATTGGTAATGCCAACGGCGCGGACACGCGGTCCGTCAACAACTTCATCTTCGAGAACATCGCGCTCAACAACGTGCCTATCGCCATCCGCGATCTGAACAACGGCGGCATCGACCTTGCCGGCACGCCCGTCAACACGGTCATCCACGCCTGGGGCAGGGGCAACGAGTACAACACGGCCACCGCCCAGAACAACACTGCCGGCACTCCCATCGCGGGCACATTCACTCCCTTCGCGCGTCCTGCCAGCCTGCTGACTTCCGACGGCCGCTACTACGCTCGCTCCAAGCCTCTCTACTCTGAGTTGCCGGCCTCCTCCTTCCTAAGTGCGCGCTCTTTCGGCGCCGTTGGCAATGGCCAGACAGACGATACCGAGGCGCTCAACCAGCTCTTTACCGCCGCCGCCGAACAGGGTAAGGTCGCCTACATCGACCACGGGCAGTACATCGTGACGAGCACCGTCTTCATCCCGCCAGGTACCCGCATCACGGGCGAGTCGTACCCACAGATCGTCTCAGCTGGTCCATTCTTCAACAGCGTCGCCAACCCCCAGCCTGTCGTGCAAATCGGTACTGCAGGTCAGCTGGGCAGCATCGAATGGTCTGACACCATCGTATCCACGCGCGGACGGCAGGCTGGCGCCATCGGTATTCAGTACAACCTCGCCAGCGCCGGTTCCGAGCAACCTTCGGGCATGTGGGACGTGCACGTCCGCATCGGCGGGTTCATGGGGTCCAATTTGCAGCTGGCGCAGTGCGCCAAGACCCCCGAGATTAACGCCAATCTTCCTGGCAACGTTAAACCGAACTGCATCGCCGCGTTCATGAGCATGCACATCACCGCCCTGTCGTCCGGTCTTTACATGGAGAACTGCTGGTTGTGGGTGGCGGACCACGACATCGAGGATGAAGCCAACAACTCGCAGATTTCCGTGTACGCCGGCCGCGGCCTGCTGATCGAGTCCCTCGCCGGCCAGATCTGGTTGGTCGGCACCGGCGTCGAGCATCATCAGATGTACGAGTACCAGCTTTATAACACGAACGACATCGAGATGGGCCAGATCCAGACCGAAACGGCGTACTACCAGCCCAACCCGGATGCGCGGTTCCCGTTCCCTCTCGATGAGCGGTTCCATGATCCTTTGTTTGGACCCGGCGAGGATGGCTGGGGTCTGAGGATCGTGGATAGCGAGGGTGTTAGAGTGTATGGTGCGGGCTTGTACAGCTTCTTCAACAACTATGATCAGTCGGTGTGCATCGACGGTAAAAACTGCCAGAGGAACATCTTTTCGCTGGAGGGGACGAATGATGTCTCGGTGTATAATCTGAACACGGTGGGCACGACGTATATGGCGACGGTGGATGGGATGGATATCATCCCGGCGGCGGATAACGACGGCATGTTTGTTGATTCTGTTGCGTATGTCCACACCGCTTCCGCTTGAAAGAGTTGGACTTGAGAGGGTTTAGGAGGGACGGATTGAAGTTGGGTATTCATTTCGAGAGTTGTTTGTTGGTTAGATTACTGCTGGCCCAAGGGTTATGAAGTGATGACTAGCTACTTTACTATAACGAATGTCAGTCTTTGGAATTCTTGAATCTTTGTGATGCTGTCTTTTCACTTTTTCGTGCTATGGACCTGCCTGGGATAAGTGGACTGCAATATGGCTGTAAATTGTGATTGATCCTAGTTGAACAGCTAGGAGGGGAACAGCTAAGAGGAAGAAAGTGACGTGTATTAAGGCCGCAAGCGACAAGATCAAGGAGATTGTGGTTTGACCATGCCAGGTTATATTTTTCATGAGCGTTATAGGGGCCGTGGTCAATGGGAAAATGACGGCCGGTTCAGTATGTATATCCCCTAGTAACATGTATTAGAAGTCGTTGACGTTGAGGGAGATTCTCTGAAATAACGAGCCCGGGGTTCGATGCCTTCCAGTCCGATTGGCATTAGGCGAGGAGTGTGTGACAGTAGAGGTCTGCCGTATTGATTCCTGTCAACACCGGCCCGGACCTCGAACTATAATACCACGTCAATCAAAAATGCGATCTTGCGGAGATGAGGATCGTTGCAACCCGTAAGATGATGTATTTCCATCGGTCATGGCGTCTTCCGTCAAGGGCCCACAAATGCAACTCGATTTCAGCCATGGTGGACTTGGTAACCGCCCTGTATAATCCCGCGTGCTGACGCATCGGGGCACCTGGAATGCTGGCGTTCGAGTCGGACCTCGATGTCCTTCGTAGTATGCGTGATCATCCCTCTCGACGGTGGTTTGGGCAGGCCAGATTTGGCCTCTGCGACTTCCGAACCATGGTTGTGACGTGATCAGTTTGATGACCAGCATGATCACTCAACACTTGACGAGGTGGTTATCGGGCATTGTAATTTGACGGATGGACCATTTTGTGGCGGTGAAAAGAGGGTGGGCAGGGAAGCTGAGGGAATTGGAGAACTTGGAGGAGGAGGAGGAAAGAGTGCAGTTGTGAGGTTGAAGGAAGCGGAGGTGATTGATGAGAACAGTTAAGTGGAGCCTCTATGTCACTATCGGGTACATCTGATTGGACAAGGCACAAGGTACAAGGATACCTTCAAAACAACGACAGCATTTGTTGCATCTTCGCGACGACATCTTTTTGGGGAATTCTTAACTCCGGCATATGCGCACAAGTGATAACCGCACAACTGGTTGCAAGGGCTCGTCAAAAACTTTGCAGCTTTGTGGTCTCGAGGTACAACCGCTTTTTTTTTTAATCGATTATTTGACCGCTGTCCTTGGGTTTTGCACTCCAGGAAGCAAACAAGCAAACAGGAGCGCGTTGCCCTTTGTTGGTCCGTGCCAATACCTTCCACATACCCTCGGTCCTAGAGAGGCGCCTGTCACCACTATTCGTACACAAGCTGACCCAGACGACCAGAATACTTTTGAATTTTTGACCAGCTCTATTGGAGGGCAATAGTTCTGAATCTGACGGCGCTTCGGGGATACTTGACCATCACATACAATGCCGCCGCCGCTATCGCAGAGGTCCGATGAGAACTCCTCCGAAGATGAGGTTTCGGATCCGGGGTCCCTTGAGGCCGTTCCAGAATCTGACTCTCTCCAGAAGCTACGGGAAAGTGCAATGGATGTCCTAGCCTCACGCCTGACTTCTCAGCATACTGGAACGACTGGGAATCACGTCACAGGCAAGCTCATTAACAACGTTAAAAGAGCGCCGGCGGATGACTTTGCAAATGATCACGTCGCAAAGTATCCCAAGCTTGACCAAGAAGAAGAAGAGTCTGATGAAGAAGAGGAATATTCTAGCTCTGAGGAGGATGAAGAGGACGAGGATGACGACGAAGAGGGCCAAGGTAAGCATCCCGTTATCTGGTTCGCGGAGCTTTGAGATCCCGCTCTGACTAACTGACGTCTGAAATAGGAAGTGGTTCTTACCCTAACCATTCCGCGCCAGGGCGATTTATTGTGTCAGAAGACGTCTCCCCTTGGACACCTCGTTGTCCCTCAGCAGATAAACTCCCTTTACATCCAGATCTTGTGGGCATGAGTGAGTTACAACTCCTACCCATGTTATCAACTTACTGACGTGTAAAGCCAGCGCCTGTCGACTTATTTCAGCACGCTCTGCCAAATTTTCAGTTGCCCCGTCACCTTGCTCCAATCGCTCGACATCTAGCTGAGCGTTCCATAAAACGGATGCCAATTCTTGGAAAACCTTTTGTGGACAATAAACCCGACAATTTCAGCGCCTACTTCCTTCAAGCGACAGGCCATCTGCTGCCAGACGAGCAGGCTTGCGCACGCTGCAGAGGAGTCAAAATCAAAAAGCGTTATGTGGGCGGGACCTTTGTTGGTTGTGTGGCATTTGCAGACTCAGAAGACGCTAAACTAACGGGTGGTGCTTGTGCCAACTGCTGGTATGGGCGTCAGGGTTCCTTGTGCAGTTTCCGCAACCCAGCCGGCAAGCGTAAGGAACGGTTAGGTGCGGCGCGATATAATCCCTTGCTCATCTCCCCACCACCACCACCACCACCACCACCACCAGAAGGACAGCCGATGGAGCATGGGCAGCAGCTTGAGAATACTGGTCAACTGCATCCGGCATTCCTGGCATCCGTCTCATCCGTTTCTCCGGCTTACACACCTTTTCCGGACTACTACCCCCACATGGAGGCCCAAAATGCCCAGCAGAATAACGGCGAACCCCCGAGCCAACCACGCCCAGATAGCAGTCCTAGTGTGAACAAAGTCACGGCCTGGGAGACGAGATATAGAAGGATGTCGACGGATAAACTCAGGGCTACTCATGGGAACTTGGTCGAGTGGCAGGAAGACTTGAACACACGATTGCTCGCCATGAACAAGGTCTTGCTGGACAGGTTGGAGAAGAGAGAGAGTAGTCATACGAGTTAGCGTATGTATCCCGCCCTCGAACCAAAACCAGCGCGTTCTTAGTTAATTGTGGTGCTCCATAGACAACTGGAAAGAGCAAGGTTTGACAAATAGTCAAAGGCCAGAACGCCCGGTCATGTATTATGTCAATATTGAACCCTCAACGTGGACAACGAACAAGTATGGGAAAGTGCTTAAACTTGGGATGAGAATAAAAGCCCAGGGGAACCGTCGTGGTCAGCAATTGGCCAATCACATGTCTGATATAGCCAGAGTCACAGCCGCCAGTTCATGCAACTCCACCTCCAGTACCGAAGACGTGGGTCCCTTACGTAGGTACCTTGGTGTGGACGTGCTCAGGGTTGTCTACACTATTTTTATTGTTAGGGCGGTATGTACCTATTCTTGGGGTTGAGGCGGGGAAAGGAAAACAGAGATATGTATCTACATAACGCAATGGCTCATCTGAAGGAAAGGGTGACTTTAGCATTGGAAGACAATCCAGTTCCTTAAGTAACATCGATTGAATGCGATTTCTGAGAAAGGCCGCTCACGGTCTTGGACTCGACACTCATGATCCCACTTATCAATGGCTGTTAAATCACCTCACTCCTTGCGCCATCCCAACACCACACACCATGCACTAACATATGATGATGTGCTTCAGCTCAGCCCTGACAGTGGACATGGGACGGGACGAGTCAACTTAAACTGTCCAGCGATGTGAGTCAGGGCAAGGTGGGTTGCCCGCCTCCGATAAGAAATAACCCCGCTGCGATTGCCCACTTGCACTTGCACTTCCTGTTCCTGCGGGACCTGACCGAGCGCCTGAAGCGCGCAAAGGAAGAACCCCACCCCCGCAACTAGGTGAAATCTTTTGCAAGGGAAGTGGGCGAGGCCCTTTTCTAGGCTTTAAGCCGGTCCGCCCACCGCGCCATTTCTCTTTCCCGCTCGTCTTTTCGGTTTCGTCGTTTGAACTCCGTTCCGTACCTTGAGGGCGACCTAAAGGTGCTAATACTATCATACCACTTCTTTCGATACAGCTTCTGTTTGTTTATCCCTAATCAATCCATCAAGATGGCCACTCTCATTCTTGGTTCCCAGTGGGGGTAAGTGAATCCACTTCTTTGCCGAGTTGCTCAAGTCCGGGACCCGGCACGTATCGGAGATAGCTGACCGTTTGGTGTTATTGTTGTTGTTGTGTTATAGTGACGAGGGTAAAGGTACGATACAAACATGGCCACACATTACACACACACGTCGAATACACGCCCTCAATTTCAATATACACAACCGATATATGCGACACAATATGCACAGCGACTGACTTACCCGACGTACAGGAAAGCTTACCGACATCCTCTGCCCCAAGGCCCAGATCTGCGCCAGAGCCGCTGGCGGCCACAACGCTGGTCACTCCATCGGTACGTGTACCTTGATGGCTTCAAGTCCCGGATGCGCCTCGGTGCCTTAGGGACACAATGTACGCCAACAGGAAAGATAACTGACATTGCCGCCGCGCCACAGTCGCCAATGGCGTCGAGTACGACTTCCACCTTCTCCCTTCCGGTCTCGTCAACCCCAACTGCATGAACCTCATCGGTTCCTCTGTCGTCTTCCACGTCCCCAGCTTCTTCAGCGAGCTCAGCAAGCTTGAGGAGAAGGGCCTCACCGATGTTCACAACCGTATCCTCGTCTCCGACCGCTGCCACGTCAACTTCGACCTTCACGCTGCCGTTGATGGTCTCGAGGAGGTTGAGCTCGGTGACCGCAAGATCGGCACCACCGGCCGTGGTATCGGTCCCTCTTACAGCACCAAGATGGCGGTATGGTAACCCGAAAGACACACTACAACCAGAATAGAGGCGCTGACAAGACCATGTCTCATACAGAGAAGCGGTGTCAGAATCCACGAGATCTTTAACGAGGAGATCTTTGAGCGCAAGCTCAGGCAACTCGCTGCCGGCTACAAGAAGAGATTTGGTGATCTCCTCAAGTACGATGTCGAGGAGGAGATTGCCCGCTTCAAGGAGTACCGTGTCAAGCTCGCCCGCTATACTGTCGATGCCATCCAGTACATGAAGGAGGCCCAGGACCGCGGCTACAAGATCCTCATCGAGGGTGCCAACGCCCTCATGCTGGATATCGACTACGGCACCTACCCCTACGTCACCTCCAGCAACACCGGTCTTGGTGGTATCATTACTGGTCTTGCCATCAACCCTACCAAGATTGACAACATTATTGGTGTCGTCAAGGCCTACGTGAGTTTTTTTTATTTCTCTTTCCACACCTTTGAAGCCCTTCAGGGTATGACGTCATGATCAGGTTTGCTAACCGACGTTTCCGTGACAATAGACCACTCGTGTCGGTGGTGGTCCCTTCAAGACTGAGGACCTCGAGGAGGCTGGTACCAAGCTCCAAGAGATTGGTCGCGAGTGGGGTGTCAGCACTGGTCGCAAGCGTCGTTGCGGCTGGCTCGATCTCGTCGTCCTCAAGTACTCGACCGCCATCAACAACTATACCGCCCTCAACCTTACCAAGCTCGATATCCTCGACACTTTCGAGACCATCAAGGTTGCCGTCGCTTACAAGGACCCTCAGACCGGTGAGGAGGTCGAGTACTTCCCTGCCGATCTCGACATCCTCGACAGCCTTGAGGTTGTCTACAAGGAGCTTCCCGGCTGGAACAAGCCCATCACTGACTGCAAGACCTATGTAAGTTGTACCGACTTGGCTCTTTCGTCACCGTCTTTGCTGCTTTGCTAACAACACATCTGTAGTACGATCTCCCCAAGGAGGCTCGCGCCTACATTGAGTTCATTGAGGAGTTCGTCGGCGTCCCCATTTGCTACATTGGCACCGGCCCTAAGCGTGAGGACATGATTGTCCGCAAGACCTCCGCCATTAAGGAGTAAATTACCACCTAAAAAGGCGTTTCTGTTTGGGTTTGTGGGATTTAAAGAACAACACTCCGTCATCAACGATACCATGGACAGGAACGAACATGATATCATATTAACAATGATTTACAACAACAACCACAATAAGAAGAACGGACAACGACAGGGAAAAAAAAAGCGAGGGCGCTTTAACTTATGATGATCTCATCCGTCATTTCTCTTTTTCCCATCTGCGCTGCGCTACATAAGAACGCCAGGGGCAGTGATACCCCCTATACACTACACAGCACATGATTTAAACGGCTTCGGATCAGAAATTCGAATCTTTACAACAACTAGATAGAGGTTGTTCGTTGGCTCTGGCGGTGTGGTTAGCCTTTGTCACTTTTCGCGGGTTGTTGGAAAAAATAGAACGTTGGTTTTTGTCTTTTGACCAGGTGTTCCCTTGTGAGTCTCTTCATGGAGCTTTGCAAATCACCTACCTTCACCAAGCACAGGTACAGATCGACATCCTTCTTTCACATGATTCCATTTTTTACATGATATACAGGTTATGATGTCCATCCTGTTATATCCAAAACCTATCGAATCGCAAAATTCGACAAAGTCACATCACATCTTCAGCTTAAAGCTTATGAACCCTCTTATTCGAATCCGCGCATCCGCACACATCGAACAGCGCAACGCTAGGATCGTGATCCGAAACAACAGCAGAATCAGTCACCCACGAGCTAACGTGGATGTGCTGGAACTTGCTCTTGGAGGAAGCGAGAACAGGGGAGATGTACATGTGGTCGAGGGCCTGGGCGTTCATGTCGTAGGAGCTATTGGTTGGTTAGTTGGACTGTCAGCTACGGATCTGGAAGAAAAATTCGTGACGACCAAAAGAAGAGCGAGGACTTACTAGGTATAACGGTTCTCAACAGGAGTGTTCAAAGCCTCATCAAGTTCCTTCAGCCCCGACACCTCAGCAAAAGTAGTCAACGGCTTGACAAAGGCGAACTCGTTGAAGTCACCAGCAGCAATCACACGAGCCGCCGGGTCGGCTTGCAAAATCTGCGAGATGAACTTGGCCGTAATCTCCGCCTGTTGCGTGCGTTTCTCAACCCCGCCATTAATCGGCGGTCTCACATCGCCATGCACACTGCTACCCCCGCCCTTGGAGGTCATATGCACATTCACCGTGAAGAAGGGCTTCTTCCCGTCCTTGGCAATCCATTCGGCAACCAAGGGCTTGCGCGTAGCTTTCCATGCTGCGTTAAGGGGGTCCACGCGGCCAGGGTTGAACTTGAGGCTCGGCTGGCCCGTTTCGGCATCAACGATGACCTCGTTGGCATCCGTGCTGGAGCCCGGGTTCGGGTTCTTGAGACTGAGGATGGAGGGGTTGTAAAGATAGGCAGTGCGGATGTTTCCACCCGGTTGTCCACCGTCTTCGTCATTCACTGGCTCGATGGTGACATAGTCATAAATCGGGCCGCCAGCACTCTTGATAGCGGAGATCAAAGTGGCCAAGGTCTTGTTGGCGGACACCACGCCATCGTCAGTAGCGCCCGTGTTGTCTTGGACTTCCTGGATGAACAGCAGGTCGGGGGACTTGAGGTAGGTGACGATTTGCGAGGCGACCTTGGGCATGTGGGCGGATGTGGGCGCGAGGTTCTCGACGTTGTAGGTGCCGACTGTCAGACCCTTGCAGGATCCGGAGGAGACCAAGCTGGTAGGGGGCGGGGTGAGCGCGGAGGGGGTCTTGATCTTGATGGCGGTGAGGGGTAGGATGGTGTAGAAGCCGTAGGTGTTGGTGACTACGCCGGTGATGTCTTCGAGGGCGTCGCCGAGCTTGGTGGTGGTGGGGTTTTTGGTGGAGTCGAGGGGGGCGCCGATGAGGATTGTTTCGGGGTTGGAGTCTTTTTTGAAGCAGGTATTAGACATGAGTTCTGTGGCAGAATCTGGGGAGGAAGGAGAAGAAAAGGAAAGAAAAGAAAAGAATTTACCCTTGGCGCTCATGGTGAGAGAACCGGCGTCGTTCTTGCCAGTGACCTTCCAGTCACCGATGACCCAGGTATCCCGGTAGCTGCTGGGGATCTTGAGGGCAGTGGGGGCCTTGACGGTGACCAACTCGCCGGTGAGGGACTCCCAAAAGTCGAGGCCATACTCGGCGGGCTTCAGAACAGGGTTGACGGCAGAAATGTTATGTTGAGCGTTAGGGACGCTGTAGATGTCGCCTTCGTCGAGGCTGGTGAACTGCTCGGTAGGAGGAGAGAGAGTGTCCTTGCCGATGATGAGAGGAGTGACAGCGTTGTTACTGGACACAACGGTGATATCTGACGGGTTGGTGAGCTCGGTCAGGTACATGTAGGTGTTGGAAGACCTGTACTCAGACACTTTGGCGCTGCCCAGGTTGATGATGTCGCCGACGTCGACGGTCCTGCCAATGGTGCTGCTGAAGACGTAGATGGAATCGGAAGTGGCCTCATCATCGTCCGGGGTGGTCGAGCGGATGTAGATACCGGCGGAGGACTTGGCAGTAACGAGACCGGTGACATCGCTGACGGTCTTGCCGTTGTAGGACGAGATGTACCTGTTGCCGTTGATCTCGGCGATGGTCAAGGCCGCGGAAAGCAGAGGCTGCAAGCCGGCAACAGCCCAGCAGAGAACGCCCTTCATGTTGGAGGAGGAGGAGTTTGAGAAGTGACGGATGATGAGAACACTTCCGGAGGGCAAACCACTGAAGCTCTTTCTACCTCTCTTTCTCTCTCTCTCTCTCTTTCTGACTCGGACATTGGCGATCGGGGGCAGCCCATTGAGCTTTATAAAGAAATTTCCCCAGCTACATACAGTTACATACTACATACCTCTTTGAGTGGTGGTATTCCGAGGCCAGACCGAGCCGGGCAAAAGTGCCACGGGATGTGGTACACGTGGGGACCAGTCGCGAAATGCCTGGATGGTTTATTGCGAGAAAGAAAAAAAAAAAACAAAATCAAGCATCCCGCGATGTTACACCCGCTTATCGCGATCTTGGCCAATTCAGGGGAATCACAGCCGATGACATGAGAATATCGGCAAACGATGGTATCCCACTTGCTGTAATCAGTAACGTTATGACCTGGGTAGCCGCGTTGATTGGTGAGATGGTTGGCACGTTCTTCTTGGTGGTGTTGCTTCACCTTCCCAAACGGACAGGTGCCAAGATGTTGTTGCCAGGGGGGATGGAGAGCTAGTCTAGCAGATGGACAAGCTCCGCTGCAGGGTAACGCCGCATGGACGAAGCAGGACAAGCAGCAAATAACATAACAGCATATAATGTACATAGAGTGCCTGCGGAGAAAGCAGCAGGTACGTGGGTACGCACATTAGTGCAAATGGTTAGATGCCCTCCGGAGATGGCAGATCAGATACCGGATACCGAACTGATGCCGACGATTGACTATATATGTAGTAGAGCCAAGCTGTTGAAAGATATAACATAGTAAGTGACAAAGTGAACAGCTGAGTTCAGAGTTTGGAAAAGATAATCTGAATGGGAACTAAATGGGCCTGATCGAGGACGGGACCGACCGAGAGGACCTCTGATAGGTTGGTGATTCTGATTTACCGAGGTATCGGAGACATTTCCGTACCTGGCTTGGATGTCAAGGAAGTAGCAGATGTGGAAGACTACAACTGGTGATAGGAACGACCAGGAAGTTGTCTGAGTTTACTTGCTGACAACTTTATCAAATGACCTGAAGTGTTGTTGTTGTTGCTCGGAGATGATGGCCTGGAAGAGGTAAAGTAGTAAGTTGTGGAATGGTGAGAAATAGGGCAGTAAGAGAGAACTGTCTCTCGGGAAGCGACAGGGAGTATTATGGAAGGCAGATGAGATGGAGAGACGAGGAAAAAAAAAAAAAAAAAACCGACGAACATCCGACTTACTGACTGATGGGGGATGAGATGGGACCGGTAATCGGAAGTCGCCTGATTGGCCGATTGTTTTATTTGTGGAAGGTGTCGGCAGGAGGATAGACTGTCGAACTTTTACCATGTTCACGACAAGCCTCTATCGCTGTCATGACATCTCTTTTATTTATTCCCATCTGCAACACACTTGTGATATCTCCAAAGAGATTAATTTGTCCCCCGATGCCGAGTCGGCCTAAAATTGCATATGCGACGCATCGATCCATGTGCAGTCAAGCTGCGTGAACGGATGTTGGCGATCGGCAGCCCTATAGTTGCAGAGCGTCGCAGAGCGTTACAGATGGGTTGATGTCGCGATACATACGCTAGGGACAAGAAAAAAAACAGGGTCGAGTTGGGGTAAATCTGGAAATTGGACATTGAGACATGGGGAACAGTGCCGACCGACCGATGCTGAAAGCGAACTGCCTGCAATGCGGGGGAGTGGAGGAACAGGGCGCGAAGGCCCGAGTCTGGACGGGAGCAAGCAAGGTCGCCGGGAAGAGCGGGGCCGTTCTGGACTTGTGTAACCGGTCTTGGGCATGATGTTCATTTGCAGGATGTGACGACAGACGATAACAAATTACCGCACCGGAGCCCGGAAGTCCGGTAGCGGCTACCACGGAGCCGAGAAGGCGGAGAAGGCCCGGCCAACCGAACCAACAAACAACGCCAGCTCGGATCCGGTCTAGCCGGGGCCGAACCCCATATGAAGGGGTGGGTCAAGAATGAGGTGCCTAACAGCTTTAGCTCTAATCCTCACCTAATTCTGTTAGTGCTACCGTTAGCCCTTAGCTGCCCCTGAGCATGTCGTGCGACTGGCGCCGGCGTGTTGAACCCCGGAGTGTAAAATTCCCGGACGAATTAACGATTATAAAGGTAGGCCCTGTCCATCGTTTCGTGATATGATAGCCAGCCGCCGATCTTCCTCCTTTGGACGTTTAAAACATGTTGGCGGTGATGGTGACCCTGATAGGGAAACAGGGGCTTTTGGGTTATCACAATCTCACGGTCCACCCCCTCTCTGCATTTCAGCATCGGTCTGGATTTGAAGGAGCTGCGGTCTATCCACATAAGCACTGAAAATAGCCTTGCGGAGGGGAAGGGGGAGGGGAAAGAGGAGAAGAAGGAAAGAGGACACACGCGAAGGGTCGCTTGTATCTATAGCTTTTATGCTGAACAAGATCCAATGGAGAGTGGTCAAGTATCGGCTTACCGTGGCTGAGACGCTGTAGCGAGCTGCCCGATGAGGCGAGATAGTCTCCAGTAGTACCTTTTCGGTGTTCCTAGTGTAGGGGTGATGATCAAGCTGCCACTTACAGATAGTAACCTCAAAGAGAGGGTGCTGATGTCGACATGCCATCCATGTGGTTGCATGCAGATATATAATGAGTATGGGGCATGCCTTTCTCGTGATCTCTAGGCCTCTGTCGATCCCCCATGGTAGGGCACGATGGTGGCATCAAGGGCCTATCTGGGTCTCATGTTAACAGGCCCATGATGACCTAGCTCATCTCGGTAGCTACCGGCCCTAGCCACAACGGCTAGACACCCAGCAGGGGCTCGTATCCTCACTAAAAAGGTCTTGGTGGTGGTGGTGGTCTTGTCGTTCGAGGTCGTGTCGTTGAAGCTGGAAGAGGCTTGTCAAAGCTGGAGGAGGCTGACCATGACGGACACTTTCTCCGGTGCGGAATCAACACAGATCTCTCTCTCTCTCTCTCGGGTGTCAGAGTGAGCAAGGTCGCTGGCGATGTTCTTGATAATATTGGGCTTCATGTTTTGTTGTCGTATCGCGTGTTTTGGACAAGACGGGGATATTTGTTTCACGCAAAGAAACAGAAACAGAATGAGCGAGGGTCGTGGTGGTGGTGGATGGCGGTGGATCCAATGTCAGCGTGCCAGTGTTGGCCAGGGCAATGCTGCAACTTTTGATGAAGACTGGGGCCGGATGCGACGCTGCGAATTGCTGCGTACATACACTACAAGATGTCATGATTTAGATAGCACCACTGCAGAGAGTAGGTAGTGTCCGTTGTGATGTGACTGTTTTGGTTGTAATCTCAGCCTCTTTTCGGACTCGATCTTCATGCTGCTGCTGCATATAGCTGATGACATGATGTTCAGATAAATTGATGCCGGCCGGCATTGAAAGAAGCCGAGGCAATGGAAGACGCGGACCTAGGTACCATAGAGGTAACGCCGAACGGGCCAGTCAGGCGTGGGTGTGTTACATACAGGTCCCGTCCTTGATCCTTCATCACTTGCTTCCTCTTCAGCGATTGAGAAATTGCCGATTGCTTCACACCTCAAACGGCATGAACTTTGCCCTGGCTGCATGATGCGGAATGATGGGGCACGAATCAGCGAGATTGAAAAAATTCGAGATGCCCAAGCTTTTGACTTCCACGTGCTTAGGTAGTTGCACCTGGGCTTGTGGCGTGAGGTGGCATTTGACTTGTTGGGGAACTTGAACCGAACGGGATGTGCCTGAGGTGCCCGCCCCTGGCATAAAAGGGACGCGGACCTGGACTCCCGTCAGGGGCAGCTGAACTGAAAGATTCAATCCGTTCCGCTTCGGAGTTCCAGGCACCAGGGGCACCTATCTGGATCAAGGGACAGGGCAGGGCACCACTGAGGTGCTTCCAGTGACATCACAGCGGGGTTGAGCCTGCCCTCAAACTCGGCGGGGCTCATCTCCCTTCTTTTAGAGCACCAAGACCTCGCAATATCCCGCCAGCCCAGCACGACGGACTTTAAGTTGCTTGGTTGTCTGACAGTGCCCGTCATTTCGACATGTTGGCTTTACCTTAGTTCTGCTGCTTGACTTGCACCACGCACGAGATCGCCGTCCTCTGGATCTTCCTCCAGGGTCCGCGATATGAATTGTTGGTGATCAGCACTCTGGTCCACCAGAAACAGTCACCATCAATCAATCAACTCGCGTCGAGACCCTTTATTGCAGCGTCGTTTAACAACGAGATGCCCACTAAATCATCATGCTGCGAAATGCGCAATAGGGACGATACTGGCAATGCTGGGAGCACATCAGACATGGCAACAAGGGATATCCCATGATGTGTCCGCACCCTAATTACAGCGCCAAGACATGTTCAGCAGTCTCTGTCACGGCGGTCAATGAGGAAGCCAATCTTTGACGCAGACATGACAGCAAGGCAACAACTCTCGCTATCCTCCTCGCCATCACTTGATCCTTTCGGCTTTCTGGACGAGGTTATGACTTGTGCCATGAGGATTTGGCTGTCATTGTCAAGTCTCCCCCTCTTCAACGCCAATGCCAAAACGTCGGGGCTCGAGCACTATCAGAAACAAAGAGAAACAAAAGGCAATCTGGGCAATATGTCAGCGGACTTTCAAAGCGGCGGAGGACGACTTGGAGAAAAGAAAAAAAAACAAAAGCAAAAAAAAGAAAAAATAAAGAAGAAAAAAACGCAGGGACCAGTTCTGGTACACCCATGTACCCATGGAGCAAATCTCCAGGACCTCGGGTGACCCAATCCTCTTCGACACTATTCCCATTGAGCACCGTGCACTTGTACACTACTGTCTACTATTGTACCGCGAACAGCGTCCATCCCTCGAGCTTCCGTCCTCCTTCTATGCAGCTCACTTCTGCAGCTTCACGTGAGCTCAACACCACAAACAACCGTTACAGGAAATTGCTGCCGGACGAATAACCAAAAGGGTGGCGCCCGTGGCATAAAGTTCCAAGGGACACGGCATGCACGGCTGGGCCTTTTGCCTCCTTGGGATCCAATGGCATTTGCGAGATGCTGTCAGACTGCCAGATGCGTCGATGTTGTGTCACCTCCGGTCCTTCAACGCCATCTTGTACCATAGTGTAGAGGTAATCTCCAACGAGATACAAAATTGAGAGGACCATATTGGAGGACTTCGCTCTTCGATCGCCAAGTCCTACTAGGCCTAGGGACTACCTGTATCGGAGTACAGAGTACACGTGTTTTTCCCTAGCTGATCAGGGGAGAGCCTGGTGAGATATCTCCCTCCATCACCACCCCCCGGCACTGCAAAGGGAGCCACGTTTTGGGTGACAATTTTGGAGCATCGGTCTCGGTGGACCCCCCGACTCCAAAACCGCTGCCGGGGATCCTGTCCACTGCCATTCCCGGGGCCAGGACAGCGATGATTTTCGCATACTTGGCCAAGGGAAAAAGGAGGACACGGAGCAAACTTCTCGGGCCTCTTTTCTCATATTTTCGGCCTCTCCCACACCACTCAAGTACACACCCGATCCTATTTCCCTTTTGTTTGTTTTTGCTTCACTGTCAGGCTGTTCCTTGCACCCAAGAGATGACCGCCTGCCTGGGTCGGAATCGCCGGGACGCCTCTTTTCACCTTTGACCGATTCGACGACTTATTGCTGCTGGATCCCGGAATTGCAGCTCTTGACGCAAACCTTTTGAGTGACATATCTCCACCACCTTTTTTGACAGCTCGGCATCTTGCGCGACTTCAGGGAAAACAACAAGAACCAATTAAAAAAACAGTATTTTTCACCGAGCGTTTCTTCCACACACACCGAAAAAAAAAAAAAAAACCTCTCCACCGCCGACCGACTTTCTCATCGAACAAAACTTCACTTCTCATGATTTCCTCTCGGTGATCAACTCTTTCGAACCTCAAGGCCTGGGTCTGTTTGGAGTTTTGCGCCCTGGAACCCAGAAACCGCATGTCTACTGGATCCGCGCAACCTCTATAGTTTTCCATCGTTCTACAGCGAAAAAAGGCCCATCATGGGCCCTCGATCAAAGTTTCCTTTTTCCATACCGGGCCGGAAAGCCAAGCCGGTCCCTCCGCCTCCTCCTCCTCCTCCTCAACCACAGCCACCTTCTGGCCCGTTAACCAAGGCACAAAAGATCCTTGGCACGGGGGAGATCAACATCGATTCTCCATGGGAAATACGAGCTAGTCCGGCCATCAGCAACGCCCCTGTTTCGGGCGCAGCTCATCATAACGAGAGAGATGCTGGTCGGCGAAGGGCTCATCACAATGATGCGGAAGCGTCCGTTGCCCACGAACGACGGTGGGATAACGAGCCAGAACCGGCCCCAAGGAATACGGGCTGGCAACATAACGAAAGGCCCGAAGCCATGAACTACGAGGTTGCCAACACCTCTCATCAACAACGACGACAGTCTAGCTCGACAATCGCGTCGTATTACGACAAGCAGCACCAGCTACAACAGCAACAAACACAGAACTCGGCCATGTCCAAACAACTACCATCCAAGGCCCATCAACTACTTGATTACGACAACGGCATCCCAGAGACGATACCCGAAGCGAAGATCAGGAAAAAGAAGTCATCCATGCTTGATATCTCCTCCCGCATACTGAAATCCAAGACTTCCAAACACCTAAAGCCTGATTTGGTTGACTACAGCGCCCATGTTCTCGGGGCAGATATGATTACCAACTCTCCAGCTATGCCGATAACGCCCGACATGAGCCAGCAGCCGACGAAGCGCCGGACGGAAAGGACAGATTACGAACGCTACCAACAGGAATCCTATGCCAACTCGGCCGGGCAGGAGATGTACGAGAAGCCAGGTGTGGATGAGGGCCCGGCACCTGACGAAGACGTCTCTTCATTCCCAGCGCCGCCTTTGAATCCTGCTGCAAGAAGGGTTTCCCTGTCTCTGTTCCCGCCAGCACCGAGCGGTCGACCAGTCCAAACCCCCAAGCAGCCCGAGGGCCCGCCGTCCAATGCTTTTACACCTTCCAGCTCAGCATCGCCTCACGCGGACAGTGCAAGCATCTCAAGTCGTCACACCAGGACCTCCAAGGCCTCGAAGCGGACAGATCGCAGCATGACCGAGCTTGACCTCCAGATGAACAGCGTCTTGTCTCTTTCATCGGATTCAGAGGAGGATAGCTATGAGCCATCTACACAGAACTCGCTGGCTGTGCCAATGGGGTTGGGCGAGCAGGGACCAATGAGCCCAGCCAGCACTCGTTCCGCAAGCTCGCTACCTGCCTCATTGACAGCAGATTATAGTCGGACCAAGTCAGCAAAGCGATCCCAGTACGGCACGCAATCGCAATTTCTACCTATTCCCGAAGGTGCTGCGGCAACTGATATTTCGAGGAAGAGCTCGCGAGGCAGCTCTCAGAAAACAAGCTCATCGAAGCAGCAGGCAGCATCGTTGCTGTACCAGACTTCCCGTCTCTCCATCGGCAGCACATCCACCTCCCAGACCGCGATGCATGGTGCATCTGCCCAGTTGAAGAAGGAAACCAATGCCACGCCCCCCCTGTCGCCAACCAGCGTTGACTTTTATCTTCAAAATCGCAGCAGCGAGACGTTTGGGGCGTATGTGCCAGACAACAGATCCGTATACAGCGGTAGAAGCCTAGGAAGCGAAGGGATGGGTCCAGGCCGGCGAGGAAGCAACACCAGCAGCATCCAGGACAACGCCAGCGGGCGGTTCATGGCCGTCACTCGACAGGAGGAGATGTTGCTAGCAGCGCTGCGACAGAAGCGCGCCCGCATGCGCGAGGATATCCTTGCCGAGTATGGAGACAACCGGGACGACATGGACGGCGATGACGCGAGAGATGGGCGCCACTCTATGCTAAGCGAAAGCCCCACCAGCAGGGTTTCGAGGCAGTCGTCGGCCAGCACGATGCGCCTGATGGAGGCCCACTCGTTGAGCGCGCGACCACATGGGCATCAGCGACCGCAGATCCGCATCAGCACTGGATCCGTCGACAAGAAGTCGGATAGAATGTCGGAGTCTTCGGGACAGATTTTTGTCATGATGGACAGACAGCTTAGGCAGTCGAGGGGCGACGATTCGGAGCCCAGCCTAGATATGGATCGATTTATGCACTATGACGACGCCGGCGACGAGATTTTGACGAGGGGTGCTTTCGGTGGGCCTTATGAAGGCGATGACAGGCGGAATAGCCGATCCAGTCTCGGTGCGCACTCGACTTCTGGGTCTCACAGGGCCCAGAGGACTCCGTCCTCGCGCTCCAAGGCTTCGTCACGGGACAGGAGGGACTCGGATCAGGTCAGCCCCCAGACTTTTGGTCATCTTTGCCGCGAGGCGGAGCGCCGTAACCGAATTGTCGAGGCCCCTGAGGAGGACGACATGGAGGATGGCATCCCCCGCCCTGACTCGCCTATCTCGCCTGGTGACTTTCCGGTGCCTCTTTCGATGCTGAAGAAGAACCTCAGGCTGAGCGCTGTTGGGCATTAACCGACACGATGCACAAATATCACAAAATCAAATCAAGGTGGATGGGAATCCGTGGATACAATAACAAACAACAATAACACCAATAAGTTGAACATGACAAGAAGAGCGGTACGAAGGTAGTACGGAGGGGGGCATAGCTTTGCATTTCTTTTTTGTTTATGTACGAGGAAGGAACGGAGAGTCAGAGATACCACAAGAACAAGGGGAAGGGCAGGGTAGGGCAGGGACAAGGGAAGGCAACATAAGGGTTTTTGGGCGGGAAAACCAATGACTTGTTATCATGATTGGGCAATGGATCAGCAACGCACCAGCAAACGTACTCGATGTTTTTCGATTCGTATTTTGCGGCCTGGGAAAGGAAGAGGCAGGATCCCACGACAAGTCCCTGGCATTCTACGAGGCTGTTGTTGTTGTTGTTACAACTAACCAGCTTCTGTACATGCTCTTTTAATGGTGGTTGCTGATCATTGCTGATGATGAAGATAAGCTTTCTGAGAGTTGTAGTACATGTATACCACACCACACCACACTTATACCCGGTTGGAAAAGGAGTGAGGATATGTCATATACATAGCACAACATACACACACAAACTAATAATACGCGACAGACGCGATTGACTTCCTCGGAAGAGGGTAGTCAAACAAGACTGATGCTGTTCTTTGATGCTTCTTGGCGATTCGTGATGGAAGATTGTGAGTGTCTGTGAGATTTGAACAACACCTTCCCTTCGAACTAGACAAGAAAAGTTACGAAAGAGATCATCATCATCTTCATTCCTGCCCTGCTTCGCGATGAGTCTAACAATGCTAAGCTCTCTGTTCGACCGACTTACCCAGGGTACATATCAAACACCATATGCCCCATCTCGGGAAGGTAGCGATCGGGATACATAGCAGGTGCGCACCTGTAGATGCAAAGGAAAGAGGCCACGGCATCAAGGCGATGGCCATCACAAGAAGGAGTGAGTTCAAGACTACTGAGTAATTCAAGGAAGCCATTACTACGGACAGCGAGACAGACCGTCAGCAGCTGGACAGAATTTCATGGAATTTGCATTCGTGCAATTTCTCCAAATTCTCTCTATTTAAGAACACCTGCTCCCCTCCCAAATCTTCCTCCTCCTCTTTTCTTTTCTTCACACATTCCATGACTGACTGCGTGGTGATCAAGAAATCCGCGTAGTACGGTGGAGAGCCTGCATTGCACATCGTGGTGCTCGCCGCCGTTGATTGTCCTTCGGGGCCGTCTGGTCGCAATTTTTGGTTCTCAATCCAAGTGCAATGCAAGTCATTGCAACTGTTTTTTTATTCTTTTTCAATGTGTGCTCGGCCTGCGAGGTCGTGCCATAGGGAAGAAGAGATTACCTGTTCTTGAAACAGTTTTTGCACTGCCTAGCTAGTCATCCGCTTGTTGTCGATTCTCAGAAAGGAGGGCATTCCCAGATCCCGGTTTGCACTATCTGGATGGAAGATCTTATCGTGCTAACAAAGTCGCTAGCATGGCAGGCATAAGTTTGCTAAAGCAACATCAGACGTCCAACTGCCTTTAACTGTAAAAGCTGACCCCTCCCCAACGGGTAACATAAGGCCGGCATCGCCAACTCGGGTCCACTTCCCCACCAGGAAGCATGTCGCCAGCAGCGTCATCCTTCATCGCTTCTCTTCCCTCCTTTTCAACGCAGCAAACATGCCACTTCGACAACGAACACGAAGACACCCCGCACAATGACAAGAAAACACCTCAGTTGCAATCTACCAAACTCTACGCCGACAATGTGTCATGAACAACCAAAATCAAACAGAGAAAATGACATAACAATCATCATCATTCCATATCCCTCCTCCACAGCCGCATCGCGACCATGGCCATAACCATGCCTCAGCCCTACCTTACCCTCTCTTGCCGCTCCACCTCCGCACGGAACACATTCACTCCGCCCAACCACGCACTAGTCGGGCTCGTCGGCGACCAACTGTTCCGATCCATCAACTCGACACCACCACCACCACCACCGCCGCCCTTGTTATCCCCCGCGCCCCTCGTCGCGATCATCCCCTCTTCAAACCCCGACACTCCCGCGCCAGCGCCTCTCTTCCCGCCAACCCTCTCCGAATAACTCTTCCTCACTCCATACCCGCTTCCACCACCCCTACCTCCCAGTCCTCCCCTTCTCTTACCGAAGAGTCCACCAACCCACGGCACTGCCCCTTTCTTCCTATATCCCCACACCGCAAAAGCGATCAATCCACCGAGCACCAGCAGAGACACAATGGCTACGGGGACGGATATGGCGATTTTCTTGCCCTTGGATAGGCCACCAGGGTCACCGACCAAACCGTCATCGTTGTCGTCGTCGTCGCCGTCGCTGTTGTCGCCGTCATGATTGCCGTCCTCATCGTCAACATCATCGGACTGGTAACCGTTGGTGACGTAGACCAAGGGACCTTGCTTTGTTTCGGTCGGCGCGTCTTCGTCGTAGTTACCGCTGGCCCAGACGGCCATGGTGATGTTGAGTCTGATTATCTGGTGCGAAGAGGAGGACCCCAGGAATGATTTGGGAAGGGGGAGCAGGGCGAAACCTTGGTCGGCGGGGAGGATGGAGAAATGGGGGAGGGTTGGGGTTACGGGCTTCGGGGAAGAAGAGGAGGAGGAGTCTTGGGAGAGGGAGTCAGGGACGTCGGCGGTTTGAACAAGGATTTGCACGCGTTGGTTGGGGAGGGCAAAGTAGACGGTGTTCCATGTTACTACGGAGGGGAGGTATCAGCATGGTTAGTGGACCTGGAGGATGCGAAATGGGTATGCAATGGGTCAAAGGGAGGGACAGACTCACTATAGTACCCATGTCCAGGTCTCAGGATCGCATCCCGCTTAGGAGCGCAGAACGGCTCATCGAGCGATTGCTGCGGTAGACAAGCCAGGAACTCGCCGCGGGGGTCGGTCACTCCCGAGATTCCCAAGGCAGTTGGAGCAGGGTTGAGGCTGGTGTAGGTCGCCAGAACCCCGTCGTCTTTGAAGCTGCTGTATGCTTGAGATACGGTGAGATACGGTGGGGGCGCGCTTTGGGTGCTTTTGTCGCCGTCGCGGTAGGTCGTCACGGTGGGCGTGATGGTTACGCCTTTGGTTGTGGCATCGACATGTACCCAGACTTTGGGCGAAGGGGCGACGGTTTCTTGGGCCTGAGGCTGTGGTTGTGGTAGGGCGTGGGCGACCAGGGCGAAGCCGGCCAGTGTTATCGTGAGAATGCCCCGGAGGGTTGGGTGAAGATCCATTTTGAGGGATGCTGTTTTGCGAGAGAGCGATGAGATAATCGTCCCAGGCAGACGACGGAGAGATTGCTTTTATCTGCTGGATCAAGCTCGCCACATTCATCATCCGGTCATTGGCAGTGCTGCTCTGCTAACATCGTGTTCAGTCCAATTGCATAGTATTTGCTTGGACGTGGTTGGGCGCTGCTTACACTATGAAACGTTACTGGCCGCTGTCAACCAGTTTGGCATCAAGGAATTTGGCAGCCTCGCGATTATATGGATGGTGTCACCAATGTCACCAACGAACTGTGAAAGTTCAACAAGAGGTTAAGCTTCGTATGCCGTGCAAAGTCGATTTTGAAAGCAGGTCTACGGGGGAAGCAGATGCGTAGCAATTGACATCAGAAGGCAAAGCTGTCTTTGCGGGTCATGTACATGATCTCTCTGCACCAGAGTTGTCGCGGATGGCCGGTTCCCATGAGCTTGGACAAGAAGAGTCTCTTTGCAATATGGTGTAGGGGATGAAGGCATGTTTTTCTCTTTTTCCCTTTTACTGGTTCTTTCTTCTCTTTCTGCTTCCAGCCTTTTGTCCTATCTCCTCAGCTCCCCACCCTCCATCACGCGCACGCCTCTGCTGTCCCAATCGGGATAAAAAGCAATGTTCCCTCGTGGTATTTGGGCTTCCAGCTTCTTCAGCTGTCAAAACCCCTGGGATAGGCCTGCTTTACAGTGGCAATGGCCTTCCCCAACATGGTCTGAAGCCCTATCGGAGACCCATCTGGGTGCCGAATCGACGGTGTTATATCACAGTAGCATAAACTTGTTTGCTGATGGCTTCCAGCAGCGTTCACTTTATTGTCCACGAGCTATGCGGGGAGCACACCATCAAGCCATCACCCTATTCTCATTTCTTCTTTCGTCTCTATTGATACTCGCCACTCGATATACAGAACCACACCATAGGGAACCACAGTGATTGGCCCAGTACTACCCTCTCTGTGAAGATTGTTGCGGGGTTTGACGGTTGAGGATGGCACAGCAATGGTGTGAAGGACGGCCTGAAGCCTGAAGGACATGCCTGACAGCTTCAACCCGCGTCTGGGTGCTACACTATTGGATTCTGTATGCAGGATTATATAGGATGTCCTGGGTATTGATGAGAGCGGCGACGGGCTTCAAGTCCCAACTCTGACCAGTGCGAGCCGAACACGGCAAGTCCTGACTACCGAACGCCTCTGGCTGTACGTACAGAGCTGAAGAACTATCATGGGAATCTCGTGGTTGGCCAACACCCTTTTGGATGCACCATGACCGGTCCGGCCTGTTATCGTCGCTTTTGTGGCGTTTTGTGCGGTAAGTCGGAGCTATGGAAAAATGGCCTCCTCTTTAGCAGCCGAATCCTACTTAGTTATAGTCGTCACGGGCCTGATGTTTATATGTTACCACCCTTTTGGCTCGATATGTTCTTAGAAGGAAGCCCTTTATAACCCGCATCGAATGCACTCCTTTTACGTGTGTGTGCTTACATGGCCATCTACTACCTTATTGTACCCAACCTCTCATCCATCTGTCTGTCCATCTCACATCATCTTTTTCTCTCTATTCTAGTTAACCCGGCCGTTCTCTTACTGAAACAGGACACATTGATGTCATTCACTTAACTTGTTTGATATCCAGTCACTGACTGTGTGATTCGTTTTGATACCAGCAAAATGAAAACCAACGGCGTTGCCAAAGCAGCTCTTGCAGTTGGACTTTCAGCCACTGCCCTCGCTCAAACCTCCTGCGACAAAGTTCTTGTCCCATCATATAACCTCCCTGTCGTTGCCGCTGGATGGCAAGCCCAACTGATTGCCGGCGAGCTGACCAAGCCCCGAAGCCTTCAGTTTGACAGCTCGGGTGCTTTGCTGGTTGTTGAGAGCGGGAAGGGTATCACTCATCATACGCTCAAAGACAACGGAGGCACTTGTATCTCTGTTTCTGAGTCCAAGACGCTCATCGATGAGAAGACGGTACGTTTCCTTTTGAGTTACAAAAGAAGCAATATAAGCTAACAATCAACAACAGCTGAATCACGGCATTGCTCTCTCCAAAGATGGCAAGACCCTCTACGCATCTTCCGCCTCGGCCGTCTACGCCTGGGACTATGACTCCAAAGCCGGCACCGTCAGCGGCAAGCGCGAAATCGTCACCAACATGAGCAACAACGACCTCGTCACCCGCACCCTCCTTCTCTCGCAAAAGGAAGACGGTTACCTGCTTGTCTCCCGCGGCAGCGCCGACGGCAACGAGGCACAAGCCGAGGTGCTCACCAACGGTCTCTCGCAGATCCGCGCCTTCGACATCTCCAACATGACCAGCTCCACCAAAGCCTACAATTACAACGAAGACGGCATCGTGCTCGGCTGGGGCCTGCGCAACTCCGTGGGGGTCGGCGAGCACCCCATCACAGGCGGCATCTACGCCGTGGAGAACTCCATCGACGGCGTCACCCGCAACGGCAAGGACATTCACGAGAACAACCCGGGCGAGGAGCTCAACTTCTTTGGCTACCTCAACGGCACCAAGATCTTCCCCGACCAGGGCGGCAACTTTGGCTACCCCAAGTGCTTCGCCGTGTGGGACGTGTCTGAGATTCCCGAGAACGACTACAACCTCAAGATCGGCTCGCAATTCGCCATCACCGAGGAGGAAAACGCCAGAACCGTCTCGGGCAATAAATTGACAGACGAAACCTGCGCCTCCGACTACGTGAGTCCCCGCCTCACGTTTCCGGCCCACTACGCCCCCATGGACATCAAGTTCGCTCCCAAGGGGGACGTCGCCTACGTCACGTTCAGGGGCTCCTTTGACAAGACGGATCCCGTCGGGTACCGGCTGTCCGCCATCTCGTTTGACTCTGTCACTGGCGAACCGACCGTCTCAGCGGAAAACAGCCGCGACGCTTTGCAGCAGCATGTCATGATGAATAAAGACAATTCGGTTTGTCCGGATGAGTGCTTCCGACCGGTGGGCATGGCGTTGGATTCTAGCGAGAGGCTGTGGATGACGAGTGATAGTACGGGCGAGATTTATGTTTTGATGAAAAGGAAGACGGAGGAGGAGAACCCGACGACGACGACGACGGAGAATGGGACGATTGTTACGGGGACTGGGACTGGGTCGGGAAGCGAGAGCTCTCCGAGCGCGACGGGGAAGGGCAAGGATGATGATGATGATGAGAATGCGGCGGGTAGGCTGTTGGGTGGTGGTGGTGGTGGTGGGTGGGAGACGAGGGCGTTGATGTGGGCGGGGGTTGTGGGTGTCGCTGGGGTTTTGGCTCTGGTTTAGAGAGGATGTTGATGATGATGGTCTGGGGATGAGTTGGAGAAGAGATGTGTGTCTGTCTGAGTGTGAATGAGGAGGTGATGAGTCCCTGATATGTTTGATGAGAATAAAGGATGATCAATGTGTTGGGCTACTACCGAAGCCATGAAGGCCATATTGAAAGACCACGATATTAATCATCAGATTCACTACTGAAGTTGCAACACGCTAAATAAGAAGTAAACTACAGACTCGAAAGAACCGCTTATGCAAGAATGCTATGCCGTAACATGAAAGACGAGTTAACAACGAGAGGTAAAGTCAAGCGATCCAGCATCCAAGCAATTGGTAACTGCAAGAGGGGAGGTGGAGGAGAGCTGTATGTTGTGCTAGGTCATCGCAGGAAAAGATGGCCATCAATGGTCCCGGTGTCTGAGGTGGGCATGCAAACTGGATGCGAATTTCTGAATGTCGTGAAGCTCCCAATGGACGGAGATACGCCAAATACGTTCTCTGTGTAAACCCCGTTTGTCATAGAAACACTTGTGAAGTCTCCCACCTCAGCATCTTGGTAGGTAACGGGATGATATGGCGTGGCTCGCAAAGGTTGGATGTGTGGATTATCAAAATGCCAATGAAATGCCATTCTCAATCCAGCCTTGAGTGTCGAATGAGGGCGTCGGAACACATTTTATGGAACGGATTCTGGCGAAGATGAACCGAGTGGAAAGGGTTATGGTGAGGTGTTGGGCCCGAGATGGTGTGTTAATCCGAGGGGAAACAGGTTTAGGAAGGAAGGAGCTCGGAAAAAACATTGGGTTAACTCTCGCCAACCTCGTAGGATTTGCTGATTGCGTGCCATCCTTCCACGTCTTTGCATGTACAGTCCAGTACTGGTTTGTTTGTTAGCTTGGTACACTAGGTACTGTACTATACTCTATATACTAGATGAAATCTCTCCCTACTAGTCCTAAACCTTGTCAGAATATATTAAAATGGTTAGTATAAATGATAAAAGGTATTGGTACAATTTGATATGGCATTTCGAATCTTACAAACAGCGTATCCAAGGTAAGATCACGCATTAATTAGCTATGAAAACGCATAGGGAAGTTGACACGAGGTCTCGAACTAACAAACAAACCAGTACTGAATTGTACAGCTCGCTTGTCTGATCCTCTCCTGGCAGGTGGGTGCGGGTACGGGTGTGAGGAGCACCGATGCGACAAATGTTTAGAGGTAGCTGGGCCCAAGATGATTGGGTACCACACTATTTGCACGTTGTCTTGTGGTGTCGAATGAAGACTGCTAGACGGCAAAACCTCCGTTCCCTGCTCCCCATAACCTTCCATCCGGTATACAATTCCAATTTCCCGGGTAACCCCAGTAACGTATTCACCACTTAACAATGCCCGCACCTCGTCTTCAACTCGCTTGGCAAGCCGCGAATTGCCTCCTTCTCTTTTCTTGTAAGCGCGATGCCGAAATACTTCTGCAGGGCCTTCACTCTCTGCTCTTCCGACTCAAATTGCTCGATGATCTCGGACTTATCGCCTATCCTCCTCTTAACATAATCCTTGTGCAAGATCAGGAGGCCTACAGGCTGTTCCTGTTTGTCGTCGTCGTTGTTGTCGTTGAGCAGAAACCACATGCACATGACGGTCTGTACAAAGAAGCTTTGAGGGCTGGTCATAGTTGATAGGTTCATGACCTCAAAATCGGCCGGGAAGAACTCTGTGTCGGCGGCAAAACAGTACATTTCCTTCCAGGGCGCAGACGGGTTTTCCTGGGTTGAGTATACCCATATCCTTTGGTTGGTAGGATCGGTGTGTTGGGAGAGGCTTTTGTATTCGAGTTTACCTCGTACTGGGGAGACTGTGGTAAAGATGTAGTTGTGCTCCAGGGGCACTGGATTAACCGAGCCATGGGAGCCGAATCCTACGTCAACCAGATAACGTGTGTTGTTGATGGTCACGATGTTGACCATGTGATTCCTGAGAATCCAGTTAGTGCACGATGCTTACATAGGTGGGCATAGGCCTCTGGTTGGGTACCACAAACCATCCTTTGTACTCTCCATCGCCTGCCTTCACTCTTCCTCCTACGTTAATGAGTGTGTAACCCAGACTGCGCAAGACGGCCCCGAAGAACGTATTGACCTCCATGCAGTAGCCTCCCCTCCCCTTGTCGACGATCTTTTCGAAAAGGTCCTCCAGGTCCAGTGACAATCTGTGGTGTTGGGAGTAATGCAATGTCAGACTCTCAAACGGAACGCGGGCCATGTGGCGTAGCTGCAACATGGCGAGCCTGCCGAGGTCGTCTTCGGCATCCTTCGGCGAATAGCCGATATGCCGGAAATAGCGATCCAGCTGATCTTGGGTATATGTTACCATCTTTTCGGCTCCTTTTTTTTTTCTCTCTGAAGGGAACAAAGCGGGAGGATTTCGCGATAGATGTATAAGTAAGAGAAAGAAGAAACGAAAGACGAGGTTTTGAGTCTTCTTGTATCAGTTGTGGAGATCATCACAAAATTCCCTGCCAAAGTTCCCCGCCTGACAAATCCGTTCACTTAGGGCCCCGGTACTTGATGCCGGGAATGTTGGGCCCAAACTTCCAATGAACCCTCGCGATTGCCACCAGTCGCAAACATCGATGTGGAATACCTTGGGTTATCCACCCCCCCCGGCGGTTCTCTCGTTCCGTTTGAGTTAATGGACTAGTTCTGGGCATATGTTATTAGGTGATACGGTGTGGAAAGTTCAAGAACAACGTCAAACACTGCCCTATAACATCCGCGTTTGTCGGCCTCCTGATCTTCGTCCCCACTCCAACATTTTGACGTCTTCAAAATATGGGAATTCCAGCACAGCTTGACAAAACAACTTAAAGAGCTGCGGGAAGTCAAAGTAGCAGCTGCTGTGCTGTCTATTTTGAACGAGAGGGAGAAGTGGTTTGGGAGCCAAGGGAGTACTAACCAAACTGCGAGGGTAGAGGTAGGAGAAGGAAGTTATATCAAGTTGGAAGAAAACGAATCAGGTGGTGCTTTTGTTTACACAAGTAAGTTGTATCAGGACTAAGGTCTCCGCAAAATCCTTCCAGACTTTGATCCATGTTTGGTCGAGTACAGAACTCTGCTGCAAAGTCTGGGTTTCGATGGGGTTTGTATGTGTGGCCGGTTTTTGGTTGGTTCTGTAAACACTCTTGCCCCTTCTCCCGAAGCTACACAGTATGCTTCGCTGAGCCCCGGTTATCAGAAGCCATTGCCAGATGGATGTAGTACTCTCATTTGTTCCGCGCAACAATTCAAACTCTACCAACTGTCATTTTCTTGACCTCAGAAAGAAGTCAAATCAACGAACCATAAACCAATATAAATTGCCACGTATGGCTCGCAGGAGAGCATCGCCTCTTTAAACTTGGCAGCTGAAGGCTAGGATGAGGTGAAACCAACGAAAGGTTGGCCAGGAGAGCTCAACTGCTTGTGGGCCATACGGGGAGCCCGTAGCGATGAGTCGCAAGTAACGACCAGCGACGGCGCGGTCCAAGTCATTGCTCAAGGGGTTACTCCAGACGCACGCGAGGTGGCGGGAGGGAAGGCATCGTGCTGGCTTTTCGGGAATGCTCGTTCGATTCCAGCCACAGGAGGGCAATCTGAACGAGTGGATGTGAAAGTCTGGACTTGTAAACTTCTGGTAAGCTTGTTGTCAATCTCCGGAACTGCAACTCGGACAAAGTGAGGACAGTCGCTCGAGGTGCGGGAGCACAAGGATTTTCTGGGAAACCCAAACAAAAAGCGCAGGGAGGGATGGTGATTAAATTCATGGTATATTATATTCGACCCTTTGATAAATCGCTTTGACCTTATGGATACTATTTCTTTTAAAATCCAAAACTCCAAACAAATAAGGCAACGCTTAAATGAGGTTCTTCAGCTGCTGACCGGCCAAGAACTTTCTCAAATTCTCGACGATCAACTGTTCGGCACCCTGTGGCCTGCCGCCGGCCGCGTGTGGGCTGAGAATGAGGTTGGGGGCCTTCCAGAGCTTGCTTGGCTCAGGAAGAGGTTCTGTCTCGAACACGTCGAGAGCGGCACCGCCAATCCTCTCCTCCACAAGAGCGTCGTAGAGGGCATCCTCATCGATGGAGGTGCCGCGTCCGACGTTGACCACCCAGGCGTGCTTGGGGAGCAGCTTCAGCCTCTCGGCATTGAGAGCGTGCCTTGTGGATGGGTCGCCAGGGAGGATCATAACCAAGGCGTCGGTCTCTGGTAGCAGCTCGGCAAGCCTGTCCTCAGAGTATACCTCGATTCCATTGCGGACATCTTGACGGCGAGCAACTCCGCGAACCTGGGATCCAAGTTGCACAAGAGAGGGGGTGAGAGTCTTTGCGATATTTCCGAAGCCCCAAATCAAGACGCGGGCGTCACGGAGGGTGGTGAATCTATCGGCGGGGCGATCGGGCTGGGGACCGCCGAGGTGACCGGGCCACTTGCCCTGGAGCTGGTAATCCCGCATCTCGTAAAACCTGCGGGCGGCATTGAGAAGGAGACCAAGGGTATGCTCGGCGACGGTGTGGTCGTGGAGACCGGAGCCGGTGGTGACGGCAACCTTGGAGGTGTCGAAGCCGGCGCTGAGAACGTCATTGGGACCGGCGGCGAGAGACTGGATCCAGCGCAGCTTGGTCAGACGGCTGACGGCATCTTTGAGGTTGTCGGAGGAGTTGGTCCAGGTGACGAGGATCTCAGCGTCGACGTGCTCCTCGGGGATGGGAGCCTTGACGTCGTAGGGGTGGAGCGTGACGGAAGGGAATCCCTCGATCTGGGAGACATCCAGCTTGAGAGAGGTGGGGTAGAGGAGCTTCATGTTTGATGTTGCTGCAGAGAGATGCGAGTTGATGCTGGAAAGAAAGCGGGTGGGAGTCGACCGCATTGGGCTCGTCCTTTTATGGGATGGGATGTCGATGATGATAAGTCGTCCTCGTTTTGTTGGAGTAACCTAGGTTGGGTGGGTTGGTGATGAGATGAACGCCGGCGGTCTTGGAGGGGTCTGGTCCCGTCTACTAAGGGCCAAGGTGGGGTGGAGATGCTTCCGTTCGGTCCATTTTCCCCAGAAGTTCCCGTCCTGAACCCCAATTTCCTAGGGGTCTCCAGGGGATTTCCCCGCTTTCCCCCCTCCCCTCCCCCACGCACATACAGTCGAACCCCCTGAAACTGCATCCTCCAGATACTGCATATACGCCAGTTAGAGCATAAGAATCGGCGGTCTGAATTAGAAGCCATTCACAACTGCATATCTGTATACTGTATACGATCCATGGTGTTTATGCGCTAAGAGGAGGGGGTCGTATTGGGTAGGAAGGGGTTATAGCCAACCAGAGACAGCCTTCAAGAGGGGAAAATATAGGGATTTTTAGTATTATAGCCTAAACCGAGGCTTAAATTACCCTCTAGACCTTATTTTACTAGGTATATAACCCGCTAGCTCTATATTCTTTATACTTCCCTATATTCTAAAGACTACTTTTTATAATGATTTATTAGTAATTTTATTTCTTAAAATATTCCTTATTATTCTCTATTATAATTTACAATTTAAAGTTTAAGAAGGTATTTAAGTAATATTATATTTATTAAGATACTTTTATACTTTTATTTACCCCTAACCCTACTAGAAAATTTTTTATTTAGGTATAAAGGTTTAAATTGTAATAATAGTTCTATTCCTAATAATCTCGCCCGTTTTAACGTATTATTTAGGGATAGATTTAATATATATATAGTGTAGAATTCCTATAATATACTATTTTTCATTATTTCAATAGGAAGAATAACCCGCTAAATCTCCTTTATATTAATTAGGAAGCTTAATAGTTTAAGGGTAAGCGTTTATATATTAGATAGTAGTTAATATTTAAGGAAATCTTCTTTAAATAGTAGAAGGCTATTTAATTTCGTAATTTTAGTACTTTAATAGAGCTTTTACAATAAAAAGTACATTAAATCTAAATGGAGTACCTCGAAGTACGAAATAACGAGCCTATTAATACTTCTCAATACCCTCCCTTTAGTAAAAAGTAGTATTAATTATTTAAATAGTGGTATAATATTTCTAAACGTATATTCTATAGGGAGGTAATTAATATTCTTATTAGGGATCTTTTTATAATTTAAATTATAATAGATTTTAAAAAATTTACCGTTATATTCTCTCCTAATAATATCTATAATATAAATAAAATTAGGCTATATTAATACTATATTCCTTCTATAGGTTTCGCTTCTATTAGCCTCCCTAATATTAAGCGGGATAAAATATATATTTCTTTAGTATTAATAATAAATAATATTAATAATAACGTTTTTAAAATTTAGGTTATTAGTAAAGTAAAAGTCCCCTATGCAATTAAATATTTTAATTAGAATAGTTACTATATTATTTAAAGAAGTAATAAGAAGGTTTAAATAATAGGAATAATTATAAAAAAGTAGTTCTAGGCCTTTTATACTTATATTATTTACAAAAAACCTACCTAACGTGTATTTTTATTATTAAATAACTTTTCTAATTATTAGTTTAATTTTGAGTTTACCCCTCTACCTAATAATATTATTATTAGATTCTTCCCTCCTAACGTTATATTCCTATATTAATTAATAGATTAAGGGATTATTAATAACTTTAAAGTATAATACTATTATTATTATTTTAAATAACTATATATAACTATAATTAAATACTCAATTACTAATTTTAGCGTTAACCCTATTAGGGAAATAAACTTTTGTTTCTCCCTTAACTAGATTAACGATATATAATTCTTTGAATTTAAATAAGAGATTATTATTAACTACTGGCAGCGGTCAATAATATTAGGAGACTCTTTACCGGAAGGGGAGCTTATTAACGTACTTAGTAATATATATAAATTTTACGACCGTGCTACTATTGTTACTTATATTTGTAATAAAATGGATTTAAATAACTTTCTTAACCCTACTAATAAAAACTAGGCTCTAGGAGAGTCTTTAAGTATTGAGGATGTTTTGCAAAATGTTATTTCTAACTGGCAAATTGGTTTAAAAGATATTTGTAATAATAAGGATAACGAGGATAACTAAGACTTTACGTTGCCGGGTATTATTAATTCAAAAGCGGTAGTAACGAGTCTTATTAATATATTAGATTAGGTAATTAAAAAGATTCTATTTAATTTTAATAATATAATAGTATTTAGGAAAATAAAAAGGAAGATCGAGGGATACTTATTTAATTGTTCTAAATAAATTACTTTATTGGATTTCTAGAAGTCTGGTGGGTAGTACGAGGAGGAGGAGAAGTTTCTAGAGTAGATTCCTATAGTAAATAACCCCTATTTATTCCTCTTACGTGATTTCTAGAAACTGTATATTCGCCATTTAGTGCATGGATTTTGGCGGTCTGAATTACATGCAGTTTCAGGGGGTTCGACTGTAACCCCCACTTGCCTCCCACTGACTCCCACTGACTCCCACTTCCTCTAGGTCCATCGTGTCCCTCAATCTCCCACGTTCGGAGAAATTTGACAAGACATTGCGGGCGCCCACGGGGTACAATGTCCCGATCTTGGTCACGGTTTCGGCTGAGTTCCGTGGTGGGGGCCGAGTGGCCAGGGGCAGGTTGGGGCGTGGAATCCAACTCGGAGCCCTTTCCTCTTTTCAATCACGTCATCATACAAAACAAACACACCCACAAACACCATGCCAGTGTGAGCTCTCCAACGTCGTCACATATTACCTATTCAATGCTATATCAAACTCATTAAGCCATGGTATCGTAGCACATCCTCCCACCAGAAGCCAAATGCCCAAAACTCCAGCCAAATCATGTTTCTTTCCCTTAACCCGGTAGCCTTGATCCCACAAACTCCCTTTGGCCTCGCTAGTATTGACGTCTGGCATCCTACATCGCCTTTCCAACCTCAAATCCAGTGCCTCCCGCAGTATTTCCTTCGCCAGCCCTTCTCTCTGCTTCCTGACCCTCTTCCTCTGCGCTTGACTCGGCAACCGCCGGAAAGTAACTTAGCGTGTTGGGATCCGCAGCAACACCACTGGGGCCTTGTGCCGGCATTGGCTGACCTGTCGGGGCCCCGGCATCCAGGCTCGAGCTCGGCTGTCCTATCAGCGTAAATTCGCTATCAGCCCTTCGAAGGTTAGCCGGATGAGGCGCCAGCTTCTCATTATCGGAGGGGTCCGACTTCGGAATGGGAACGGTCGAGGATCGCGATGGCGGAGGTGGCGTGGGGTTCACATCATACACGGAAACCACTGGCGTCGACTTGGTGTCCTTTGTGGTGATCTCAGGTTCCGCCTTTGTTGAGGCTTCCGGCGAAGACGACACATCATCGGCCGGCGAGCGCTTACTCGGGCCAGGTTCGCTCGAGGCCGGGGCAGGACCAGGTCCGAAAGGAGTGGGAGAGTTCCAAGGAAATCCTGGAGGAGAAGGCGCGCCTCCGTTTCCAGGAGTCATCATCGGAAACGCTCCCGCTACGAACTGCGCCGGGATGATAAAATGCATCGGCGTTCCTTGCTGCGGCGTCATGGAAGCCCAATCGGGTGTTGCCATCGGCGAGCCAGTCGGCGGTGCGGCGTAGACAAAGAACGGAGCGCTGCTCGAAGAAGATGGGTTGGCGAACATGGTGTACATCGGGGCCGGCGGGAGAGGCGTTTGGGAGTTCATCCCATAAGCCTGGCTTCCACTTGCTTCGGATGGCCTGCTGAACGCCTCCTTCTCGTGGACCTCAGGCCGCTTTCCGTTGCCCATGCCACTGCCTTGGGCTTTGTCCGAACTTGTTCGTGCGTCTTCCAGTTGGTCTTCAAATTCCTGCCTCACGTCCTCAAGTTCATCGCTGTGGTTATTCTTCAACTTCCTGATGGTAATGGCCTCTGGAAAAGATATCAGCTGATGAGCAAACCAAAAAGAAAAACACAACGCCACTTACCACTCAGCATCTGCAAAAACGTAAATACGGTAAGTGTCATCATCAGAAGAGGGACAAGCTGACCAAAGGACTTCGGGTCGTTCTCCGGGTTGGTGCCATTATAGAGTTGGATCCAGCCTGACCGGTCCACCCAGCGGCGAAGCATCTCAATGTACTCGGAAGAGGAGGCCATCGTGTATCCTGAAATTACCAGGCCAGCCAAAAGATAGACGCCATAGATCTGTCCACCGATGCGATTCACCCACTTCAGCTTCTTCTGTCCTATCATGTCCACCAACCACTTGCAAAACTTTTCCCGCTTTCCGCCATTCTCCCGTCCTGCGCGAACGACCCGACCAAGGGTAACAATGTTGGCAAGGACGTAGTACAGGACAAGAATGACAAAGGGAGTCCATCCGGTGATACGGTCGCCCACCTTGAACAGCCCGGCTCCGTGGAAAGACTGCTGCAAGGTGTTTGCAAACTGCTCAGCGCTCCCTTGGAAGCAGGCGGCTGGTAGAAGGAGGGTGCTCCATTTCTCGTCGTCTTTAGGAACTGCGGTCGGAAACGCAAGCTCGGAACCTGGGGTTGCCTGGGTAGAAAGATAAATTCCCGTCGCGAGATACAATAATCCTGTCGCTACCGTCCGGATGCCGGCTACCCAAGGGTGCTCCCAGTAGTGCTTGGACACAAGAAGGGTCAGCAAGTGTGTGGCGCAGGTGATCAACAGCATGTTCGCAATAACATTGTAGTGGTAGGCCGAGATGGAGCAGGCTTTGGCGAAGCGCATCGTGATGGCGTACGCCGCTCCGGTGAAAATCTGCTGATCACTACACGAGATGATGAGCATCTCGAAGAAGCCGCCGATGCTGAGCTGCCATCTTTTGTTTTCCTTCTCTCTGTTGAGCAGGCGGTTAGCAACCCCACCTTCCTTGGAGCGCTTCGTCCATCCAAGTATGACTTACTCTGCTGTTATCCTTTTTTTGAGCTTTGTCAACTTGGCGTAGTGCCACAAGACATGCAAGAAGGCTATTATTAACGCAAACCCCGTTATAACGACAAAGGCTCCGAGGATCTAAAGACACGGAAACGGGTAAGCTCGTGTCCACATACAATTTGTGCTCCGGGGAACCTTACACCGATACCCGCAATATCTGGATCTGGGTTAAAGTCTCCGGGTCTGTTTCCTCCGACAGATATCACGGTCTTGTTGTCGGATGCGTAAACTACAGTACAATCTACCGCGATTCCATAGTGCTCACGGCACTGCGGTACTGAAGTATAGGCGCCCATGTTCACCGCTGATCAGGAGTCCTGATCCGAGGACGGCAGCCGGGGCTTGGATGTCGATGGACGATCAAAACTTGAAAACCTCAAAAACCCGGTGATGGCCGTGAAGAAAGAAGTATACACAAACTCCCCAAGGGCAAGAGCCCAGCATGTGCTTGCCCCCGAGCCGAGAGAGGGCTCTCGAGTTATAAAGCCCATCTGGTCGGTCTCTCGAGTTCAGAAAGGAGAGCCAAGCCCCACATGCGGCTATTCCGTCCGCGACAAGGGTTTATCACTGGACTTGGCACCAAAAGCACCCCGGTCCCTCAACTCAAAGACAGGGAATGCTGGAAAATGCGGTGATACCCTGGAAAAGCTTCTTGATCCAACAGAATCGCGAGGATGCTCTTCTACTGGTTGCCGCCTTGGCGGACCCTAGTGTCGATCATTGGGTTTCAAGACCCTCTGCGGTTCAGGCTGTGACTGTCAGTACATAGGTAATGTACACGACAAAACTGACCTGTTGGACGGCCGTGATGGTTGCGACTTTCAGTGGCTCGGTCGAGATGATCCTCTGCTGGCATTGGTGCCACGACGGCCACAACAGGGCTCCTTGGGCTCCATAATTCCGGATGAGAGCTGACCAGCCACGATACAACGTATCAGCAAGCATGCGGTTTACGGCCGCGGTAGCTCTGCTGGACTGTCTGCGACTGGTGCTGCAAGAGAGCTCTCTCCAGGAGGGCCGGTCCGAAAGTTTTTTTTTGGGTGGCCTCTCCAATCAACAAAGGGACGACAAGGGACTCGCTGCCAACGAAGAAGCTAGCTACTGACAGCTAGACTCTCCACAGAATAGTTAGGAAAAGAAGGGCTGCAATAAACCAGTGGCTGGGAAAGAAGCTTTGCCGGACTTCGACTTCAGCTTTGTCGATCTCGACCTTATTCCCTCCCTCTTTCTGGCTGCAGAAGGCACATGCAGTTTTCGACATTTGCCCATTCATCGGTCGTCACAGATGATCACGAATCGCAGACTCCAACATGCACGGGTCGTGAGTTGCATGAGGTTGTGGCAGTTTGTGATTTAATTCGATGCCCGTTTGGTGCGCCTTCCCCTCTCCCCCTCCCCCCTCATTCAGCTAAGAAAGCAAAATTTTCCAATCTCTCCAGTCTAGGCCTGAATTGATCCCATGGCCCTTTTTACCCATCCATCCTTCACCCAGCTCTTCTCCGCATCGTCCGCCTATCTGAGGAATTCAGCTATCGTTGAAAGCGCCACTAACCGCGGGCCATGCTCCGGTTCTGGCAAATTTGGGGAAGGCTGTCGGGACTCGGCGGCCAAAGGCCAAGGAAGGGTCTGGGTCTTTTTTTTTTTTTTTTTTTTTTTTTTTTTTTTTTTTTTTTTTTTTTTTTTTTTTGCTCTTGAGAAGATTAGACAAGTCGTTCGGGCCTTGAGGCCTTTTGAGTCTGAGGGTGTGAAATGGCCATGGTGTGATGGATGGTGGAAATGAGATATGTCACTCCCAGTGGCTCTCGAAGCTTCCTAAGATGCCTTAGAACTTCAAGATAAGCCTTATCAAAACCAGGAATACCCCCCTCCGTCAGAGACCGAGACATCTTCTAAGATGCACAACACTGGCCGTTGAATGGCCAAGTGGGCTGTATTGTGGGGACTAGAAAACCAATGCCTGTCATGGACTGTACAGAGGGCTGAAAGGTTAGAGAGTGGTGATCAACGCCGTACATAACGGCAGTATGTAAGATTCGTCCTATTCCCCGACTTGGCCGCTATTGGTTGTGGAGAGGAAGTCTGGACATGATGAGCATCATTGACAAGGCAAGTCTGGACACACCTGCAGGCACCGTGGGACCTGCAAGACTATAAACGCGCATGCGAGACATGCTGCTACAGGCTGGGACTGCTTGGGACTAAGCGAAGTGGCTTCTTTTCCTCCGTGGGGGAATGTCTCAGAGAAACAATTCCATGTCTACTCGTGCTACGGGAGGTGGGCGGTTGCGGGAGTCGGCACGATGTCCATGTTTCGTTTCAGAGGTTATGAGACTGGTACCTAGAAAGCTTAGGGAAGCTCTCTTCTCTCAGATACAGTAAGTAAGTGGCTAGCAAAGCCTGTAGACTCTACTTTGTATCCTGAAATGTTGTAGGAAGAAGGTCGATGTTGGTTGCACATTTACAGGTCTTTCTTCAAATGCCTCGACGGCTCTGGGCAATGAAACTGTAGAAGTTTCACGATATCTTGCTATAATTCTTCGAAGCTCAATTACTATGTTACAACCCAGCTCGATACCAACGTGATGCTCAAGTCAGCCCCGAAAGTCAAAGTACAGGCTTTGTGGCATTTGTTAGCGCTTTTTGGCACTGGACTACTTAGGCAGCAACTTCTTGGCCCCACTTCAACAAACCATCAAAATCCCCTTGTGGTGTAGTTGGATATCACGTTCGGCTGTAATTGTCTAGATTGTATACCGAAAGGTCACCGGCTCGATTCCGGTCGAGGGGACATTATGTTTTTTTCTTTCTTTTTCTCTTGTATCGTCGACTATCGTTTTCCACCATGATGAAGACAACTGGCAGATTCTTGAATTAGCGGCTTCTTTTTTTTCTTTCTTGGGAACCACAATTGCAGTCTCTACGAGGATGGTAAAGTCTCGATTTCACATCAGCGGCATCATCATTTGAGAGTGGTGTTCGCTAGATGTAGCGCACAGGCCACTCCTACGAAAACTGCGTTGTTTGACTGCGACTTCCATTTCCATCATCACTTTTCTCTTCTCTTCTCAATTCATCATCAGTCACTTCGCTCACTTTCATGCTTCCCTTTCCATCAAACGCTCACCACCAGTCAAGAGTTGTCAATCTGTCCCAGTCACCACGCAAATCGCAATGTCAGATCCGCTTCAGTTTATCAGTGCTTCACGCACTCGGAAACATCTATCACATCGCGCGTGACCAACGTTGAGAAATCAATGATTTTATTCTGCGACACACGCGTTTCTATACTGTCTCACTGCGGAAATCCGGCTTTTTTTTCTTTATATCACACTGATTGAAATCCATTGCAAATCCTATCAACTGCCGAACTCTTCTGTCACCAAATCGAGCTCCATCAATCCTTCCAATGTATTCCTTCCATGTTCAAGTGAACCAACCAATCATTCCAGCGTCCATTCTTTCATTCAACTTCCAAATACAAACACTTCCTCCTCTTGAATCCTATCCTTCCAAACTCGTCTCAGGCATCAGCCATAAACTTAGCAGCAAGCAACCGGCCTAATCATCTCAGCATTAGGCTTAGGCACCATGGGCGTCTGAGGACGAGGAATGGGATCAATGTCATCGATGCACTCATCATCGGAATCGTCGCTGGTGACCGGAACTAGAGGAGTCTGAGGGCGAGGGACCGGCATCTCATCATCGCCGTTGGGGTGGGGAGTAGGAGGGCGGGGAGCGGGCTTGGAGTCACCCTCACCGTCGGAGTTGGGAACAGGGACGAGAGGGGTTTGGGGACGGGGAATAGGGTCGTCATCGAGGCATTCATCGTCGGAATCGTCGGAAGTGACGGGGACCAAAGGCGTTTGGGGACGAGGGACCGGCATCTCTTCGTCGAGGCACTCGTCATCCGAGTCGTCAGAAGTAACAGGCACCAAGGGTGTCTGGGGACGAGGGACCGGCATCTCTTCGTCGATGCATTCATCGTCAGAGTCATCAGAGGTAACCGGGACCAAGGGAGTCTGGGGACGAGGGACCGGCATCTCTTCGTCGAGGCACTCGTCATCGGAATCGTCGCTGGTGACAGGGACTAGGGGAGTCTGAGGACGAGGAACGGGCATCTCTTCGTCGATGCATTCATCGTCAGAGTCATCAGAGGTAACCGGGACCAAAGGAGTCTGTGGGCGAGGAACGGGCATGTCATCGCTATTGGGCACCGGGACTAGAGGGGTCTGCGGGCGGGGGATGGGGTCCAACTCGAGGTGATCACCATTGGGGTGAGGGGTGGGGGGTCGAGGAGCGGGCTTAGAATCGCCCTCACCGTCAGAGTTGGGGACCAGGACCAAGGGGGTCTGAGGGCGAGGAATAGGATCATCCCTCTTCAAGGGGCCGGACTCGAAGCCACAGTTGTCGGGCTTGTTGGGACCGGGGCTGCCGGGACGAGGCTTGCCGGGCTCGGTGGAGGTGGTGTAGTCCGACTCCGGATGGTACGCCTTGGGAGAGACGTGGGTGAAAGTCTGAGTAGCGACGCAAGTAGTCATTTTGTTGATGTTTTGGTAGTTGTTGGTTGTTAGATGTGGTTACTTTGTTGTTAGCTTTGGTTGTTGCAGTGGTGGTTCTCGTTGGTGTGAAGATGTTAATGCTGATGGTGATGAGGGAAGAGAAGACCAGGAACAGGTCGGGGAATGGTTCGTTATATGCACTTTCAAGTCGCATACTGTCGAGTTACGGGTTCCCAGGTCCGCACAACTCTGGAGGCTTGTCGATGCATCGTAATCACTGGAAGCAGCATTGTTGGTGTCGACACAGAGAGATGATTCACGAGAGTGTTTGTCGTCTTGTATTTCACGACATAGTCCGGTATCAGCTGAACCAACACCATGATGGGCTTCGGCACCGACAACACAAGTTTGATGCAGAAACACCTACAGCTATGACAAGTGTTGGCCGTGGGTGACGAATGGATGATTCTTTTTCTTCAACAATTTTCGACAAAGATCCCGACAGCTGCCATGTCGTTGGCTTCGGAAGCTGTTTTCTTGGATCAGTAATCGAGCGCAGGATATTCGAGGCAACAATGCCATAACCAACGAAGCACCGTCAAGCTTCACCAAACGCAGCCCGCTCATTTCAAAACGCGATGATTTTCCGAAGACGCTGAGACACAGCGCATTCCCAAATTCTCGAGATTGTTCGCCAACGCCCACTACGTACCAGGAAACACATATCCACAAGTCTAGACCACATTGCTCACAACTCTGATGCGGCAGTAGATACTGGCTCATTACCAATCCCCTATGCCATGACGATTCGGGCCTCGAGCAAGCATGCGTCTCTGCTGTCATCAATAAACCGTTTGTGGTTCTCAAGAAACTCGTTGTATGGAAAGGGATATTTGCCGTGCGCTCCAAGGTATAAGAAGGAGCGATTGCGCACCAAAACTAAGGTGAGCACCATTGATTTTTCGAACACATACCCGCCACCTCCAATCCGAGCCAAACTATTTCCTGTCTACGTTGAAATGTTTCTTCTTCCTTTTCATGAATGAGCTTACCCGATTCTGGCTTCTATTTTATTTCGAATTCAAACAGAAAACGAGGACAAACTGGTTGGTAATCACTGATCAGTTGAACAATCGAGTGGTTGATATTGAAAGATGTAAGGAGATTTACTATTCGTGGCCAACATCATTACCCGGCATTACCGCTTCCTACCACATTTCACCATGAAATAAAGAAACATATCCAAAAGACCAGAAACCCCCTGAGATCGTTTACACGCAACCATCAAAGCTGCCCCCTTCACCATCCACACCAACCCACACGTCAACCCCCTCCTCTCTAATCTAATGCTTATACGTGATAATACACCCCTCATCCCTCATCCCTCTAAACTCCACCACATGCAAGCCCAACTCCTCCTGGTACTTGCACCTGGTCATGGCATCCAGGATCCAACAAAGCTGCATGGCCCACATCTTGACATTCTCCAGATAACAGCCCGCCCAGGGGCTGTTCCTCATCTGGTCGTGATTGCGCTCCCACACGTTCAAGAAAAAATAAAGGATGTGGTGATTCGGTCTCCAAGTGGCCTTGCTCGGGCCCTTGCGCAGGTATTCCCTGGTGCCGAACATGCCCTGGAAGAGCGGGATGATGTGGTATATGGGGCAGGGAATCGTGGAGGTTTTCGCAAAGGGATCCGCCGGAGGGGGGTTGTTGTTGATGGTGATGGTGGTGGTGGTGGTAGGTGGGGGGGAAGAGGAGGAAGAAGAGGAGGTGGTGGTGGTGGCGGACTTGCGCGAGGCGGCTAGGGGCTTGAGAAAGTCACGCTCGAATTCGGTCCAGAAGGGTGCGAGGGCTGGAGAGGCGAGCCAGGCGGTGAAGGTGTCGTAGCAGGTGAAACCGGCTTTTTTGGAGGCGAACTCGAGGATGGCGCGGTGTTTGGGGCTGTTCATCTCTTCGATGGTGAGGAAGGTGTTGATGTTTTGGGAGTCGGGGGAGGCCACCTTGGGTGGAGATACCAGGGGTTGTTGGTTGGTTGGTTGATTGTTTGGGGTGGTCATTGTCAAGTTGCTAAGGTGAAGCTTGTTGTTGCTGTTTCTGTGAGGTTGCTGTTGTGTAGCTTTTAATGCTTCGGAGATTGCTTGATGTGTTGTCAAAAGTCAAGATGAGCTATCACCTGGAATACTTATATATCATACGGCTTGGTCGTCATCATGAGACAGAGGTAAGCAATCAAAGAGAGCTGTTTTGGCTTGATCGTGGATGTGAGACAGCAGCGACTAACGTCATGAATGCTTGAGCTGTGCTCTGAAAGAGAAAATTGTTCGAAATACATTCTCACTGTTCAGTTACTGACACTCGTAACAGCGCAGGTGTTCTTTTCTGTTCCTACGGATACATGAACCCGGCGTTCCCGCGTCGAAACAAAGAAAATGACAGCATTGACAAGACTGTTCAGTGAACAAGACGGGAATTCACAGCCACAGGGACTAGAACCCTGCTAAACAGCCGAGCTCTGTCCCAAAGACAAAGAGATGGCTAGTATCTACTCTGGCATGTGCTGCATAGGGGGGATCGTATCATGGGGGAGTTAGCAATCATGTCTTGCTTTCAAACATGTGAGCGACAAGCGCATGTATTCACAAAAGAAAACATGGGACCGGCACAGAGTTGGCAAGCTTTATGTGAGATGAAGATATGATATTTTTCCAGGCCTGGATATGATGCAAACCATTTGAACTAACAAAGTAGCAAGTGAAACGACCGTAGTTTCTGAGACGGAATGCCTCAGGTAGAATGATATATGATAGTGCCCAAGCGACAGTCACCCTAACATACCACTTGATAACCGGTGCTGCTGTCTGAAACGAGTTCGTCAAGCATATCAAGGACGATGATCGAATCCGTCGCCCAAGCCCCCATGTTCGCCGAGTGCGCATTGCGCCAGCCGCTTTATCGAGCATGTGTTGTACCTCATAGCAAAACCAGAATCAACCTTGATGATGGGGAAATCCCCAGATCTCTGCCGCGTGACATGTTGATATGTTCGTGATGATGACAAATTACATAAGTGGACAAATGCGATAAGCGAGCACACACAACCTCTAGTCATGGACGCTTGTCATTACAACCACGAGCTGTTGTTCATGGTTTCAAGGTATGGGCAGTAAAACCGGTCTCAGAAAAACTCTAATGGCTGAGAGGTAAAAGGGAGAAACAACTGTGTCCTGGAGAACGAGACACAGACAATTTACAATGGGATGGTGACGGCCATGGCTCTACGACAGCCTTTGTCCACTTGGCATTCTGTTGACTGAACATGCCCGTGGCTGAAGATAGTGGCGTTATTCGGCTCAGTCCCTCATCTGCCTAACATTGATATTGATGCGCTTGTTCTTCATCCAGCCCCTCCAAGCCTCATACTTTCCATCTTCGGCGGGCCAATCCTCCAGCCACTCGGGACAGGTGCCCTTGAAGATTTTGGGCACACCATGCCAGGCAAACCTGGACTCCTTGGTCATGTAAATGATATCGCCGGACCGTAGCCTTAGCAGCAAAAACTTCTTGTCGCTCTTGCCACTTTCACTTTCTGCGGATCCCTTTTGCTTTTTATCTTCCGACACCTTGCCCCAGTCCTCGGGGCAAATCATGAAGAGCGAATCACAGCCTATACTCAAGCTGACCAGGCCTTTGTCGGTCTCTTCTGACACATCGCGGTGCATCATCATGGTATCGCCGGGGGTGTAGAAGTTTACAATGGCCGCTTGGGCCAGAGTGTCGGGAAACAGGGTCTCCAATAGGCCGGCAATGTCTTTGGGAAACTCGGGGGGCAGCTCGCCCGGGTAAACGCGATTCGTCCAGTCATACTGTCCACCCAGGGTGACCCAGTGTAGCTTGCGGTTGAAGACTTGCTGAAAAGTGAGAGGCTTGTGTACAGAAGGGTCCTTTGGCTCAAAACAAGTCTCGGAATATGGAGGGTAGGAGAAGAAGGATTCCTGAAGGCCTGTTTCGGGATCCACGGGTGGGTAGGGGAGCTTGAAATGGAGATGCATGTTGGTCTGGTGGTGAGGTTGGTTGAGATCGCGGTGAATGATGTTGCGCAGGAGCGTCTTTTGGACCTCGGGGGGAATGAGATTTGGGAGAATCAAGAGACCTTTTGGGGTTGGTCAGCAAAGATTGGCGAAGAAGAGGGGTCCAGGATTTTGAGTTCACCAGGCAAGAGAGGATGGTAATAGATGGGGGCGTCCTTGTCTGTGCGGAACTCTGGTGAGTGCTCGGGGCAAATATAGCTGAAGGACTTGTTCAAGGTTTCGGTAGGAATGGAGCCAGCGAGCACAAACTCGGGGGCTTTTTCGGGACTGCGCAAGTCATCGATCTCGGGGCTGTTCATGACGATTTTCTGGTCGACTTTGGCGAACGACTTCCACTTGAGCCGCAGCTCATCCGACGGCTGCTCATGCGCATCCAGGTCATGGTGTCCACCCATCATCTTGAAAGTCGGGTAGTTCTTTTGAGCGAGATATCCAAAAAGAAGATGGAAAAGTAACCGAAGGAATGGATATGAGTATACAAGTTGACCCCTTCCGAGTCCTCGTGTGACGTTGCGGATTTGGAGTAGGTAAGTATCGTGAGATGAAATTGTGGGGACTTGAGTGAAGCTTCAGACGGGAAGGATGGTCGAGATGGCTGACTGATGTGTGGGCGTCGAGCTGAGGCTGAGCGTCTGAATGGCTGGAGCTTCTGAATGGCGCCACAAGTCAGGGGTAGTCAACAGAGGTCAGGTCGTGGCTACTCTACCCCATCTTGGTGGGCTGTCGGATACAAGTACACCGGCACCGAGTGATGGACGGACTCCCGGCATTGTGTGTTATGGTAAGTACTTGCTAGAACTAGGTAGAGGTACGGTACATATGTGGTACCTAGGTAGGTTGCTTGAAAGTTTACCTACCTTTACCTCGGAGTACCGACCAGGAAAGCGGGCATTCCCTTTTTGGACGCGTTCATTCCTCCCTTGCAGTGGTTTCCATGGTGCCGTCGCGGTCCGCGCTTTTTGTGTTGACACCCGACGGATTTCCGCCAAGTAGACGTAATCGTCCTGTCTCCAACCACCCGGACGCCCGTCAAGAATAAAACCTACTGCACCTATTACAGCGGGCCACCCCCTGGACTGTCCTCTAAATCCGACACTCGAACGACAACCACAACTTCACAACCTCGACTTGCACGCCCACCGCCTCTCCTTCCTTGAATTTCTGTCCCTTCACCGTCACGGTCCCCTACTAGTATCAAGAAGTTGCAGGAACAACGGACGACAATTACATCGCTCGCTGCATCATATTGCCTTTCCATCAGCGGCCTTTCGCATTCAGCCCTCCATCCAGGACGACCCGTCGACATTCACGGCACCATCATCACGACCCAAAGTCAACACCAAAACAAAGTATTTACGGTAGTACTGTATGTAGCCTTTTGACGGCAACGACGGACGATTCCACCTTTTTTTTTTTTTGTTTTTGTTTACCGACCCGCCACCGCGCTCCCTTTGGACACCACCTTTCCTTGGCTGGACCTTGACTCTCCAAGGATCAATCTCGAGAAAGCGACCCTTCGACGGCGGTCACTTTCTCCATCCGCCGCCGCCCCACGCTTCGTTCTGGGCTTTTCCGTCCCTGTGCTTCAGCGCTAGGTACAACATCGTTCGTCGTAATCGTCCCCCACCACGACGACCACGATCACCAGGCACCACCCCGACTAGTAGTTCTACGACTCTAGTCAAGGTCAATTCTTTTCCTTCAAACCACCCATTTCAGTATAGCGGCCTGGACGGGTAACAGAGCAACCATGGAGAACTATCAGAAGCTAGAAAAGATTGGCGAGGGTACAACATCCCCTTCTTCTTCTTCTACCCCATCCACCTTGGCTCTCTTCCTTCCTTGTCAAATACTGACATGCCACCTTCCGCATAGGAACGTATGGTGTCGTCTACAAGGCCCGCGACTTGGCCAACAGCGGGCGCATTGTCGCCCTCAAGAAGATCCGTCTCGAAGCCGAAGATGAGGGCGTCCCCTCCACCGCCATCCGCGAGATCTCGCTGCTCAAGGAGATGCGCGACCCCAACATTGTGCGCCTCCTCAACATTGTCCATGCCGACGGCGGTCAAGGCCATAAGCTGTATCTCGTCTTCGAATTCCTCGATCTTGATCTGAAGAAGTACATGGAGGCCCTTCCTGTCAGCGACGGTGGTAGGGGCAAGGCCCTCCCCGAAGGTACGGGCGCCGGACTGCACAATTTGGGACTGGGCGAGGATATCATCAAGAAGTTCATGAGCCAGCTTTGCGAGGGCGTCCGATACTGCCACAGCCACCGTGTCCTACACCGCGATCTCAAGCCCCAGAACCTGCTCATCGACCGCGACGGCAACTTGAAGCTAGCAGATTTCGGTCTCGCCCGCGCCTTTGGTGTTCCACTCCGTACTTATACCCACGAGGTCGTCACATTGTGGTACCGTGCACCCGAAATTCTGCTGGGTGGTCGTCAGTACTCGACCGGTGTTGATATGTGGTCCGTTGGTTGCATCTTTGCCGAGATGTGCACACGCAAGCCCTTGTTCCCTGGTGATTCGGAAATTGACGAGATCTTCAAAATCTTCCGGTACGTTTATGCAGTTACCTTCCCTTGTCACCTCTCCGCTTCTCCCCTAGTCTGGCCATACTGACCTCTTTTCCTCTAAACAGTCTGCTTGGAACCCCTACTGAGGACATCTGGCCCGGCGTCACCTCCTATCCCGACTTCAAGGCATCCTTCCCCAAGTGGGTACGCGACTACAACGTACCACTCTGCCAAAATCTTGACGATGTCGGTCTTGAGCTACTTGAATCCATGCTTGTCTACGATCCTGCTGGCCGAATTTCTGCCAAGGCAGCGTGCAATCATCCTTACTTTGAGGACTACAACCCCAAGCCAAAGAGCAAATATCGCGACAGCAGCAGATACGCCTAGGGGCGTTCGCCAAGGTCGATGGAGGAGCGTCATGGCAATAGCAAATCGACTGTCCAAGCTTTGCAGCCGGCTGCTTAGGTTCGGTCGGATCTCGGTGACCTCAAAGTGGGCAGTTCGTCGCAAGGGTACAGACTTGGTGATTCTACCAGCAGCGAGTGAGGTCGACACACCGAAACGGTGACAGAGACAAACTGTCATTATCACACCTGAAGCATATCATAGCATCCCACTTTGCTTTCAGGATATTCGGAAACATGATATTCGACACATCAAATTCCCCATACCTACATTTTGTTGTATGTAGGGTTGTGTTTTTAGGGAACAGCGTTCAAAGGGGTCATGGGTAAAGGAATTACATTGGAATGGAGTTCTGTATTACACGATTCGGTGTTATCTGGAAGAGCAAATGGCATTCAAGGGATGGGGCTTTCTGTTAGCCCTGGTGCATATTAGGGAGTTGTGGTGTGAAGTGTACTGTACACAGGGAGGGAAAAGGCGCAAGACATTGTTCCAACAGATCGCGCATGTACATACCCCCATTTTCCAAACACCGATCCTTCGTTTGGGGATGCGAAGTGATGTCGGCTCCGCCTTCATCTTTCATGTGCTCCATTTCTTTCTCCCTGCTCTGTTTTATGTTGCCATTGATCGATTTCTCATGTTGCCTTCTTGGCTGTCTCTCTTTCTGACAAGCGCTCACACCACCGCGTTAAATGCCCCCCCCCCCCCCCCCCCCCCCAACATTGTTGGCTCCCAACATCTCGGATATCAAAGGGCATCACATCAGTGGATTGGGAGCCACTCAAAAAGCCAGATCAGGCGTCATAGGGAGGTTATTTACCTGCAATGCACTCACTGAAGCTCTACCTAGTCCCAATATCTCAATCGTGGTGTTGCGTGGTGTGGCATCCAGACACTCCATACGGGGCCGTACCTTTTTTGCCTGTTTAACGGTCTATGTTCAACATAAACAGGAAATAGGAGCTTTATCTCGTCAATCAGGACCGACATCTACCATCTTATCTTAAACGTACCTACCTATTTGGCTTGGAGAAGGCTGACAGCGGAGGACGGATTCGTTCGAAGATATCGTGCATGATCAACGACAGGTAGTAGGCAACTGGTCAATTGGGAAGCAGAATAAATACACAGTCCTGGGTATTTCAGTGTATCTTGGTACGACAACACGCTCGTTCTCCCTCGAAACAAGTGGAAAGGCGTTCGCGCTCCCAGCGGGTGGGGTGGTGTTCTTAAGAATTCTTGGGGACAAAGCTATGGCGGTCGCCGTTAATTTATGGAGAGATATCAAAAAGGTTGTGTCACATTTGTTGGTGCGGTGGAGAGGGTTCATGTTGGAGGTAAGTATTGAACTTGAGAGGAATGGCTTGATGTTGCGATGCTCGGTACTCATGTCAACATCAATGTTAGGTAGGAACTTGGTATTGACCATAGTACCTCAAGCAAGTCCACGAGCAGGCTGCAGTGAGGCACAGCGGGACGCTTCGCTTGAGTGAATCCATGATGGGACTTTGAGAAAGGCCTTTGAAGCCAAAGACCTATACCAAACGACATAAGAAACTGGACTATTTGCATGAGCAAATCTTGCCAAGTTGTCCATACTATTAGATCGAAGACCGCCGTTGATATTGAGATAGGGTCATGTACGAATCGGCTGTTGCTGACAATCCACTCCGGGGCCCGTATGGTTTAACTGACCGGACCTGTTTGACTAGACCTCTGATGATCCTACATTCATGTAAAGACTTTGTCTTCGTGCTATCTCGAGCTGATGTAAGATGCTGTGCATATACTAAGGACTGCATTCGTTTTCGGATTCTGCGTTCAAACTGCCTGCAAAATGGCAATGCATGAACTTCATTCTGATGGCGACCGCCAATCTTGCTTGCTATCAACATGAAATTCCCGTTCGGCAAGTATATTGATGAGAAAGAGGTAATGTCTCGTCAAGAAGTCCTATCGACAGTTGATCTGGTTCAGTGTGTCACAAATTGAATATAAGAGCGCGAGTCCTCACAACCTAATCATCTTCCGTTCCTCATCTCTCAAGTCAACTTCACAGAGTCTTTTCACTGCGTTCCTCCAGTTTCTTGATTTCCAGGCCTCTTACCTACCTCAAGCACACAGGTTATTCATCACCATGCAGATTACCTCACTCCTCTATGCTCTCGTGGTCTTCAAGCTTACCGCCGCCCTTACTAGGCGCCAAAACCGGTACCGCTACATATCTCTATAGGTACTCGTATGGACCCTGCCGACACTAATTGCAGCTTGCAAGATCTAGGTCTTGAGTGGGAGAGACCGACCTCGCTCCTCGCCCTCTTGACAAGGCTGTCAAGTCCGATCGTTTTCGTATGTATAATATATCGACAGAAATTGGCTCCAAGGGGAGCTGCTGGACTTGACTACTAATTTACCAAAGCAATGTATTATGCTTTTACTCGAACCGACCGACGGCCAGAGATGAAGCAAAAGTGAGAAACCTGGCTGATACTTACCTCTAGGTATTCTACACCAACTTCCAAGCATCAACATCACTTCATGGCCGCCAATATCTTTTCTTCCGACCCCGATCCAGGAGCAACCGGCAGCTTCTTCATGTACGTTGAACCGCAATGTCGATAGTCCGGTACATAGAGGTAGGTTTTGGTTGAGTGGACTCACCTATCAACGTTTTGATGATAGTGTCAGCAATTTCCACGATGAGAATTGCTGGTCGTCTGCCGCAATCTTCCTGGAATCAGCAATTTGAACAACCAAATGGCTTGCGGCGAGGGAACAACCACATATGGCATCAATTTGGATGACGAAATCTGGGCCTGATAGTGCGGCGCTGCTTAATTTCCTTGGAGCACGCTATGTATCCTCTCTTCTGAAAGCAGCATCACTGGCCTTGCATGTCGAGGTCTGTTCTGCGGGTGCCTCTTTCTCTGTTCTTCTCTTTTCGGAACTTTGTCGATTTTTTTGGCCAGCCAGCATCTGTGTCAACTATGCTGCACCCCTTACAGTCACGGTTACTAGGTAACATCTTGACGCAGTCAATCTTATAGTCGGCGATTTGAGTAGAACGGAGTGCCTGCGGCCTCAACCGAACGACAGAGTCAACCCCCAACGACAAAGTTTAAACGCAGAGCTTGTTTACAACGTAACCCTATAACAGAAAGGGTATGAAGAAGTCTCGAAAGAAATACGAGCGTGACTACGCCGTACATTTAAGTTTTGGTTCTTGTTAACCCTTCAAATTGACTGCGAGGTCAGAATAGAGAAGTATCCTGGAAACACAGCATGACAAGAAGGATCGCTGGGCGTGTTTCTTTCTCCTCCCTTCTACTTAAAGTCGGCTTCAAGTTCATGGGCAAACGAAAGCCAGTAAAAGGGTGGTAAGTTCCTCTCAAGCACAAAATCCAGATGATAGGTACTTTGGCCCCCCTGTGCATGCCGTTGCAACATCGATGATGATGCTTGGTCACTGAACGAAAGCAAACCTCGATGACTAACGGGGAGGTAAAGCACAACTATACTGCCCCCCCCCCCCCCCCCCCCCCCCCCCACCCCAACAAAATTTCTGTCCCTTCCAGGTTTCAATTGGATTCTTCTTATCTCTTTCACTTTCCCCTGTTCTACCACAGATCAGCGCACATGTTGTTGATTAGGATCATTTACCGAAACGCAAATTAGGAACATATTTTTCCCTTGAACTTCCTCCATTGGTATCAGTTAGGTAGGTGGGTAAAGCAGTCACTCTGCAACAACGCAAAGGTCACTCACTTCTCAGCCAGCCCATTTGAGCCTCACTCTTCACCGCTTCGAGCATCAGCCAGCCAGCCAAGCCAGCCAGCCCCGTGTCTACCACACGCCACGGCGTTTCATCGATTTAAGGAAATAGATATCAACGGGCTTGCCAGTGTCTGTTCATGTATCACATGTAGCTCCTGAAATGCAGTGCATCAAGTAAAACCGACTGAGCACATGGGGACGGGTTGTGTTGCCGCGACACACACTGGCAATGGTGTAACACGAAGATGGTTGAGAATATCAAGTGGTAATAATCTCCCTTTGGTCATTTTCGATGACTGGACTGGGGAATTAGGGTACCTCTATGCTCGATCAACCCAACGTGGAATTTGGAGGTGATGAATTCGAAACATGGCGGTACAAGAGGAAGAACCGAAGCTGGTACGCCGGAGTTACAGATGGCTGGACTTTTTGTTGATTGGGTGTCTGAGGTTCAAGACTCGAGGTTGTCTCAGGCAAGCCTTCGATACATGAATTGTCGTGTGGTCCTTTGGTTTACCGTCTCAACTCAATTGTACCTCTAAAGTACAAGTGAATGAAGTTCGTTTCAACGGCATTGCACCTCAGCTCGCCGATGATACTCAGCCATAACGATCACGATCTCGGTGTCTGTTGGTTGATCAACGAATGAACATTCACGGTGAACGTGGAGAATTCTTCTTTTGTGAAGTGCGCCTTCCTCAATCTGATACTGTACTGCATTCATCGCTGCAGTGCACTGCACTGCAAGAGCGGCAAGTCCTAAGATGCATTGCCTGAGTGCTCAAAAGAGCCAAGGTTGCAAAGCAAAGGTGTCTGCGGCGTAGTCCAGCTGGGGACGAGATTTGTTGTTGGTCAGGTTGTATTAATCTGATCACAATTTAATAGTAAATGAACTAATCAAGCGGTTGAGCGCCGTGAACCAAAGTCATATCGCACAATGTCTTGACCGTTCAGTTCACCTTTGTACATATAGTGGGCCGGGACTGGAACAGGCACACGCAACATTCAACGCTTGACCCGGTGACACCTTCCAATTGAAGCTCGTTCCACAATATCGGCCTTCAGCTGCAGACGTCACTGCCACCAGTCCTTCGCTGCAGTGTTCAAGCTAGTGTAGTCTCACTGCACGCACTATGAAGGCAGCGACGAACGTCCAACTCAAGAGATGCCGAGCGCAACAAACTGAAGATGAAATACCCCGGCCAGCATCTTTGTTAGTGCCACCAAAATTTCCTATACTAGATAATTTGATCCATCGACTACCAGGCACGGCACTCTTAACAGCTTCTCGCGATGTGGTACTCGTCCTTTCCTGGTAAGCAAGTAGAGGTACTTGTTTCGTTCAGCACGAAAGTTGACCGGACGTTCCATCCTCACTTTCTTTGGTTCGCGCGCGGCCCCAATGTCAAGACTCACTAACAGATGCTGGAAGAGATACATCCCTCGAATACGAAGCCATCGCAGCTTCCGCTTCCACTTCTACGTTACTATCATGAATCTGGCAGTGCCTCGTAGTGCACGATTTCGGCAGCGAGCTTGGGTAGAGGGGAGGTGAGCCACCGTACAGTAGAGGCGGGTATCCAAACTGATTATTCAGCGAGTTCTGACAGTTGAGGATTCAAGATGATACCTCAGAACGAAGTAGTACTGGGCACTGCCTGCGCTGCATCCAAGTTCTTCAGTTTTATGCACTACATACGGTACCTTTACTTACCATCACTTACTTACTGCACTCGCTTCCGAAGGTAATTCCTCTTGGATAACAAACCTTGAAGCATCGATCCACATAGCACCACAAACCAACCTCAACGTGAGCATCCCATTCTGCTATTTCTAGCCCGTCCGGCCAGATATAAGCCGTCCATCGTTTACTTACTGATCGTTGGTCCACTCCAGCCGTAGAATTAAACACTGCAGTGATCCCAACGGTCCCGGACTCGCGAGGGTGAGGTGAGAAAGGAAATTAGTTTACCATATTTAGGGCACTCACCCTGGCCGCAACTCGAGCTTCTTCTAATAAACGCCTGCAACCGTCTGTAGTAGGTAGTAACTCCGAGATCGTGACAACTACTACTGCAGTACCCATATGGGGTCAGTCTAGCCAGGTCTTTGAAGGATCAGATCTCGCTCGCAACCACGCCGTTGGGTCCGCCACACCCCAACTGCAATCCTCATTCCTAGTACCTTAGGTAGGTACGTATTTTGATGGACCAACGTGGAATAAAAAGAAATACCTTCAAGAATTTGCGGATCGTTCTTAGCCCCCGGCCGCTCAAAATGCGAAGTATGTAGATGCAGGGTAGGTGACAACCTCTCAGAATCCCATGTAGGCAAAACTTGCATCTTATGCCTCACTATCGCCAACCCGTACTATCTAACTGCCCATCTAAACCGAGCAAGGATCAGAATACTTTTTCTATTTGAAGACTTGAACCCTCGAAGATGAGGAAAAGAGGGGAAAGAAAAAAAGTTTCTTTCCACATTTTCCACATTCCAGGCTGCCCCCAGTCCCAACGTCTTGCGCCTTCGTTACAGCATGTACTACTTACTTTCAGTCGACTGGATGGTAAATAGTATAGACGCAAATAAACAAACGCGCGGTAAAGAGCGGTTAGGATCCCCTATTTGGTAAGTGCAATTACCGGACGGCGTTTAGATCCCGGCCGTCTGTTACTGTTGTTAGTCAAGCGACAAGCGGTGATTGGCTGAATGGTTCATCGCTGCTTAACAAGATGGCGGGTTAGAATTCCATATGCATACCTCTACCTACATGAAGTTGGAGCCCTCCCAGCCAGTGACGTTTAGAATTCGCGGCCTTTCTGATGCGCTCGAATGGGCTGTAACTTTGTAAGTGGCCCCCAGATGTCCGATATATTTTTAAGCTGTGGTTAGTTGGGTCAGGGCGCCGGGCCAGATACGGTACCTGATCCGACCAACCAGGGATCCACCCGGCGCCGGCCCCGCCCCGCTCCTGCATGTTAGCGCCGATGTCATGTCCGGGGCCCGGTCTGCCGAGTCAGTCGAGGTCGGACCCGTGTTTCGTTTTGCGCTTTTGAGATGGCATACTTGGTTGGTGTCGCTCGAGTAAAAGTAGGTGATACCCAGTGTATCGTGCCTAATACCACAAACCGAATTTAGATCGGTGTATCTTTAGGTACCTACCTACCTATGTATAATGTCTTGCTCGATGATGCTACTTCGTGTGCGATATCGTTGATGCAAACATTTCGTAGTAATGTAGCTTCCAAAAATTTCACAGGCATATAAATGAGAGGGATAGCCGACTGGAATTCTAGTCGGAGATTGGTACGTCGTGCTGGTGTTACCACACCTGTTGAGGACCTTGGCAACTTTGGGCTTGACATGTCGCATCGCATCGTGATGATCTCGGTCAGGAGCGGCCATCAAATGGAAGAGACACCAGACGCGTTCAGGCGATTGTCGCGATGGTGTGAAGCAAATCTCGCGTCGGGACTGGAACCTTGAGAACCTCGGTACAAGGGGAGATGGGTGGTTGCGCCGGTGTGTGGTGCGGTAACACGGCTGCACGTCATAAGCCACGCGGAGAAACCCTGGAGCAACCACCTTTAATTTCCTAGTTCCCCTGTTGCAACCATTAATTTGTGGTTTAGTGCTACTCAACCCCAACGATTCCTCCAGAGAGTTGGACAAAGATTTGATTTGCCCTGGGAGGGTTCGCATGTGAAAGTAGGTGATCCTTGAGGGAGATCGTTGGTGATCGAGGCCTGAAAGTCTTGACTCTCTTCTCGTTTGGTCGGTGGCTTGTCGAAAAACTGAACCCATCCCACCATCTCCAAGATTCCCTTGCGACGCCGAGGTTGGCATTGCAGCCGCTGCCGAATGTGTTGTTTTCTTCTTGCTCACGATAACCCATTCGCAACAAGCCCGGTGACTCCGACATCCAACTTCTAGTGTACACCTTCTGGGCTGTATAGCCCGCGAGTAGCACTTGGTGTCATGGCTTCGTGTGCTGAGCGCCTCCACGAGTAATGATGAGTCGATTGCATCTTCCAGAAAGTTATGATGGTCAGGTGTGTGTATGCCGCGGCAGGGCAGATTTCTGATTGCTTACTTTCAGCCTGATGATTCCACATGTGGCCATCGTCAGTGTTGTTGAGCCTCTGTGAGGTATGACGCATCATCAGCCATCAGATGGGGCTTGATCGTCGCCTTCCGCCTCTAACCGCATGTCGATCAGCGTCAATCAGGGTCTCAAGCAAACTCAGGGACTGGAGGGCCGAGAGGCAAAGATTGCGCATGCAACCCGTATTTGTCGTATTCGAAGCAAAAACTTTTCCGATGGCTACCAGCTTCTCAAGGAGTCAAGGCATCGCCCGAGTTTCGCTTCCCAAGCGACCACCGAAAGTTAATTAGCTCAGCCACAACCTCTCACCCGTCATTTTTCTTGGGTGACAAGCCTCTTTTGAAGATGATTGGCTGCCATGTCCAACTGTAGTGTAGTCTCTTAACAAGAGGAGAAAAGAGCAGGGCGCCTCAAGCCATGGTAGTATCGGCCAATCAACACCTTGGGCGGCAGTCACACAGCTCTTGCCTCTGACATTGGTAAATGAGGCAGACGAGCGGATGGATACGTTTGACGCTGCGATTGCTTTAACATCGTGAACCGTTATACGGGATCTTCGGAAGAAGAATACATATTCTTTTCTGTTGGGGCTCGCTTGGCGTGACTTGGCGGGGAGGAGGCGTCATTCATTTGAAGTCGGCAACTGCTGATAGGACCGCCGCTCCAACTGAATGACAATTCCACTTGTGTGGTTGCCCCTTCTGGTATCATCCCTCGCGCAATCCCTGACATCAAGACATGACGGGAACTGAAGATTGAGCATAGTACCTGAACAATCATCAAATCATTACCACTCAGGCACGCCAGCAGGGCGATCAATGAAGAGTAGGTAATGCCCTTGACGTCTTATCGGCCCACAGATGAGCCATGGTATGAATGCATCAACGTTGAGTCGTTTATTGAGTCCATTCCGTTCAGCCACGCGTCCCAGCTGTCCCGAAACCATCGGGTGGTGAAGCCACATCAATGCAAGTCTCAGGGGCATCTGCAACTGGAATGGAGGATGAATGATGGGCTATCATTCGTATTCGATCGCCGGTTGCCGACTGATTCAAGATGTCAAAACGTGGCTAATCCGCAGGCATCGTTGGCGTTGTGTGGATGGGCTGTATTGCAGTCGGGCCTTGAACAGGCTCTGCCAGGATCGTGGATGACGCCAACACTGACGGCACAGGATCGCATCGTTTGCAAGCGACAACGGGCGCGAAGTGGAAAATAGGACTTGGGATAGCTTATTACCAGCTAAGCTGATGTGCGAGTTGTCGGCCACGGACGCGGGACCGGCGCTACTGAGGCCGGCAAGACCCAGCCGGAGCGGGTCTAGGTATCTACATACACTAGTGTAAACTCTCGGCGTGGGGTGCCAACCTACTGCGTATGTATCAGGGTTCATCGGCACAACAGCCTCGTCTTTTGGTTTTGTCGTTGAAGCTGGGGTCCTCGGCAGTCGGAAAGACCACTTTTTTTTTATTATTATTTATCATGTGGGCGGATGATGGGTTTGGGTTGAGACGAGAGCTACTGCGCAGATCGAACGCTGGTTGCGGTGTTTCGTTTACCCCTCGCTTCGGACCTCAGGGGTACCGTGACCGGCATTCCATATCTGCTCCGGAGGCCTAGTCTTGATCACCATTGTGACCGGACGAAGAGAGTCCGGCTCGGGTGTTTGGACGCTGTTCGTTTCGTTTCACCGGGACGCAGTAATGGTTGCAGTGATGGCGTGCAGGGCTCCATTCTTAGGGGAAATGACGGAACAGTGTCTCCCGAAGTGCGTGTGAAAGCTGGGGAAGCAGAACGGCATCCCTGTGTCAAGAAGCCCCTGGATATTGCCCAAGTTCGGAGTGATACATACATATGGGTGCTGTCTTGCACTTTTGCACATCATGGCCATGACATTGTGGTGTTGAGACTTGGTGACTCTCGTCAACACCACCCCCGAAAGTGGAGGGACGTTGGCCGTGTCAGGTGCCGGAGTTTGTCGAGTTCACGACCATGAAGCATGGCTTGATACGTGGCTTGCAAGATGGACGACGGGGTGGATTGTCTGCCGCTGATTGGGTCGGGTGATCATCTGCTGGAGTGCGTTGTCAAGCCGAGTTTTGAATCCTATCAACTTCCTGGTCTGTCTAAACAAGGGATTGTCGAGTGGAGGAGGAGGAGGAGGGGATCCTCAATGACAGTCTTGGTGGCGGGACACCAACAGGCCTACACTACACCCTACCATAGACCCGAACCCTAAGGGACCCGACAAGTGCCCTGGCCTGCAAAGCACGGGCCCCATGACTGCCTGACTGATCTCATGCTTTTCTCAACCTTCTCGTTCTTTGTCAGTTTGGGCGACGCTGACTCCTCCTCCTCTTCTTCTCCGCTCTCCAACCACCACTATCGATTCCCTTGTTATGGACATGCATGCATTAAGTTCCGTCGACGCCTCGCTTCTGGAAATGACGATAATCGCAGGTGCAATGCAGTCCAGTTGATTGCGCCCGTCGGTCGCGGTTACCGGCACGGACTGGTCTCGTACAGTACTGTAGCTGGCCCGACTCTCACTGCTCCGACTGGCAGACCATCCATCGGAAGGAGTCTGGCAGTACATAGAGTAGACCGCTTTCGGCCAAAGCTTGAACCCCTCGTCTGTTTCATGTCTGGACATCGGGCTCCAGACCCGGCCAATGGCATCCATGGCTTCCAATCAAAGCCCATTGTCCGCCGAACATCTGTCGACCTCTCAACCACTCATCCAGATCCTATGGGACGATCCAGGAGCCGAGGGCATGGGGCATGGACATGGACATGGGAACCTGCAAATCCAGAGCCTTTAAAACGACATGGGCGGAAACGGACAGAAGGGCGAAGATGGGATTCCCAAAGGATCCAGATACAATCCAAGACCGGCAAGACAATCAATGAGCACGTCGACGCGTGTTGATTGTGACTCGATCGACACTCGACCTTAGAAGCAAGTGCAAGATAGGGATGGACGGCCAAGGCGTGCCTCCCATAGAAACATCGTTTTGCTGCCACCTACAAGGGCTGCAGATATTGGGAGTTGCAGACTGGACCTTTGCACGACCTGCGACAATATCCTCCCTTGGCCGTATGGACTGGAATGGCCAATTGGGATATATCAAAAGTTCGCAATCTTTACCTTCCCTTGATGCCAGTCACCTACAGAACGGCGTCGATAAAGGTGCATCACCATCCATGATTCTTGCTGCCCTTTCCACCACCACATGTCAGGTCGCTAACATTTCGACTCTTGACCTGATTCAGAGACCCTCATTGGACTACATTCAACCATCAAGTGTTTGTTATTTTGGGGATACCCTGTCCTTCTCTATCTTTGTCTGTACCACGTCGTCCTCCAAGCCAAAACATCGAACACGCTACGAACTCGTACAAGTTCAACCCCGCTGAAACCCCTGGCCCGCTTCGCCTCAGAAGTTGCCGCCGCACCCAGAGCCTCCGAGAGCGAATCAGACAGCGCCGACGTGTGGCACTGGGCGACTGCTCGAACAAGGCAATTCTGGCAGAGAAAGGCCGTCAGCACTCGACTCCGTCTACAACCGCCGCGCTGTACACATTATTAGCGCGCGACTGTTCCATTGCAGTGGCAGTCCGTCGCCCAGAATAAACTGGCACTTTTCAGGGTCGGGTCGGTCAAACGACGTACATATTAATTCAAACAGCGTCCCGTCGTCGAAAAGTAAACATCACCACCGCTCTCCAAAGCACCAACCAACACCAACACCGCAAGCGTTGACGCCTGCCTTTCCTTTTCAGTCGCATCAACAACCGGGTATCCACAACGACAACCTATAGACAACACGCCTGCAGGATCAGGATTTCCACTCATAATAACTCACATACACCGGTGACCGTGTCTTTGACGATTCGCTATCGAAGCCAATTCAGTAGTGCTGGTCACTTTTACAACCGACGTCCAAACACTCCACCCATTGCCGGGACCAACCTGCTAGCTGAACATCAGTTCATTCCGAACAGAACATCCCAAAGTCAAGCTGCCTCCCCAGGCCCACCGCCGACACCGACCCCAAACCCAACCCAAAACTCAACATCAAACTCTGCAAAAAAAAAGAGAGTTGTGTTTAGGTGAGTCGCATCGCAATACCACATACAACTGCATCCAGCCGGGACTGCCTTTTCCCGAGGTATCCATCTCAGCAGCTCTGGCATGGTCCCACACCGAGCCGACGGCGTTGTCCGCTCACAAGTGCCCTGAATCTTGCCTTCGAGACAGCTGTCTTGGGTGATTGGTTGCATTAACAAGACTAACCAGCCAGACAGGGATCTCCAGTGCCCAAGTTCGCCCCCGGCCACTGCCAACCCACTCCCGTAACCCATCGTGACTTGTGCAGCATTCCAGCCAGGCCCGTTCACGCCTGGAACCACGCTGATCTCACCCCCCTCTCGGCCCATCCTTGACACCCCAACGCCCCCACTGCGACTGCGTCCGATTCAGTGGGCCACCTTGCTCTCACGGTTGAGAATCACGGCACCACACCAGCTCACGCAACCCCCTTGCCGGTAGTGTACCGCAACGCCCTGTCCACCTGGGCTCACCTCCTGGGAACGCCTGCTCAGCCTCGTGTAGTGTACTTTGCTTCTCGTTTTTGCACGTCACCCCCCGGGCCCCTTCTGACGAACAGCCACCGAGACACGCAACAAAAAGTGGAAAAGCCCAAGGTCTAGAAAGCCCACTCAGAAGCCTCCAGCAGTGACCCATCGCTACCCGACCCTACGTTCGACACTACATATTTACTAAGCTCATTACCCCAACTTTTTCTCCCTTTTTCATACATAGTGCCTCATCCCGCCCGCATAAGCTTCGCCGCACGTCAACCTTCACCTTGGTCCCACACCCTTTTCCCATTTCTTGTTATATCATCACCGGGGTGACCGTCCTCGTCAACATTCCCTACCACCACAACTCCTCTTGTTGACATTTCGTCATCAGCGTTTTTTTTTTTATTTCTTCATCCTTCTCAACCGACATCAACACAATCTCACAATGGGTCTACCATCATCAACGAGCATGAGCCTCAACGAGCTCAATGCAAAGGCTCTCGACAACTTTGTCTACAGCAAGGTCGACAGGGACATGATCAGGTTTTTGGCTACCGCCGCCAGCGAGGTTATCCAATGCGATCCCACCATGATGCCATCACCAACAGTCGCGGCCACTTCTGGAAGGGAACAGCAACCCACGGCGCCACCCAAGGTTGTCAAGTGTGAAGATGGCGGACTACCTACCCTCGAGGCCTTCATCAGCCAGCTTGTCGTCAGCTCCAACGTCCAGGTTCCCACTCTCATGTCGACTCTGGTCTACCTCAGACGTCTAAAGTCCCGCCTTCAACCCAATGCCAAGGGCCTCCGCTGCACCACCCATCGCATCTTCCTCGCTGCCCTCATCTTGGCCGCCAAGTATCTCAACGACAGCAGTCCCAAGAACAAGCACTGGGCCAGCTACACCAACATGTCGAGCTCCGCCTACAACTTTGGCTTTAGCCGCACCGAGGTCAACCTAATGGAGAAGCAGCTCCTCTGCCTGTTGGATTGGGAACTGCGCATTACCGAGGAGGATCTCTACCGCGAGCTGGACTACTTCCTGGCCCCCATCCGCCGTGATTACGAGGTCCGTCATGCCCGTCGCATGCGCGAGAAGGCCGAGAAGCGCCAGCGCCAGTTGGAGGAGGAGGCCTGGGTCCAGGTTGCCGCTGCCGCCGCCGCCGCCCAGCACATCCAGCAGCAGCAACAGCAACAGCCCACTTACATCTCTCCTCCCTCATCCCGCGGCAGCTCCCGCTCGCGCAACGGTTACGCCTCTCGCGACACCTCGCCACCCGGTCTTTCCAGCTCCGCATCTTCCTACACCAGCTCCACCAGCCGCTCGACAACCCCCGACAGCGAACTGGATCTTCCTCACTCTTACGTTGCCATCAACGGCGACGACTACTACCAGTCTGCTGCTATCCCGCCTTGCGTACCGGAGAAGGATGCCGCGGCCGTGTACTTTAGCAACACGCGCGGCGCTGCCGTCTCCGCCGCCGGTACCAAGCGGGGTGTTCTCCCCTACGAGATTACGGCTGAGGACCTCGATGATTCCAGCAGGGTGAAGCGCATGCGCGGCATGCTTGGGCGTGTGTTTGGCGCTAACGCTGACCGGAACGTTATTCCGGTCAGGTAAATTTCCTGACCTGTTTGATTAATCAAGGTCAAGTTTTGCTTTTTATGTTTTTCTACTTGTCTCATCATCATCACCCCTCCTCATTACTCCATGCATTGCATCCAAATGCATTGATTGCATTCATAACGGCGTTTTATCACTTTTGGGAAAGGGTGGCAATCGTTTGTCTTAGAGACCTGTCTTTTTTTTTTTTTTTTTTTTTACACACCAAAAAGCGAGGTGTTCATTGGCTGGCGAAGTTCTACATCAGCATCATTGTCATCATCATCATCATCATCATCATCGCAGCATTTTCATACAGGGGTGGGCTGGTGATCGTATCGTCTGATTTTTTTTGTTCTTGCTTTATCTTTCGTTGGGCATATACTACTGTCATCTGTCATGTCTCCTACTAATGACGGGAACGAATGGGCTTTTGGGTGGGAGTACGAGAGCATTACCGGGATATGGATGGATGGGTTATATGATGGGAATATCGTATGATGATGGACGATGAAGGAAAGGACGGGTCTTCCAGCATCAAGAAACTGCCGGAATCTTTTACTACATAAAACCAACCAAACAAAGAAATGGAATGTCATTCACACTTGCTCCCCAAAAGAAGGGCAGCATGGTGATGATTCAAACAATCTTTCTGACTTTGTCCGCCAAATCGGCTTTCACTTGTGACTGTTCTTGCTTGCGAATAAGAGATTAACTATTCATTTGAGCACGCAATGCGGCGAGACTCCATCGCCTCGGTGCTACTCTGCCTTTTTTTTTTTTTTTTTTTTCTTTTAATCTTCTCAACACGTGGTCGTGTTCTCGACACGACAACCATTATGCGAATAACCAGGTTCGTCCTTGGTGATGGCGGTCCTTCTGGCTAATCCAACCGATGCAGTTACGAAAGCCCCATAAAAACTGTGGAACCCTCGTGTAGGATGGAGTTCACTACATATGTACACATGCAACTCCAACAGCAATGTTGGGGATAGAAAGCCGGGAAGTTGTGGAGTATCTACATAGTGTAGTGTAGATGGCACATGCTGACTGACACATTTGGATACATCATATGCATGGCAAAGGGGGACGGATGTGATGGGAATGTGAGAAAAGGGAATGAATGAATGTGCTAGTGTAAATGCGGAATGTGATCCCGTTCCTGATCGTCGAGGTGTCAGTCAGTCATTCAGGTACGGAGATACTTTACGCAGTAGTGTAGTGTAGTCGTGTACGTATCCATCCATCCATCCATCCATCCCTACGGATCTTGGAATTCACGGGCAGGGGAGATGCTAAGCACACGTGGATGGATGGAACGGGACGAGATGGATTGCGTTCGTGGCTTATTCCGGTGATGAACCTCGTCGCAAGGCAGATGTGCACACACACACCCATCGATGATGCTACTTTAGGCAGATATATCCATTTCAGGTTGCAAATCTTGGTTTTTTTTTTTTTTTTTTTTTTTTTTTTTTTTTTTTTTTTTTTTCCACATGGGGGATTCTGAGAATGATTCACGCCATCAATATTAGAATTCACTTTTGTTGTTCACATTGTCGAGCGGCCGCGTGTTCATATACCAATATACATGACGAAATATAACTTGAGCTGCTTGGTCCATTGATTAAATCACCCTATGACTGGACTGCGTATGTGTAGGTAGAGGTGGTAAAACACGTTGTATCAAGACATGTCATCGTGTCATGTCGTAATTGATAATACATAAGCCTACCTACCTAATTTCCGGGAGTCAGACTGGCTCATACTAGTACCACCCCCAACAACAAAACAATGACGCCTCTCAACATAGTATGACAGTAACAGTATGCATATCCGATCCCGTTACTATACCCAGGCTGACTTCCAATCTCCTCCATCTTGTTCATCCTGTCTCATTCATTCCATCAATTAATGACTCACGACTTTCTTAACATCTTCTCCTCCCGCTGTTCCCGACTTTTGCACTTCCACTTTTGGCTTCCCGCTCAAGGCACATTTTCCATATACACAATCACCCATCCGTAAGTAAGCCAGTCACACACACACTGGTGTGAAGCTAGGTAGGTAGTGTACTCACAAAGTCATTCATCACATGGAAGCCATTGCGCCAAGCGGGCAGGCAGGCGGGCGGGCGGGATCTCCAACCCCCATGACTAACTAGACTGCCTAGACACAAGGTGATTGATTGATTGATTGATGATCATCCGAAACTGGAGGATTCGCGTCCGTAAATTTTCCCGCTGGAAACGGCGATGAAAGGGATGAACAACACCCGTTCATCTCCCTTCACGAGAAAGAAAAAAAAAAAAACCTATCGTTGTAGGAGGCAAATCGCGAATCTCGAATCTCGGCATCCTTGGGACCGTCGGGACGGGACCTACCTACCTACCTACTGTATTCATTGGGATCCTTGGCAAAGTTGAGGCTGAGCGCTCAGCGCAGAGGGAGCCCAAACAGTACCCACTATAGTACATATGTAAAGCCTTATTGCAACTGTTCGTTTTGGTGTAGCGTCCAGTTGGCCGATAAGTTCAGTGTAGTGTAGGTTAGTCCACTAAATGGGAGCCGTTAGGTAGGAGGTCCCCGCCCCCGCTGAACCCGACGGCTACCCCGGTCGTCCCTTCCGGGCGGCGGTGGTCTAGTTTTACGGACGGGCGATACTACACTAGCTAATGCGGTGCCGGTGCCGGTACCAGTGGCCATGCCGGTTAGTCCGGGGCTTCATTTCCAACATCTAGTCAAGTCTGTTCGGTCGGTCGGTCGATCGGTCGGCCAGGCCGAGGGGTCTTGGGAGTTGGGATTCTTAGGTGGTTTTGAGAGGCGCACTGTATTAGCTTAACCCCGGGCGGCCGGGATGGGCGGTCGATCCCCGCAGGTCCCGATCCCAGGTCCTTCCACGGTCGGGCCGCGCGCGGGGGGCTAGGCCATCAGGGTTCCCCGTTCGTTTGGGACCGACCCCAATTTAAGCCCCGTTCAGGAGGTGGCATTGCGAAATCCCGTTGTGCTTGCGGGGTGTAGTACTGGACGATAACGGTCGGTCTCGGTCTAGCCCTGAATTTGGGATTTGGAATTTTAGATTGCCGTGACCGTTACCATAGTGGCTGTGGTACACTACACTATGCACAATGCATTTCCTTCCATTTTTTTGTGGTGATGATGGGAATGGTTATGCGTGTGGAATCGTGCATCTATCTGCATGATTCGGTGTGTTCTTCCACTTCTTCCATGGAATATGTAACGCCGGCCGGCGTTGGATGTTCACAATGCAAGATTTGTGCATCTGTTGGTCCTGAGTGCGCTCGTAGGATTGTGCATATGTATGTATGTCTATCTCAACTAATTCCTGCTGGATAAGCAGTCGTCCTATTCGGCACGGGAAGTTGGAGGAGATTCATTAGAAGGAAGTTGGTCGCCATCCGCAGATGAAGCCCAGCTTTAGCCCTCTTAAACGCCAACCGACCGCCTAGTCTAGCAGCCTGCATACATACATTCACCACTGCAGCCAGCCGGGTTGGGTGTTGATTACAAGTTGGCTCGTTCGTTGCCTTTCCCAACCTCCTAGTCTCCTGGAAATCCGCCTCACAGAGTAAGAACAAGTTGGAAGTTCTCATGTGAGTGATCATTTCCTTCATGTTGTTGGGGCGATCTTTCAATCGGGAGTTTTCACGTCATTAGTAACAACTGCAGTTCAGTGGTCAACTGGTGACCATATTGTCACTTTTTCCTCCATCAGCTATCTGTCTAGCTAGCTATCTGTCAATCAAATGAACGGCTGACACCAACCATTCATCTTGACCGAGCCACGCCGCAATATCATCACTCCTAGTATGGAAACTGCACTTTGAAGCGCAGCACCAGGATTTCCATGCTAAGTTGGCATCTGTTGTTGGTTGTCACTCTCCTATGATGGGCTGCTTGCTCCAACTCGTTTCCGTTGCTTCATTTCGTACATGTGTAGGGACCCGGTTGGTGACCCGTCAATCCGTCGATAACAATTGTCGGTTCGCAAACGGCCGAGTATTTTGGTTCAATCAGGCTTAGCAGAATGGATGGATGGATGGATGGATGGTTGGGCAGTTGGGGAACGAGGCTGAGAATTTTTGTAATTTCCGGACTCCGGCCCAACCTTGATCACTGCCATGCATGGTACACGCCCATAGGAGCCTCTGTTATCACCATCCATGGGTACCTCGTGTGTGTGTACGTGTAGCGGCAATGCCATCTTGCGGCTCAGTGTCCTTTATTGTAGTACCCCCCCACCATGGGCGTGCGTGGCATTTGGTTTTCCATGGAATTCCCACTATTCGTAAACTACCTTATCGTCGTCATCTCGAACTCGTAACGCCATACGTGAATAGGGGGGTTAGTAGATAAGTAGACACCAACCCATCGGTTCGCTTGCTTGACCAAAGACGAATAAAAGCTCCATGGAAAGTCAAAAGTATACACTACAGTGATAATATGGTGGGTACGGTAAGTCAGGTAACCTCACGTCAACCTCCATTCCAATTACACGCCGTCCGTTACTTCGCTGCTGTCGAGTAGAATACCTACTAGTAGACCTCCAGTTTCCCGTTTGCCCATACCCGTTACGACGCTGTCATTTCCCATATTTTCCAGTCAACCTCGCACCCGCATCCACATCCGCATGTGTGACTCGTAAATGCGGCGTGGGCGTGCGCGGCATCGCTTTGATGTCGTAAAAAAGTTTGCTCAAGGGGCGGAGCAACAACTTTGTCGTCTGTGGTTTTTTTTTTTTTTTTTTTTTTTTGGGGGGGGGGGGGGGGGGGGGGGGATCAGACCAAGCTATCAGTCCTTCACTTAACTCTCTTGAGGTTCCAACTCCGGGATCTTCACGGCTCCTCCTGAAGCGCGCTGAGTGACATGATGACGACAAACGACGCTGACATTTTTTTACCATTCATTGCTGCCCTGTCAAGCGGGAAGCCCCCAGCTGTGCTGTAACCTTGAAATGTGCTGCTGTGGTAGCAATTGGTACAATCGTGCTGATGGGATTGACACCAAGGCAAACTTGCAATCTCATCTTCATATCAGCAAAGCATGGATTTTTTTCCTTTCCTCGCCTGCATATGTCGGCGTTCTACCTACCTTGGTTTTCCAACAAACCTTCCAATTATAGGTAGCTCAAAGCACACGTTGGGAGTCCATCTCCATGCGCTTCTAGATTGCCTACGAGCGGAAAGCCTTCAGGAGAATGTCCCATCATGAGTATAGCCATCATGTTCCCCGGCCCGGGGAGGCTATGCTATGACTGCAGCACAGTCTCCTGGCCGGGCGCCGATTGGCTAGGTCCAGAGGCTGGGGTAGGTTGTGACATGACCATCGCCCCTATGTGTTACCACCACCGGTAGATGCTATGCAATGATGCGGGTGATGATTGGGACAAAAGTGGATGACTCTGCCCTGCTTAGATTAAAGGTAGAATGTAAGGCTTTTCCACGATAATAGAACCTTACAAGTATGGTTCTGCGTTATACGAAGAAACCGTGTCTCCTCAATTGAATTGGCGGTTCTCTAACATCAACGTTAATTGTAATATGATGGTTTCTATATTATCACCCATTTCTTTCCAAAAACCGCCTGTTCAACGCCCATACGGACCGGCGGGTAACGCCATGACATCCCGCCAGTGTAATGTTTTCCCAAACAAGAAGACACCGAGCCTCTGTCCCTTTGTTCACCTATCCCTATACCAATGACTTCTTCCCAAATCAGTCAATCATGCTGCCCCTCACTACATTTGCATCTGATGATTGGTACCCATCCTCCCCATAGCCAACGGCGTCCTGTCCCTTGGATTCTCAATATGATACGCATAGGTTTCCAGCCCAGAACCCATCATGTCCACAAACTCAAAGATATGAGTGCCCCTAAACGTCTCGGCCCATAACCTGACTACGGCCGCCGCGAGCTGGCGAAGGTTGGTGGGGTCGGTAGCTGGCCCGTCGGTCGACCTCTGCTGGTGGTTATGATTTTGTTGTGCCCCTCCGCCGATAGCCGGGTCAATGGGAACGGCGAACTCGGTCTCGTCTAACATGCGGCGGAGGCCCTCGAGGAGCTGGCTTTCTTCGGATGTTATCGGCGGGTCGGTTGGGCCGATGGACGCGAGGGTCAAGAGCCATTTGGATACTAGGACGGCGCATTCATTGTTGCTCACTACCAGAAGAGGCTCGGTTAGCTTGGGATCAATAAATGTTCCAGGGACGGAAGATCAAGAGTTAAGACAAGAATCGTACTGGAATGTTGCACGCCCCATTCAGGCGACTTGGTCCTCGCCACGTAGTTGACGCCCATCTTGACCAGCGGGCCAAGTGCCTGAATAGCTTGATATACTGCACGATTGAGTAGCATACCACGCAAAAGCAGAGGTGCCTCCGCATAGGCCCGCCCAGCGGCGTTGTAAGCACGCGATTCGAGATGGCGACTCGAATTCAAGTCCGTATTCAGCCTGATGAACGCCACCCTGTGCAAGGCCACCGAATTGGAGTCGACAGGATCCCACGTATCGAACCCCTCTACGTGTCGTTGCTGCTCAACACTGTGAAACCACACTCGAATCGCTTGACAAATATCCTCATTCTCCTGCCCTCTTAGGGCTCTCTGCATTCCCAGGGACGTGGCAAAAGTTGCCTGCTTGAGCACAAAGATGTGCTGGAGGATAGCATGGATAAGAACGTAGTTACCCAGTGACGTGAGTTGTGGAGGCGGGCCCTGAATCCCACGATTGAACAACCGAGAAAACGCGATTGGCAAAGGGACTTCGGTATTGGGAGAGGTTTGTCGCACTTCTTGCCACTGGTTCGCATCTCCTGCTCTCCACAAACGAGTGGCATTGGGCAGATAGAGCTGGACCTCGGATGTAAGGAGTAGGGGGACCGTGTTGTACGCAACACTGCAGAGGTTGAAGAAGCAGTATGCTATCAGCTTCGTTCGAGTCGCTGATTCGGTGCGTACCCAACTCTCCCAGTCGGGCGCTTGGTTGGGCTCGCCGTGGAGACCTTCTTCCCTGACCAAGAGGGCAAGTTGGCTCTGCAGGGACAGTGCCTCGTGGAGGATGGCTTTGGCCCCCCACAGACCTATGGCGAAAAGAAGAAGCATTGCTTGAATGGTCTCGAGGCGTGACTGGGGGGTATTAGGGGAGCTATCAAGGGTCAGCGTTCATGAACTGCGGCCTTCAAGAGCACGTAACTTACTAGGGCTCCCGGTGTGTGTCTTGAGTGACCGGGCGGTCTCGATGAACAGAAGGATACGAGTGTCGAAACCCTGAGCTCGGTGATGGTCTCGTGGAATGGGGGCTATATGCCGCCGAAGTCGGTAGAAGGCCCTGCACTTCGTAACTATTTCGTCGTCGGATCTGTTCCAAGGCAACAGCTTTGGCGGCATACCAGAGCGCATGGCCTCTAGATCGCTCGAAGCGGTACTGGGCACCTACGGAAGCAATGGCTAGTAGCAATTCAGGGGAAGCTTCCACGGGTAAAAAGGTCGGCAGATGAATGAAGGGAAGATGGTCATGGAACCCAGTGAAATAGCCCTCCAAGAATCTCTGCAAAGTATGGCGCGAAGGAAACACGAAGTTGCTGGGCAGAACCGAAGAGAATTCATCGAGCTTGGCTTTCATGACGGAATGGTCTTTTGCCGAAATCGTCAAATTTGCTGCTTTCATCGTATCAGCATGCAGTCTGGCACTCCCGTCTGGACCATCTCGAAGCTCCGGCTGTACCGACGGAAACCTCGAAGGAAATGTCGAATTGGGCTTCGAGGGGCCACCCCGTAGTCCGCTGTCGGGTCCAGGGCGAGACCACATACTAAACGGTGCTTCCCCGTCGAAGAGAGAAGGGAAGGCGTGCGATGACGCATAGTCATCCATGAAGAGGGGGTCAAATTCGGAGCCCGGGGGTTGCGTACAATATCCTCCATTCATAGCGCCAGGTTCCTGCTTTGGATTGTGATTTGCGAAAGACATGGAGTCCTGGTAAGACTTGGCCGGGGGGAGATCGGGTTGCTGTTGCGAGAGTCCTTGCATCATAGTCGGCTGCATGTGCTGTAAGTTGTTGACCTCACCACCGGAGGCAAGGTGCGTGGCCGCATCGGAAAGCAGATCAAGATTGCAAGCCGGACCTCTTGATAAAAGCCTAGAGTCAGATGGAATAGACGAGGCCATGGAAGGCTGAATACTGCCGCTGGGGAACTGAGATTGCGTTGCTGGCCTATGCTGAGTTTTCATTTGAATATCGGTATGATTCTCTAGTGGAGGTGGAGACACGACGCTTGACGAAGACGTTTTGCGTCGTTTGTTACCATCTTTGTGGTTCGCATTTTTGTTGTTGTTGCTGCTGCTGCTGCTACTGCTGGCGTTATTATTGTTGTTGCTGGCTCCATCGTTGAGATGGCAAAGCTTCTCGTGACGGACGAGAAGATCCCTGATGTCCATGTAAGCGAATGTAGGATAATGCGATGAAAAGACTTGTGACTATCCCAAGAGTCATGAGTGATGGTATAAGGTGAACCACGGTAAAGTGTATTCTTTCTTTCGTTTGATGCAAAACAAAGCTATACTTGAGGGAGAGGGGTTGCAGGCCGTGGGGAAAGAGAGCAGAAAAAGTTGGGGATCGTTGAAGGTGGGAGGTGAGAGTGACTGGCTCGGTGGGCTTGTACTGTCAAATGCGTACACAGAAAATGCGGAGATGATGGTTGAGATGAAAGTATCGAAACTTACCGTCGTCCGAATCTCTTTCCACACCCTTCCCATTCGCACTCAAAAGGTTTCTCTTTGGTGTGGGTTCTCTCGTGTCTCTGAACATGCTCGACGCGCCTTGAACAAATATTAGTATCAAAAGGAAGATGAGAAATGAGATTGAGGATCACTTACCTGAATCGCTTCGCACAGAATTTGCACGGTAAATTCTTGGGCTTCTGAGGGCGGGCCTCTCCGCTCTCGTGCGCATGACTCCCCGGTAGGGAACCAGCGGCCTCAACGGCAACGGATTGTTGGGACATGATGATGCCAGGGTTGTTTGCCTTGTGTACTTGGAGTCCGGATGGGTACTACTTGATTCTGACTGATAGGAACGCAGGCCGCTTTGGAGTCAGGAGAGGGGTAGGGGAAAGTCTAAATGGGAACTGTAGACTTGGGTGGTCAAGATCGGGTGGTGGAAGTTCAAGGGACGCCGTCGATGTGGGTTGGGCAGTGTATGTTTGCGCGGGATGGATGACAGGATGAGACTGCGGAGTAGCACAACAAGGCGATTTCGCCAGACACAACCCTTTTTCTTTCCCGGTGAGGGCCAAACAGTGAACGGGTGGACGAAGGTAGAAGCTCGGGCAACGAACTGCCCTGAATAATAGCACCGTATTAGACCTTGCCGATCACCAGTCCTCTTTTTTGGAGAGTGTTTACCCCACGTCCTTGTGAGAATTGCCAGTTTCGGTTGTAGTGTCTTTTTCTCAACCCACTTTCTGTAGCCTATAAATGGCCGTTTACTCACAAGTGCAGCTGGCGTCAGTCAAGAGGTACCAATGGAGAAAGGGCCGAGATGTCGTACGGCTATGGCACGTTGTAGAAGCACCGAGGCCGAAAAGAGGTCGAGCAAGACGAGGGCGGGGAGGAACAGGCAGGATGACCGCCAATGACACAACCTAAAGCAACGAGAGGAGGTCTGTGAGCCCTTGTCTGCGGAGTGGGGTGATGGGCAAGGTCCAGTCTGTATGTTGTGTCAATTCGCAAAGGCAACACGACGGCACTGGCCGACTCTCGCGTATGTGAGGAGTCGTCGTCGAGATGAGGAGAAACGACACTCGAGTGGATGGAGAAGAAGGAGGATAGGGGGTGGAATGATGGAGCGATGCGGAGGAACAGAGGGATGACCCGAGGGATGAAAGCTGACTTGGAGCTCTCGGCGCTTCATCCCGTCGCCCAAAAAGCGGAGAAGTGCCAATCCTGTCGAGTGATGGACGACAGGGGGGAGAAGTGTCAAAGAATGCCGGATGCAAGTACATACAACAGTAATGATGATAATAATCTTTGGGTGGTGTCTTGGCTGTAAGAAGGCCTCAAGGACCTTTAGCGCGAATGGACAGAGGGGGCAGAATGCCAATGCTGGGAAGTGAAAATGAGGAGAAAAGAGGGGAATGGGGATGCTGAGGAATGAGGACCGTTGTTGTGTTGCCCGAACGACTTGGTTTGCTTTTGCTACCCCGGCAGATGGTCGTATTGCTCGAAATACATATGTACAAGGCGACCTTGTCCCGCCCTCGTGCGCTTGGAGTCTGGGACGATATCAATGGACCAAATCACCAGGCCGCGGTGTTGTCGACGTTGTTTGAGCAGAAGCGGAAACTGGGCTATGGACAGACTGAAACACTTCAGTTTCTCCTCGTTGGGTGCCCCCCTGAAGTAACGTTGATGTTTGGCAGTCTGTTGGAGGTTATGCACAAGACTGAGGTTGTATAGGCACAGATTCGAGGTAGAAGATGGAGAAGATGTTGCCGGGGTGCTGTCCACAGCGGGCTTGTTCAATTCAAGTGTGGGGAAAGGGGAGGAAGACCGCCCGGGTGTTTGCAGCACTGCAACCGCGAACAAAGACTCATATGAAGTCCAGTCCTCAGCGTGCCGCTCTGATCCGCTGTCTCCAACTGAACTGGCTGTGCGGCGGGTGAGTGAATGGATGGATGGATGCATAAACACTGGCAGATGAAACCGAGTTGACGAGCACACAGCATCATTCCCATCTGCGAGTGTACGGAGGAAAGAGTGGGCGTGCGAGACTTCCCGATTAGGCGGGAGCTTCAAACCAAGAATGAAAGTGGAAAGAAACGAACATGGCAAAGACCCACGCATGAGCTGATTAGGTACCCAAGTACCTCTACCTATACGATGCCAACCTCAAACCGAAAATCTATGTGCGCCCAGGCATTTGGAGGGCATGCCGCTTGCAACTGACTTCCACTTCTGGCGCTTCAGTTCAGTTCTTCTCCCTCTCCGGGGCTTGCTTGCTGGCCTCCAATAATCCCCCGCACCGTTTCTCCGACGGGTACCTCAGCCCCTGGCTTGCCGGCAAATACACACAGCCTGCCTGATAGGTACTTAGTCTTTGTATCGGACTGAGCCAAAGTGGGGGTTCCCGTCATCAATTGCACCGAGAGGAGTGTATGGTGTGGAAATGAACGATGCTGCCACTAACTTGCACTTTTGGGACATAGAGAGTAGGTACCTAGTCATTCCATGACGGAATCGAAGCTGCATCTCCGCACGGGAAAATGGGGAAGACGGCGGGCCGTTCGACCAAGAGAAGCCTGTGAGAAGGAGGGGTCAACCCCAGAACGCACTGCACTGCAGCCTCCGACACAACTCAAGTGGCACCGGCCCTTCCCTGCCTCCCAACCCTGCAAGCATGCAGACACGGCAGGTGCAAAATGTGGGGGTGGGGGAAGGAACCAATCCCCAAGCCCGGGCCAGGCACAGACGGTCCTGGTACTTGATCAGCCATAAAAGTTGGGGTTCAGAACTCATCGAACAGGCGTCTGTTGGAGTCATGGACCTAGTAATGGAGTATTGGCGGCCGACAAGTGCCTCGGCGAAATCGATACTAGCACTCACTCCGCAGCACATCCAGACGACACCACCAACCAACGAGCCTGGTAGAGCGAGTTTGGCCAGGCACGCATTCTCATGGAGTCTGGGTTAGTACCTACCACCATTCCGCGAAGATGACGGATCCAAACATTTCGATCTTGTCTCCCTGACGTTGACATGTTCGCATTTACGACGTTTGGAGTGGAGTGGCATCTTTCAAGCTCCGAAACGTCACTCCCCACTCGAGACGGGGAGCTCAAGGACACCGCATCCACTCGCATGTGCTTTTCCCCGCTGCCAACGCACGGACCTCCTGGCATTCTTGACGCCATCAAGGCTTTTGGCCTGAGGGAACATACAAGTAGGTATGTAGAGGTATGAATGCCACGGCACCCAAACTGTAAGTAAGTAGGGCGTTTCATCTACATTTTTTTTTGGATTTGATTACTTGAGATCTCTCAAATGGCTAAAGGGTGCTCCTGGTGCTCTGAGAGCAACCACCGAATCCATCTCGGTGAACCCCCCTCACTTTTGATCAAACTCCAATCGTTCAGTTGCTTTCCTCGCCAGCTGAACACAAGATCCCAGGCCGCATTCACCTCAGTCGTAAAAACCCATGGTCTTGGGCTGCGTCGGGCCGCCAATGTCCAGTCTGATTCCTTTCTGTTGTCAAAGTCGACTAAAGAAACAAGGCACACCAAGACTACGGTGGCCCAAGTGTGACTTGGGTCGTTTATCCAAAAGTTCTGAAAACAAAGGTCTCAACCAGCTGTAGGCATTAGGCTTGCACTAGGGGGTAGCATCCAAATCCTTGTACTAAGATAACTTTGATAAGCCGTCTCCCGCAACGTCACAACTCCCATTGATTCTCATCAACTCCTATTGACTCCCATTGATTCTTCTCAACTCTCATCAACTCCCATTGACTCCCATTGATTCTTCTCAACTCTCATCAACTCTCATCAACTCCCATTAACTCTCATTAACTCCTATTACTTCATTACTTCATTAGTACATTGGTGGCATTAGTGGTATTAGTAGCATTGGTGGTATAGGTTGAGGTGCCTTGCATTTGGTTCTTCTCCAAATTTTTGAGTTAGGGTAAGGTAGCAATGCAAATGGATCCTATTCTCTCTCTCTCTCTTCCCCCCCCCTTCCGGCCGGGGCTAGAAAGAAATAAAGGAAAAGAAAAAGAAAAAGAAAAAGAAAGTGGTTTTGGGAGGTTGAGTGGGTTTGAGAACTGAGACTAGGAAAGAAGTTGGAAAGGTTGAAGTTAAAGTTCAAGGTCAGCGTGGGTGTTGCATTTTGTAAGTGTGGTAGAGGCGTTGATATAAAATAGCCGTCACCTGGCTTCAACTGGGAGCTTGGACCAGTTTTATAAACGACCTAGGTCACACTTGGGCCACCGTACAAGACGCATGCAGCTAGCTGTTCGAGAAAGCGGGGAAACCACTAAGCCATATCAAGCTAGCGCGCAAGGAGCCGAGGAAACCGCCTGTGCCATTTTCTTGAATGTGATCGACAGACGGAAGCCCTCAACATGTCGCTGCGCTGGCAATCTCCATTGTTGCTTTTTTCTTGTTCTCTTAATTCTTGAACGGCTTCGAGATATAGCCCAAGTCATGGCGGTTCCAAACGTGAAGCGGAGAAAGAGGAAGCATATCCAAGTCCTATCTCGACGCTCTGCGGAAGTGGCGCCCGCGTGTGGAGATGTCGCCAAAATGTCCCCCTATTTGGAGATCTGGGGAAGATGGGCTGTGCTGACCCCAGATTCTCCTGGCCAAATCGATGACAACGGGGAAGAGGCTAGTTTGTAACCTCGGAAGACTCGCGGAACCTCCCAACAACTTCCAACTCTTCCAATTCTTCCGGTTCGATTTCTCTTACAGCCTGGAACTCGAGACCATAAATACGACTTGCACGCTGAAAGGGAAATATACCACGCAAACCTCATCAACGACCGTACTTGACTTAAAACTCCTCGCAAGGCCTTTTGTCTCTCCTTTACGTCCTTCATCCTCATCACCCGTCCTCCTCTGACTGGGGTCATCTCCTACTTGCCTTATGGGGTCCGGAACATCAAGCGCCGTCTTCTGAGCTTGCCAGTTGCCCTCTTTGATCTGCACCTGACACTGCACTGCAGACGTTCGAGACACTCGACTGGCAGCATCGGTAAAAGGGGTGGTGGTAGCATCAACAACCAAACAGCCTGCTACGAGCATTCAATGTTACCACCACCACACACCACTCCGACTTGGTCCAACACATCACGTCTGATGTTCCCGTGCCCTCTTTACATCATTACTTGCACGCGCTGCTTGTCAGAGGTATTGGGTCTCAGACTTGAGGTTACTCACACACACTACGAATTTCTCATCAACGGCGATTCCCCCCCCCCCCCCATTTCTATGCCATGTTCAGCTTGGACGACACTCATTCGCGCCGTCACTGTGAACACAATACGAACCAGCACTTCTCTCGACAGACTTCACCCGGTGTCAGAGAGTATAGAAAGGCGATTCACATTCATGTTCAACATTCAGCTTGGTTGTCACGGACGCTTCCGCTGCCTTGGGTTGATTCGACATAACCCACGTGGCTTGACATTCAGCCATGTCTCAAGGCCATCTCCGTTCTGACTCCCGTCGATAAACCAAGCCATCTAGAACTGTACAGTCTGTTTAGAGACACGGTCGATTTGAGACTCATCGTCGGTTATGCAACGTCATCTACCGTGCACGAAGGATTAGCAAAAAGCGTTACACAACAGGCAGTTGGCATATCAAGGCCTTGATGTTATGTAAGTAAACATTTCGCACATGAACTTCCCAGTACAGTCAAGATCTGGAAAGAGTGCCAGAGAGAGCATTTTGAACTTTGACAGGTGATCCACCGGCGTTGGAAACCACACTCTCACAGCCAAGTGCCCATGTTTTTAAATAGGATGCTATACGGCCGCTGCCTAAAGGCTCGGGTTTTGAGAATCCATGAGCCAGTTGACATTTAGTGTGGGCATCGGTCATCTCTAGCGAGGGTCTGTCTTCAGTCCCTTTTACACGGGCTATCTTCTGCAAGTGCAACTGCTGTATTTGCTCGCATAGCGCCAGATACTTCAAATGGATAAACAAAAGGCTACGAGATGGCAAACCCACCATAGACAGCAGCCTCGGTCTTAGAGAAACCACTCGTCCACTAAACAAGCGCCCTGTCTCTCTGGTTCCTGGCAGGATCTCGCCCACTCCGTCTGGTCCATGGTTCTGGATCGGACGTAACAGCCGGCGCGCCTTGTCTGAGGTTACCTACCACGTTCTTCACCCTGGTGCGAGCCATATGGGATTCAAGCACGTCCATACTTGCTTTCGGGACCACAGACAGAACCGTCGACTTACATGATGCGGGTCACCGGGATGCTAGAACATTCACGGAACGCCCCGTAATCAACCACTGCCATCAGGTGCCGTTGGCGCCCACAACTGTCATGTCCGGAATTAGTGGAGTCCATGCCCAGTGCCAACCGATGCCGACAAACATGCATTCATCGGGCCCAGACGTTGAAACGATAAATCTGAATCGGGTGTGTACCGGATCGCCAGAGTTTGGTCACTAGACGTCGACAAGTGGTCACATCCGGCCTTATTCTGCTGCAATGAAGATTTAGTCGCCAAGGCAATTGGTTCGCTGCCAGCAAATCAGAGCACGGGATTCATCAGGATATGGAAGCAATGCTACTCCTTCATTTCCCATGTGTGTCAAGTCTTCTCTTCACTATCACTTGCCTCAATATTAATCTTCCCCGGATTTTGCATCCCCTTCATGCTGCCCTCCAGGATCTCGGTAATGTGCGGATACATCCAGAGGATACACACCCAGACGCCACCTCATGACGGGCGTTGTCTTACTACGCCCCTTACTTTACCATCCTCCTATTTATTAGTTCTTAAACAAAAAGGCTTTGAAAAATTCGAATGGGCACCTCACTGGGTGTCATGGATCAACAAAAGTCCTTCAGCTGACCCTTGCCCATGAGCCTCCATCCTGCGAAGATGGTGGTAGACGCCGCCAGTGGTAGCGGCCCGAAAAAAAACAACACCGCGAATGAACATCGTTTCCTTCATATTGACGGGGGCCAGGCATAGAGGAGACTCTTCCCAAAGAGGATGGTCTCGTGAAGAGAATGTTTTGTATCTCCTAGTGTATCCTGGAAAACTAATGTGGCGTGGACATTCGGCCCTTTGTGATGGATCATAGACTTCACTTAGGTCACGTACCGCGCCCATACCAAGTAGGCAGGTGGTGTATCATTCAGCAGTTGTGAGATGATATTGGATTCATGCTTCCTAGTGTTGCCACCCCTTCTTTTCAATCAAGCAACTTCTCTCTACGGAAATGCGGCAGGTTTTACATCAAGGGGGCTTCGGGGACACTTTCAACATTCCCGCTACACGTGGCTGTCTGCTGAAGATCAACATTCCTCAGGAAATCAGATATATCAGCCGTTGTCCCGCGTGCTAGGGATAACAAGAACTCTTACTTCTTCATCCTGTTGTACTCCGGTGGGACAGATATCGGGTCTTCGTCTCGTTACAGCCGCGGCTGTCCAACTTTCACCATGCGTCTTGGCACCCTTCTGCTGGCCGTTGCCAGCCTAACATCTGCTGTCAATGCATACTGGATGGGGGACATTGCTCGTAAGGGGAGTCACTAGTTTCCAAGTTACTCTCAAGGCTAACAGCATGGCTAGATCGTGGTTATGCACCCTTCGCGTACTCTGGATATCCGGTCTTTCGAAACGTCAAGGATTATGGAGCAAAGGGTATGTTGAGCCAAAGTGTTCCCAGAGTTATAGGCACGATCAAGTCTAACACGGGAATAGGAGATGGTGTTACCGACGACACAATTGCTATTAATGCCGCCATCACCGCCGGAAATCCTTGCAACCAAGGCTGTGTAAGTGTTTCCGGTTTGAGCTGGTTGAAAAAGCTTGTTCTAACAACTATCTTTAGACCTCGACCACCACGACTCCAGCCGTTGTCTACTTCCCCGCCGGAACCTACCTTATCTCTGGGTCCATCAAGCCAGCATACTTTACACAATTGATCGGAGATGCGAGCTCCCCACCTACACTCAAGGCCACGGCTAACTTTGCTGGTTTTGGTCTAATTGATGCGAATCCTTACTACACTCAGTACCTGAACTGGAAGGCTGTTAACGTCTTCTTCCGTCAAATCCGCAATTTTGTTATCGATACTACGAATATTCCACCTGCCAATGCCGCCACAGGTATTCACTGGCCAAGTTCACAGGCGACGAGTCTGCAGAACATCGTCTTCAACATGCCGACGGCATCGAATGTTGTCCATGTCGGTTTGTTCATGGAAGAGGGTAGCGGTGGTTTCGTCACGGACCTGACCTTCAACGGTGGTGCCACTGGTGCTTCAATGGGTAATCAGCAGTTCACTATGAGGAACTTGAGGTTCAACAACTGCAAGACAGGTATATTCATTATCCCTCTTTTTGCATCTTCATATAGATCTGCTGACCCTCCCAAGCCATCTATCATCTGTGGAACTGGGGCTGGACCTATTCTGGCCTCTCCATTAACAACTGTGGTGTCGGCATTGACATCACCGCCGGCAGCGGCAAGGTAGAAACCGGCTCCATCATCGTCTTCGATAGTTCCTTCACCAACACCCCCGTCGCCATTTCCACCTCCTGGACCACTGCCAGCACTCCCGACACCGCCGGCACTCTCGTCCTCGAGAACATTGCCCTCACGAACGTCCCCGTTGCCGTCAAAGGTCCCCAAGGCACTTACCTTTCCGGCTCCACCGGCTCAACCACCATCACGGCCTGGGGCAACGGCCACAAATACACCCCCTCCGGCCCTGTCGAGTTCGCTGGCGCCCTAACTCCCAACCCACGCCCCGTTAGCCTACTCGCCGCCAACGGGCGCTACTACACGCGCTCCAAGCCTCAGTATGAGACCCTCTCCGCCTCGCAATTCATCTCTGCCCGTGCCTCGGGCGCCAAGGGTGACGCCGCAACCGACGACACCGCCGCCCTGCAAAACGCTATCAACACCGCCGTCGCCCAGGGTAAGGTGCTCTACCTGGACTACGGGCTGTACCGGGTCACCTCAACCATCCGCATCCCGCCCGGCGCCAAGATTGTCGGCGAGTCCTACGCCACCATCATGTCGGCCGGCGGGTTTTTCAATGATATCAACAACCCCAAGCCGGTCCTACAAGTGGGCAGCTCCAGCGGACAGGCGGGCACGGTGGAGCTAAGCGACTTTATCGTTTCCACGCAGAACGCGCAGGCGGGCGCAGTGCTGATTGAGTGGAACTTGGCCAGTCCGGCGAGTAACCCCAGTGGAATGTGGGATGTGCACACACGGATTGGCGGGTTTGTGGGCAGTCAGCAGCAGGTCGGGCAGTGCTTGAAGACGCCCGGGAATCCAACGGTGAGGCAGGAGTGTATTGTGGCGTTTATGGCTATGCATATCACCAAGGGGGCGAGCGGGTTGTATATGGAAAATGTATGGTTGTGGTGAGTATGCCCCATCTCTCTTGCCTGGGACGGGAGAAGGAGAGAGAGAGAGAGAGAGAGAGGAGGTTATGGAAACTGACGTACGTGGATTAACAGGACCGCCGACCATGATATCGATGACGCGGCAAATACGCAGATTACTCTCTACAGCGGTCGTGGTCTTTGTAAGTCCTCTTTTCCTCTCCCATTTTCTTTGACACCCTTGACCTAACCCCCTGCTTCAATGAATACAGACATCGAATCCACCAGCGGCACCTTCTGGCTCTACGGCACCGGGTCCGAGCACCACGTTCTCTACCAATACCAGCTCTCCTCCACCCAAAACATCTTCATGGGCATGATCCAGACCGAAACGCCTTACTACCAGCCCACACCCAACGCCTTGGTTCCCTTCCCGTCTGTTTCCTCCCTCAACGATCCCAACTTCTCCACTTCCTGCTCGGGAGTATCGGGGAACTGCGCAGCAGCTTGGGGTCTCCGGGTGCTCAACAGCAAGAACATCCTTGTGTATGGAGCGGGCTTGTATTCGTTTTTCAGCGATTACAGTACTGCTTGCTCGACGTTTGCGGCGGGGCAGACGTGTCAGAGTAGGATTGCGAGTGTGGAGGGGACCGGGTGTTCGAATGTGAATATCTATGGATTGAACACGATTGGGGCGCAAAGTATGTTGACGAGGGATGGAGTGAGTGTTGCGTGGTACGCGGATAATGTGAATAATTTCCCGAGTTCGGTGGGGGTCTATAAGAGTGGGTGAGTGAGCTGGGCGGATGGGATGTTTGGAAATTGGTATGTATTGGGCTGGCTGGGAAGAGTGCAGTTTGTGTTGGGCGAAGAAGTGGTAGCAGCGGGTAGGTTGAAAGACTTGGGGGATTGTACATATCAGACTGTTCTTGGTTGTGGGTGACATATCCGTTATTTCTGAAATTGAACCAAATCGTTAGAACTCAAACACCTTCGCTGCGCTAATAACCACTCATACCACTCACTGCCCATATTCACACACACCACACCAGCCCCTACCTAACCATCAAGCGAAAACCCAACATCCTTATTCTCCCTCCCCATCCTCACCAACCGCTCCCTCATCCCCTCCGCCCTCTCTCTCGCCTCCTCCCCTCTCTCCCCCAACGCCGAGAAATCACATCGTTCTACCCACTCCCCGACCCCATGCTGCAACACATTCCTCGCCCTCTTCCCACTTGATGTGCCCGCCACATGCCCGACACTTCCATGCAACGTCGTCCTCTCTTTGCGACATGAATACACCCCCCTATGCAAGATATTATTATCATAAAACGCCACGTCCCCCGCATTCAGCTCCACAACCAGCTGCCCCGGCATGTCAGGCTCAAACGGATCCGCTGCGCGCTCCTCGTCTGTGCGCGGGCGCGTGTGTGACTTGGGAACCAACACCAGCGACGTATCGTTGTCCACGAGACTCAAGTTCCATTGCGTATGGTAGCGCGGTTCCGTAGCCGGCAGCACCAGCCTCTGCCTTTCTTCCTCGGCGGACGCAGTCGCGGGGATGTCATCCCGATGCCAGCTCAGAGCAAACTCCTTGTCGGGCCGAACGAGCATGTTGAACAGTTCCATTACCAGGTCGTCGTCCGTGGTGCCCTCGGGCAACAGTTGCTTGGCGATGGAGAGGATGGAAGGGGAAAAGTAGAGCTTCAGAAAGGCGTTTTTGGATTCCATGTCTTGGGGGAGGAGGGGCGGCAGGTCCGGGTGTAAGAGGTGTTGGACGCCCCAGATTCCGGAACCGTCGGCGGGGGGAGAGGAGGGCCAGGGGGGGAATTGTTTGCCTACGGTTCGGATATAGGGCCAGGAACCGGCGCGGGCGAGGGCCGTCAGAGAGTCTGCGGCGGAGCGGAGGGTGGTGAGTTCGGAGGGGGTGAGGAGGGAGCGGATTACGGTGAAGCCGTTTTCTTGGAGCTCGCGCAGGAGGGGGGAGGGGTAGCTGGTTTTTTGGGCCATTCTTGGGTAATTTCTGTAGTTGACTGGTGAGAGAGGTGGTGGGTAGTTGATGAGAAAAGGTAGAGTCAAAATAGAATACGAAAAGAAGAATTGGGATGAAAAGTAAAACCCGTCGTCCTTTTTTACCGAACGATATTTCAAGAAAAGAGAAGCAAACGCTATCAGAGTAAGTCACCCACGCTCGAGTTGGAGGCCGTCTTCATCCGAGTCTGGATAAGTTGGGGAATGGCCAAGACATCGTGTAACCTCAAACAGAGTGAGTATCGTGTGGGGTAACCAATAAGTAATACATATGCATGTGAAGTAACGACAATGAGGAGAGAAGAGGAGAATTGGAGAGTTTCGGGGCATCTTTGACCCCAACCCACTCCTCTGTCTACGAGTACTAGAACATCGTGAGGTGGCACCAGTGGGGGACAATACAACGTTGCAGATGCCTCAACTTTGGGGGATTTGACTCGAGCATTCTCCAGAGGTGAACAGTGGACGTTTAAGTGCGGAACTCAAATTTCGAAACATGACAGAACATGCGATATGTTGAATAACACATTTTCGCCCACTGACTATTCGCTCAGAAGTTTGGGGGATGGAAATTAAGGGAAGATACGATGAAAGACGGAAAGGAAAGGAAAGACAGGATGACATAAGCTCACAGTTCAGCCAAACAGCCACGTGCTCTCGCGATCCGGCAACGCGAACAAACAATTGAAATCGCCCCCCTCGATCGCGTTTGCCTTCGACGTCATAACCCAGTGGTGAAAGATTGGACAATTAAAATCGTCCCTTGGACTTGGCACTTTAATCATTTTTTTTTTTTGAGAGTTTCTCGACTCTCGTTCCTTACCCAATTTTTATATTCGAACCACTCAAGTCAATTCATCCGATGAGCAAACAAACAATGCCACCACGCAAGCGCAAAGCCGCGGCCATCGCGCATGCTGACGACGCAGTCTCAACACCCGACTACTCCTCGCGTCGCCGCTCAACGCGCGTCTCTGCCTCCGCAAAGAAAAGCCATTACTTTGAAGGCGGGGACTCTGATTCCGACTCACCAGAAGTTTCCGCCGCTGCCAAATCCAAATCCAAAGCCAAAGCCACACGCGGCAGACCAAAGAAGGCCAAAGTAGAAGCCAATCCCGACTTGGATGAAGACGACGACGACGACGACGACGACGACAACGAAGACGCCTATCACGACGACCCCGAAACCCAAAATGACGAGGATGACGACAATAATCATCACAACAACAACAACGAAGAAGAAGAATCAGATGACTCCTCCACTTCCTCCCCCAAGCTCACCTTCATCCCCATCCCCAAACTCCGCGACCTAAACGGCGTACCCTACACCCCCTCCACCATCCACCCCAACACCCTCCTCTTCCTCGCCGATCTTCGGCGCAACAACAAGCGTTCCTGGCTGAAGCTCCACGACGCCGAATACCGCCGCTCCCTTTCAGACTGGGAATCCTACGCCACCTCGCTCACCGACGAAATCATTTCCTCATGTGACTCCACTATTCCCGAATTACCCTTTAGAGACATCAATTTCCGCATTTATCGGGACATTCGCTTCAGCAAGGACCCAACGCCTTATAAGCCGCACTATAGCGCGAGCTGGTCGCGCACGGGACGTAAAGGCCCGTATGCGTGTTACTATGTGCATGTGGAGCCGGGCAAGTGTTTTGTGGGTGGGGGACTGTGGCATCCTGATGGGCCGGCGCTGGGGAGATTGAGGGCTAGTGTGGATGAGAGGCCGGGACGGTGGAGGAGGGTGTTGATGGATAAGACGTTTAGGGAAACGTTTCTTGGTAACGGTGGGAAGGAGTCTGTGAAATATGGAAGGGAAACGAAACAGGAAGAGAAGAAGAAGAAGACGAAGAAGAAGGGGAGGGGGAAGAAAGATGAGGAGGAGGAAGAGGAGGAGGAGGAGGATGATGAGGACGAGCAGGATGGTGGGTTGGATGAAGAGAGGGCGGTCATCAAGGCATTTTGTGTGGCTAATGCTGAGAATGCGCTGAAGACTAAACCCAAGGTGCGTCGGAATTGCCTGGTTGTCTCATTCAGTTGGGTTGTTGGTTTTCGAGTCTTTTGTTGAAAAGTGAAATGGTCAGAGACGGGCCAGCTAACGGGCTATTTTGATTCTAGGGCTTCGATGCTGAGCATAGAGACATAGAGTTGCTCAAACTGCGCAACTTCACCGTGGGGAAGAAGTTGCCTGATTCTGTCTTCACATCAAAAGATGGGCAAGAACAGGTGCTTGATGTTATCAGGGCTATGGTTCCGTTTGTAAGTACCGATACCCCCCCTGCTCACGTTCACAAATGCCGTATCCAGACTATTGCTAACTGGGGCGGGTTATAGGTAACGCACCTCAATCGCATCGTCATGCCTGATCCTGGCGATGATGACGATTCAGAAGAGGAAGAAGCTTGAATAAAGCCGCTCGAGGAAATGAACCCTTTGTCCTGTGTTATGGATTCGACTCCCGGTCTTTTGGATAGCGAGCGATATCAGGATCTGGAACTGCTTCATATTGTCGATTCTTTTCCCTTGCTTACTGACAATGAAATGATACTCACCGCAACGGCATTCAACACTCTATTGAATGGCTGTGTCTTTGTGGACGTAAGTAGGTGACAAGTAATAGTTGGGTATCAGAAACTAATTAAAAAAAAAAAGGGAATTAGACCCTGGTATCGTCGGTAACACATATCCCGCCAACATGACGCAGTACCGAAAACATGATAGCGTAGAAACCCATGAGGGGACACCGAAACTGAGCGTGTCCCAGTCCAATCCTGCAACGCCTCGACCTCCCGTCCCGTCTTTCCGTCCTCATCCTCGGTCTAGCCAAGCCATCCGAATCCGCCGTACATTTTTTTCGAGTTCACTTCTGGCAAACCGCACCCAGTCTTCAACAAACACATTGCATCGCAGTCGCGCTTAACAAAGCCAGTCATCGTGTCGTTTAAGCGGTGGTAGCAGCAGCAACCTCCTCTTCCTTCTTCTCCTCCTTCTTCTCCTCGGCAACGGGGGCGACGGGGGCAGCAGTCTCGGCGGGAGCGGCGACAGCAGCAGGAGGCTCGGCGACGGCAGCTGCAGGAGCAGGAGTCTCAGTCTCAGCAGGGGCAGCGGAAGCCTCCTCCACAACCTTCTTGACTTCATGAGCAGCGGGGACGGCAACAGCCTCCTTCTCATCAACGACAGCCACGGGCACAGCGGCAGCCTCGGTAGCAGCAGCAGCCGGAGCACCAGCAAACTCGGGGGCGGCGATCTCGGGGATTTCGAAGGGGGCGCTGACAACCTCGGGAAGAGAAGAAGCCTCTTCCTTCTTCTCCTCCTTCTTCTGCTCGGGAACAGCGACTTCAGGGGCAGCGGCAACCTCGGGGGCTTCTACCGCAGGTGCAGCGACCTCAGGAGCGGGGGTTACGCTAGGAACGGGGGTGTTCTCACTAGGAGCAGCAGCAGCAGCTTCCTCCTTCTTCTCCTCCTTCTCCTCCTCCTTCTTCTCCTCGACAGGAGCGGCAACGGCGGCAGGAGCGGCGCTCTCGGCCGGAACAGCCTTGGCAGCGGGGGGCTCAGCAGAAACCTCGACAGGGGCGGCGGCGGGGGCTGGATGTGATGTATGATTAGCTATCTTGCTCAAGCCAAGGTTGAGCGCGGGGTTCGGGTGTAAACGTACCGGCAGCGGGAGTCTCCTCCTTGGCGGCCTCCTTGGGGGCTTCTTGAGGGGCCTCGTTGGCAGCTAGCTCGACGGCACCGGGAGCAGCAGCAGCAGTAGCAGCAGCGGGCTTGGTGGCATCCTTGGCAGGAGCAGGAGGAGCGGCAGCGGCAACAGGGTCGTGCTGAGCGGCATCGGCAGCAGCCTCGGTGGGCTTAGCGTGGTCGACGGGCTTGGACGCCCTCTTCTCAGTGGGCTTCTTGAAGGCAGCCCTGAGCTTCGCCTTCAGGTTGCTGAACGCGTCGAAAGCTGTGGTAGCGAAAAGTCAGCCGGCTGGTTTCGCGCTTCATGTCGGCAACTGGGCCCTGGTTGTCCGCTTGTGGATCGAGTTGTTGTCATGGTCGCCGTTCCCGTTGCGATGGGGACAGCCGGGCTGGTGGAGGACGGATGCGGCAAACTTACGAACACCTGGCATTTTGGCGGTTGATTGTTATGGGTTGTGGGTGACCAAGAAAACGCGGAACAAGAATATAATATAGTCAAACTGGCGGGCTTGTTAGTGGATTATTGTTGATGTTGTCGATATGGAGCAGCGGATGGCGCGGGAAGGAGGAATGAAGGGAACAAATGACGAGGAAAGTGAGGCTAAATATGGAACGCCATCCAAGGGGCCAACGTGGGAGTATGTGGAGGCAGGGAGAGATAAGCAATAAGGGTACGTCGATGAGGAAACTGAAGCTGATTTGACGAAGAGATGGACACGGAGAGAGAGACGGCTTCTTCCACCTGGGATGACTACTCGTTGGTGCCTTTGACTGACAGACACCCCGAGGGTCTGCATCTGACATTGAGACACAAGCAATTGGCAATGAGTGGCTCGTTGTTTATTTAGATCAGCTGCTTAAGTTGCAATCTGATGGTCCCGTCGTCCAGCAGTGACACCCAGTGACACATGCTCGGCGCTCTGCCAATGGCCGGGCTGCCCGCATCGACTAGAGCAGAGGAGGAGGTGCGTGTACCGCGTCGCAACAGGAGGGAAGGGGCAAAACATGCAAGTGTTTGCGTGGGAGATGACTTTCTGGTAAACACACACCTTTTGGTTGACGAACGACAGAGTGTAGCTGGCGATGATGGTATGCGTCGTCAAACTTTGCCTTTTGGATGCTTGTTGGTGTGTTTTTTTGTTGAGAAAAGGAAAAAGAAGAAAAGAGGCGAGAATAGGTGTCTTTTTGGAAAAAGTAAGAGGTAGGTAGGTACGGGGACGAGCAAGATGGAGATTAGCGCCTGGAAAGCGAAATTAGCCAGGGAGGATGCGAGCGGGCGTTTACGGATTTGTAGAATCGAAGGTCCAGTTTACTTTTATTGCACGTGAAGTACATTGGTCTCCTACTGTGTAGAGGTAAACCACCCACCTTCACCGGGTATTATGTACAGCTACTAACTACTATTCTAGTCATTAGGTAGGTAGGGTATTGGAATGCTTCAGTTGGATGGACTTGAAAGTAGAGGTAGTTGACGTCGGGATATCCATCTCTTCTCCCCCACATGCTGAAACAGAGACTGGACGATGCAAAACTGTCAGGGCAGGTCCCAGACCACTGACATGCCCGACATGACACACTGGCGCACCTCAAACCCGCAGGGTAGCCGCTTGTGGATAAGCATAAAATCTGTATCCACCCGACTCGCACTGCCTGTTCATGTGTTGAATTTCCCCGAGCTTGGGCCACATCCGTCAGCAACCCAACTCCCGTCCATACCACGGCAGGCATTTCCCAACAAAGTGGAAGCTTTCAGTTCTCTGCTCTAAAAATACTCGATACGGGACACGAATGATTCCAACGTCGTGACAACATCATCAATCACGGATCGAATTGCCTCGGTCGGCCCACTTGGATGACTCGATCGCCCTCCTCGATAACCGAGAATGCATCACTCCAACCGTCGTTCCCGAGGCTCGCCGCCTACCAACATAGTGTGTTGGTAACCACAGCCAATTCTCCGGGCCACGTTACCAAAATTCCGCTCCCTCCGCGCCTCCTCCGCATTTGCCTCGCTAGCCCTCGCTACTAATCTTATTTCTCCCTCGCTACCCTCTCCCCGGATTCGCCCTGGAACATCGTCATTCATGTCACAAGTGCCGATAGAAGCGCTGGAAATTCAAAGTCACATCGACTACCGATCCCAATGTCAGCGCCCTGGCTCACCGTTGCAGACATACATAACTGCAAGTGCTTACCCGACGCAAGACACGTGCGGATTGATCAATCTGTACAGGTCTTGGATGTGATGCAGCTGCAGAGTGTATCATCTCAAAACCCACCATGTATCGAGACCTTGCAGCAGGCCATCGACAAATTCAAATCTCATGGTTAGAGGACTGTGTCGAAAATCACGCCAGAAGTAATTTGCACCAGCGGGACCATTGTTGGCATCCAACCCGTCTGGTCTGAGTCCCTGGTAAATCCACGAACCACAAATCTTGTTGCGCCTCAAGCCATCGAGTGGGACCAAAATCGTGGCGATGGGACCCTGATCTTGGTATCCCAACATTATCTAATCTTCGATCCAACCTTCTGGAACCGGGAGGTTACCGAAGCTTTGGTAAACACAAAGAGGCCAAGTCCTCCAGGGGCGTATTTGATCACCTCGTATACTACATTTCGGCAAGCGACAACTAGTGTGGGAGTAATTCGAGCATAATGCGGCGGGAAAATTTCCCAACGGACTCCATCCTCGGATAATGGAAGCCGGTCCCGCAATGTACAAAGACAACACCTGTTCTTCAACCCCAAAATGTCATACGAGGAGCAAAAAGAAGACGAGCTGAGCCATTACCACCTCTGGGCCCCCTTGGTCGAGTCCTACATAGCCTGCAAACTAACCTTCGAAAGCGACAAACTCATTGCCTGCTCTAGTAGGGTCAAGATGGTCCCAGCACGTATCAACGATGAATATGTCGCCGGCATGTGTCGCAAGTATCTCGAACTCGAGAGTTACTTTGGCAACCCATCTTCCCCCATTCTTCCTGACCAAGATCTGGCCTCCTCCCAACTAACAAGAGAAGAAGCCATCTCCCAAGGTGGACATGGGTCTCAATAGACCGCCCCTTACACTCGAGATCTAATACAGTACCGCGACTCCCTCCTCTACACACGACTCCCTCTTGCACAGTCGACTCCGTCTCCCTCACCTACGCCAGGTCCAACCTCACAGGCGACATCCCTACCGGAGGCCGCCACCATCTCCGCGACATCCTCATGCCCGCCAAGCTCATTCACACAGCCCACGCACAGCCAGAAGTCCACTGGAGGGTTATCATTGTGAAGGCATCGAGCTCGAGTGGCGCCTAGCGCTACGTCAAGCACTCCATCAGAGGGGGCGGGTATCCTCCGAGGACGAGTTTCCGATCACGCTCAACCATTTCATGAAAACTCTGACGTGGAAAATGAAACCGAGAGGAGTTCCCCCATTTCAGTATGGACGACGGGCGTCCGGGATCGGCACGCAACGAAGTCTCATGATGGCGATATTGCTATTTCGATACCTGGACGCGGAAAGGAGCGCATATGAACGGTTGGGCATTTTCAAGTCAGTTTGATGACAACCGTCACTTGTTTTGTGCTATGAGCGCAAATGTGAAGGGAAGAAAAGGATGCCGTGTGTTGAATTCAGGAAGGCAATGCACGCTGTTTATTGTGGTTTGATAAAGTGGTGATGCATATGGGAAGGGCGCATGGAAAGTCCACAGCAGCGCTTAGATAACTTAGGTATCTTGTGGTTTACACTTACATTAGTTACATAGGTTAGCTCGCCATTCACAGATGCAGGCCAGGGGTTGGGGTGGCGGCTAAGCGCGGCGAGCTGAGTGGTAAGTAGTGTAGCTAGGATCCTAGTACACAAATGTCTAACTAAGTGTGAAACCAAGTGGAAGGAAGGTTGATACCCCTCCTGGAGCCTTCGATACTAACTTGACTCTCTTTGACGATTTAGGAAAATTTATATCAACAGTATACTTACCAGCGTAACGGCTACAAACCATTCCTCTCTATATTCAGTTGTCATTACGAACAACTCGCCAATCCGTACTTATCCACGCAGAAGCACCAACGACTCCATCACTCAGCATTGTAAAGAGTGAAATCGCTTTTTGTTCCTTCCTCCTTTTTTTTTTTTTTCTTTTTTTTTTTTTTTTTTTTTTTTCCTGTTGCTTTCCTTTCGAGATAATACCTCTGATTTGCCTGACGATCACCACCTCATCATGATCTGTTCTGTTTGTAAAGAGACCTTCGAACTGCTCATTTCGGCAGCCCGGGCATCCCCAAAGGGTCCAGATGCTCGTCACCACAAGAGCCTTGAAAGCTTCCAATCTTCCCTCGAACAAAAATGCTACGTGTGCACTGGGGTCTGGGATTCGTTGGATGCAGGTCAACGTAAGAACTGGGAAGAGGAATGGATGAAGGTGAGAACTCCACTGGTCACATTCTAGCTCTTTTACACTTTATTTCTCTGAGACGTTCTGTACTGATTGGAAACAGTCGACTGGGGAAGGCGAGGATCCAAGTCCAGTGTCTCTTGCCAGTATTGCGGTAACTCCTCCGGCACGCCCTGGATCTCAAGATTATACAATCTGCCTACGCCTTTATATGCCGCCGAAACCTATAGTTGATTATCTTCCGCTCATCAGCCAAGCGTTCTTCCTCCTCAAACCCCCAACCGCTCAAAGTTCCTCACGTATGAAACGCCTGAGGAAACTCTTCTCGGGGCGTGACGAAAAATCAGAGTCAGCTCTTACTCGTCCAGTTCTTGGCCTTACTACTACAGCTTCTTCCTTGGACTTAGCCAAGAGTTGGGTTAGCAGCTGTGTTGCCCACCACCCTCAGTGTAATATATCTGTCAATCATGGCAACTGGGTCCCCACACGGCTTCTTTACTTCACGGCAGGAACTGTCCAACTGATCGAGACCAAAAAGACCAAGCCCACTACCACCTACATGACCCTCACTCACCGTTGGGGCTTCGCCGATGAGGAGATGATGCTCAACAGAAGAACATATCCAAGCTTGATAGGGGGAATACCTATCTCCTCAATGCCCAAGCTCTTCCAAGAAGTTATGACCGTCGCCCTCCATCTCGACGTGAACTACATCTGGATCGATGCCCTCTGTATCTTCCAAGACAAAGATGACCAAACTGACTGGCAAACCGAAGCTGGCCAAATGCAAAAGGTCTACGCCAACTCCTTTTGCAACATCTCCGCCGCCGACGCCACCTCCTGCTCCGACACACTCTTCAGCCAGCCTCGGAATATAAAAGAAGAGATCCTCCCGCAGACCATATACCTCTCTATCCCTTCATCATCCTCGTCATCATCCTCATCTTTTCCTTCTTCACTTTCTCCTACCTTCACTACCTCCACCACTTCGCAAACCAGTTCTCGTCTCCTGTCCTCCATCTTGAACCACCATTCAATCCCAAAATCCCCATATATCGCAATGAACAGACCCAAAATCAAATTTGAGCCTTTTACCCTCATCAACCTGTCCCTCTGGACCCACCAAGTCTCCCATGCCCTCGTCAACACTCGCGCCTGGGTGCTCCAGGAACGCGTGCTTGCGCCTCGAATCCTCCACTTCGGCCGCCGCCAGCTATTCTGGGAGTGTCGCTGTTCAGAAGCCTGCGAAGCTTTTCCACTTGGTGATCTACCGTCGCAAATGACTAGGGGGGAGGAGTCCGGAGTGAAGCTCACGCGGTCTCTTTGTTCTCGTCCACGCCTCCAAGACCAAGATAACAGCAATGACTTGTCCACGTACCTGGCATGGCACCTTCTAATTCAAACATACACAAAAACCTCTCTCTCATTCCCATCCGATAAACTCATCGCTATCTCCGGCCTCGCCAAGCTTTTCCAATCATTAGCGAAGAGAGACGACTATGTAGCCGGTTTATGGCGCCCCTGGTTAGAGGGAGAGCTCCTCTGGGTTAACGCCTCCCCTCAATACTTCGGAGCGAACGCGACAACAAAACGACCAGAAATATACAGGGCGCCCAGTTGGTCCTGGGCATCTATTGACGGTCCTTTGTCAACGGGTACACCAATGAAAGGTCAGGATCACGGATCCAAAATAAGAGTGGAGGATGTGCAACTGAGTTATTTAACGGAAGATATGACGGGGGCGGTAACGGGTGGTCAGTTACGCTTGAGGGGGACATTGTTTGAGACGGAGCTTGTGCGCGTTTCCTGTACGGATGGCATGGTTGGGTGGACGGTTAAGCTGGAAGGGGTTCATGTGTTAGATGAGAAGGTCCTGCCGGCTCCAGCGTCTCTCAACCCCAGGGTTTGTTTAGATGTGATGCAGGAAAATTTCGAGAGGGAGAATGGGGATGGTTTGCTCTTTAGCATGGTGGCGAGGACGGGGGAGAGTGTGGGAGGGCATATGTATATGCTGCTCTTCAAGTTGGTTGACAGGCAAAAGGGAGTGTTCCAGAGGCTCGGGATCATACTGGTGGCGGGAGACGTAATAAAAAGGAGGGTACTGGAGGTGGAAAGAGGCTTTGACAAGCCTAGGTTACCGTGCGTGGAGCTGCATGATGATGGTCAGCATACTATCATGGTCATATGATAGAGTGGGGTGCAAAAAAGAAAAAAGGGTATCACCGGAGAGTCAGGCGTTCGGGAAGAAGGGAAACTTCATTCACCAGTGATGATGTCGTGCTGAAGGGTTATCCATACTGATATGGCCCAATATCCAGCAGCTCAACGTGCCGGTGACAGTGATTGATCCTAGTGGCCTGGGTTGGAACAGAACGGCAAGGTTGATGTAGGAAGACTTCGGAGCTGAAAAGTGCTTTGTGAAAGAGAAAGGTGAGGTCCACTCAAACAAAGCGTGTTTGTAGGAAAGGAACGAAGCCAAGAGGCCGGGAGAGTCAGGATATATACATGACAGTTCGTCCCCCTCCTGGCTTCTAGTCTGGCCTCTAGACTTGATTGCAAGCCAGACCTCCTTCCTGGCCTGCCCGCCGCACCTTCCTCAAGGAGGAAACGGCTCTCTTGGGCTAGCGGGTCCCTTCTCTACAATGTACATAACTTGCCTTCCTTCGAGGCTCCTCCCATCTGCTTAGTGGAGCATGCGCGAGCGGATTGCAGTGAGCCAGGTGAAGCCGTCGGGCCCGACCAGGAGGGCGATTAACGTGAGGTTATTCCTAGGAGAACACTCATGAATCACAGCTAGATGTCACCAAGCCCTGTTCCATACAACTCAACATGAGTTTATCATGTCACACATGATAGGTTTCAATAATCGCTCCATTCCTTCCACCTCATCCATCTCTCCTTCTATTCGTACCTATATCTCCAATCCCTTCAGGAAAAAGCTACACATCACCCAACTCTTCGCCTTACACGCTACTATCATCATCCTCTCTTCCAACACTCATGCTAGAGCTACCCAGAACCAAACAGTCACACCTATTACTTCCCTACAACACCTCCTGGGCTTTAGTAAGCACTCCGGTAATAATCCGCCAACCCATCATTCTGTCCAGGCGCCCCCGGGGCACTTGGTCCCTCGTGACCACCACCCGGCGCTGACGGCGCCCCAGGAGGCACGTAAGCCTTGTACTGAGGCTGTGCCCCACCACCAGGCTGCAATGCCGCAGGCGGCTGCGGTGCCGTCGACGATACTTCGCTACCAGCACCATCGTAAACCCCAGGGACATGCGTCCGTGAAGAAGCAGCTGCCGCAGCGGCAGCGGCAGCGGCGGCGTAAGGATTCTGGCTGTGATATCCGCCCTGTGCGTAACTGTTGGGAGCACCGGGTGCTGAGGGAGCCGAAGGAGCGGAGGGTGCGGGACCGGAGGGAGGAGGAGGGGCGGAGCCTACGTTGCTGCTACTTCCTGCTCCGGGGCTCGTTGGTCCGTAGGGGTCGTCAGTGGGAGCTCCAGGCCTCCCTTGGCTGTAGGAGGGAGCGGACGGAGCGCTGTAGGATGGGTTGGAGAGGGGGTTAGTGCTGTGTTGAGCGATGGGCGAGTCGTAGGCTGAGGTAGAGAGCTCTTGGGGGGCACCGCCGTTTGTACTGCTGTATGAATCTGTGCGGTTGTTGGCTCCGGATGCGCCAGGGGCTTGGTAAGGGGTGTACTGATTCCCTGGGGGTGGCGAGGAAGTTGTGTTCAACGGGGCGGGAGCCATAGGGCTGGGTCCTGATGGATTTCGCTGCTGGTCTTGAGGTCGGGAGGGGCCACCATATGCTGGTTGCGGCTGCTGTTGAGGGTAAGGAGGTTGCTGTTGATGCTGAAGTTGTCCTGGGCCTTCAGCACCCCCCATGTAATAAGGCGCAGGAGTGCCAGCAGGACGTATGAAGTGGTTAGGGTTTGGCGACGGCGAGGTCGCAGGATACTGGGGCGCATCTAAGTAGTAGGTTTTATACATGTCAGCTTGTGAGCCCTTTATGGATACTCGATCAATACATCCCCTGACCACCGAATTCTCTCACGAACGTACCTTGAGCGGGCGCTGGATTATAGAACCGGGGCGGCTCCTGCTGCTGTTGCGGAGGAGGCGCGCCATATCCCCCAGATCCGTAGCTATTGGTCATTGGAGGTCTCATTGCGTATTGGTGATAAGTCGGTCCTGGTGGGTGAGACATGGAAGACTCAAGAAGCGCTTCATAGTCTCTTCTAGCCTTGATGAACTTTTCGTTCAACTGCGTAAAATCATCTATTCGCTGTTAGTGGGAGCCTCTTCACAATAACGAACAGCCCAAGACGTACCCTTCTTCTGCGAGTACTTCTCAATCAGCTTGATAAGCTTGGGCCGAATCGCTAGCGTCTGGTGATAAAGTTTCTGTTGCTCATCGTCAGCACATCACTTTTCAAGCCCGTTTCAAATCATTCACTCACCGAAATCTCTTCATTATCCTCCTCCCTTGGACCCGTGTTTCCAGCACTCAAGAGTGTCAACAACTTCTCTACATTCTTGATCTCCGCAAACACCTCGGCCTCCATCTGCGCCTCACGCTGCAACTCCTCCGGGGTCGGGTCCGCCAGCTTTTCGACATAGTTCAGAGGGAAGATGCCCGTCTTGCCCTTGAGAGATCCGCTCCACCAATCCTTGTACACGCTCTTCAACACGGCAATGACATCACCCTTTTTGAACTCCAGCTCGCCCGGCTCCGAGGGGACAAAGTCGTAGAGCGCCCTGACGCGGGACACGGTAGCGGCCGTGGTACTCGAGGGAACCGGCTGAGGTGTTGCCTCTGCCTGGCCAGCGGTTGAGTTCGTGCCATCCCCCGACGCTCCTGCTCCCCCGGCGTTGCTCGGCCCTGCGGCCGCACCACCACTGGATGAGGACGCAGTTGCCCCCGAAGCACCAGCGGGTCTCTTCTTCCGTTCCTCCTCCTGCAAACTGAGCTGGAGAGCCATCTGGAGCTCTTCCTCCTCCTTCTGGCGGTCGGCATCGGTGAGCACATTCTTTTGCGGGGCGCTGGGCGGCTGTAGGGTCGGGTTTGACTGCTTTAGGCGGTAGTAGGCGTCATACATGATGCCGAGGTCGGAGTCGGACTTGAACATGTCGGACCACTCCTTCATACGCTCGAGGATCTTGGCCTTGACTTGGGTGTGGGTGTTGCGGTCGTTGGCGAGCTTGAGGAGGGCGTCGGTGAAGGCGCGGCTGGAGAGCTCGCGGTGCATGTTCTTGCCGCAGTTTTGGGAAAGGGCGTTCGCAACCTTGGGGGTTAACAGGCCGGGTTAGCATCTGGCTGGAAGATATGGGCTGGTAAGAGAGGTGACATGATGAGCTCACCTCGAGGGTATACAGCTGAACATTGGCGTTCCTATGGGCCAGGCGCTTGATCATGCTATTGACAGCCTCTTTGGCGCCGTTGGCATCGGTGGCTACCCGATCGCAGACCTCCATGATGGCGCCCCAGTCCTCGGACGTGAGGTTCTCGTCGGTTGCCTTGTCTGTACAGGAGCGCGCTGTCAGCACAAGTATGAATGCATCATGGTCAAGGTATACATACTGATGGCCTCATCGTAAGGCCCTGCGGCCGCCGCTCGAAACATTGTGATGGCTGTGTCTGGTCTGGCAGCTGGTGTATCAAGAGTTCTTTGGTTGTTGAAATACGAGGAACAGAGAGAGGAGTGGTAGTGGGCGCGCCCTCGGGGGATGTCGTCACTATCAGCTGGCCAGACGGGCAGGAACTGGTGTCGTCGGCTACCACGGTAGTTCGTTTCAAAGTGACACAGCCGTAAAACTATAGATTGAATCGGTCCGTCGTGTTGTGTGTCAATCGCTTGTTCTGATAATGGACGTCCGGAGTTGTTGTAGTTGTGGGTATCGTATCGGTGTCGGTATTGTTAGGCAGACCTAGGATGGAAGAGGGGGAGAGGCGGGAGCTCGATGAGCGGGAGCTGCCTAGAGCTACAGTAGGTGTGTAGTTTGGAGTCGCGTTGAGGTATTGGGATGTGCGATATGATTCGGATCTGGTTCGCAAAAAGAAACAAGATTCGAGTCTTGTTCCGCACTCGAGTACGGGTACGTCTTGGTCCGGCAGCCGCTGCGCTATCGAATGTTGTCGAAGGTCCGGTGTTTTGGATGTTCCGTCTCTGAATGAATGTACTTGCACCACCAGGGAGGGCACCTAGAACTATGAGTGTACAGTAGTTCGCCGTTGGCAGCAAGCAGATGACGAACGAACCTCTTCCCGCCTCAGGTCGCTCTCACTCCTTCTGTCACCTGCAGCGCCCCCCCCCCCCCCCCCCCCCCAAACCAACACCAACAGGGGGGGGGGGGGACTCGACACCACTGAATAGGAGCGAGCGAGCGAGCAAGCACGAGGGAGGCCTGCTCAGCCGCCTCGATTTTATCCAATCATGTGGACCATTCTTCGCATACCTTACAGTTATCAGGGGAGGGTATACCCCACTCTTCAGCGTGCTGTGCAGCGGCATTCCGTCATTTGTGTTCCATTGCGTCGTAGTCTTTTCTCTTGGCTCTTGCCGCCCGTAATCGCATCAACTACACTACTGAAGATAGTGAGGTTGGTGATGTCGATAAACGGGGCAACTTTTTCTTTTGTTGTGTTTCTTTTTTTTTTCTCTCTCTTTTTTTTCTTTTTCTTTTTTCTAGGTAATTACAAGGCAAGCCTCAACGCCGAGTAACTAGAAGCCAAATGCCATATCATCTTTCTCACGACTACAGGTCAAGTTCCATGCCTCTATCCTCTTCCCAAGGTGGGAACAATTTCATGTCACTTATACACAGCCCGCTACTTGAGCTTCAAGTTGCTCCGTGTCCTATACGATTTACACTCATTTTAATCTCGAGAAAAAACGAACTACAAATCATTTTTCTGCATTGTACGAGGCCTCCAAATGTTCATTCATCTACATGGTAGGTGTATATACAATGGATTTCTGTTAGTCTTATCAGCCACTCGCTAAGGCTGGAATAGGCTTCCTGAATATAAACGAATAACGAAGTGTGAAAGATCCTCCTCCTTCACCCATGAGCCTCTAATCATGCCGACTCAAAGTTCCAACTACCCACAAACCCGGACAAAAAAATTAAAAGAGGGAGAATGGATAGTTGTCTGAGAACGACAAACACCAACGTAGGTTCATGTCGAGAATAGCATCTGGCTTCTCTGTCGCTGTGATCTTTAATCTGTAGAATGTAGACATCAACCTTTCCCGACTTCCTGGACATACATCGCTCTTGTACCGTGATCCAAAGCGATGCATTGCACATGCACGCAACCAAAGTGAACTACCATCCCCGACGCGTAGTTCCCCTAACCTCGTACTCTTCTCCATCACCCACACCTCCACCGTCAGTGTTTCCACTAGCCTCTCGAGCCCCCTGAGCTCCTCCTCTCAACCCCCTAGGAGATCCTCCCAACACACCACCACCTCTTGCCTCTTCCAAACTGTGCCTCGAAGGCCTCTCGAGTTCAGACATGGCGAACAACAACGGCTCGTCATCGGTGCCGTCCTCACCCTGACCGACACCCATTCCACCTCGACCAGCCATGGTGCCCACATACCTCATCCCGGTAAACGGACCCCCGCTCGAGTGAGGCGGTGTCCCCCTGGTGCCGGGTCCGATCCCGCTACCGCGCCCTTGCGTGGAACTCGTCGTTGTGCCATGGTAGCTGTACCGCGACTTGTACGGGGTCCTGCTGGTAGTCATGAGCCTAACTGGCGGATTGGTCGGCTGATCCTCGTTTGCCTGCCTCAGCTCCGCCGAAGCCCGGATATCTGCCGCGGGCTGTAGTTGCTGCATTCCTGCCATTCCACTTCCCGCCGAACTGTCCTCGTTGCCATCGCCCGAATTTCTTCGCTGGAAAGCAAGCAGGGTACTCAACGAGGGCGCCTCGCCACCGCCCGCTCCGAGGCTCAAGCTCCGCTGGGCAATATCCGAATCATCTTCTCCCGTTCCGCCGCCAGCTCCAGCCGCCAGCGAACGGTGCTGCTGGGCCACGGAACTCGCTCGGCGGTTTGCGCTACCCGCATGGAGCAGACGAGGAGAGAGCGGGATATCGATCGCCGCCGAGACTGCGCCACCCCCAGTTTCCTGTTGACGGTCGGCTTGCGTTGTCTCATCGCCATCTTCTCTTTCTTCTTCTTCTTCTTCTTCCTCCTCCTCCTCGGTGGGCACCACATGAGACCTCCCTCTCCTGTTGTGGCTAGCCTGGGCCGGGTAATCGATAATCGAGTTTTCGCTCAACCGACTAGGAATCGCGGGCGTGTGAGGCGTATGCGGGCTCAGGGGCTTTCCGCCCGGTGAGCTGCTGACGCTCGCACCACTCATACTGATTCCCGGGTTTCCCAGGCTACCTGGCATGTTGGACATGTGTCTGCTGCTGGAGCTCGAGCTCCGATGCAAAGTTGAAGATCCCATCAGCATGCTCTCCGTCAGCGCATTGTTCGAGTCCCTCATCAGGTGGAATTTGTTAAGCTGTGCAGCAGTGCGGCGTGCAGCAGCTGATTGCTCTCCCTTCTTGGTAGCCTCAAAACTCGGCAACTTCTTCCTGTTGTCAAGCTCCTTAAGAAACTCGGAAATGTCGTCATCCGTCTGGAACGAGCTTGAACTGGCCACTCCACCTACAGGTTCGGCGAGCAGGGCCGAGCCAGGCTGAGCTGATGAAGACAGGCTTTGTCTGCCACTACTACTGGCTTCGTCATCGCCGGTCTTGCTTTGGCCGCCGAATGATGTCCGTGATCGACGATGGCTGAAACTGCTGCTATATCGACTTTGGGGCCTTGGTGAGCTAGACTTTGGAATATCCGTTGGAACGGCAGCACCGGGACCCCGCAAAGAGGCCGCCATTCCCGCCGTAAGCGAGGATCTGTTCCTGGCTTGCGAGATTCCGCTCAAACCCGAGGGTCGTGGAAGCGAATGTGACGAGGCCGGTGCTCCATGATCGGGAAACCTGGGACTCCCGGATATCGACCCGGCTTTGAAAGGTTGAAACGAAATAGAAGGTCGTCTGCTGCCCTCAACATCCCGCAATGTCCGGCTTGATGCACTACGGATGGGAAGAGAATGCGATGGTTCTGACTGGTCGACACTGGCTGCAGAAGAACCGGGTGGCGAGCTCGTGTCTGAACCAGCCGGTCGGACTGCCTTGAGCGCCGAGATGGGGCTTGTGCCGAATGCGCCGGTGCCATGAAATGTCGACAGACTACCATACGTCTGGTGCGGCTCTCGGCTGCGCCGTCCTAGGCGGTGTGAGGGCAAAGATCCGGGTTCCGCGTACGAGTCGGCTCGGCCGTGGCTGACGGGTTGCGGCCGTTGAGGTATTGAGGGCTTGAAGAAATCCTCATCTACACCCATGAGTCGCGAACTCAGCAGAGCGTCGGCATCCTCGACCCGAAACGTGCAGTCATTTCGATAGATGACCGAAGCATTGAAGCGACCTACGGGCACTTCTAGATCACCGAACATGTACTCGGTTACTACATCCTTACTGTCAGAAAGAGGTTGGCGCAACGGATCGTAGTTGAGGAATTCGGCCTCGGCCGGCACAATGCGGCACTTTACTTCCAGGGCGGGATGGATGCCCTTGGTCATGGTCTGCTGGGAAAACTTCCAGCCGGGCATGACGCGCGTGGCCAAGAACAGCGACCGGAAGAATACTATGCTTCGTTTATAGATTGTGGGCAGGCTGGGTCCAAAATCTTGCAAAGCATCATCATTCGGAATGCACTTGAGCTCGATGCGCCATCGTTCCAAGATCACCTCGGTATTCCGTTTTTGCAGGTGGCGTTTCCGTGGCGAATCCTCGCTCGACTCTGAACTGTTGAGGGCTTCCAGAACATCCCACCTCTTGCCATTAGCGTCCACCAGGGCGAGGCTGTGACTGCTGGAAATGCGCGATGCGTCGATATACGTCTCGATGATCATGGGCGGTGGACGATTCGTAAAGCTGTCCGAGTTCCTGTAGAGGCGGAGCTCCTCCTTGAAGTCTTCGGTGTCCTCGGTCTCTATCGAGAACTGCATCTCGTCGTCAGCGGCTTGTCGCGGTAATGATTTGAAGAAATGGAAACCCACCCATTTATTGAAGCCTTTCTTGGGCCCAGGCGTTAGATGCTGTCGCGACCCGATGATGAGGACAGCGGCTTTGTAGTAGAAGTTCTGTCACTCAGGTCAGTCAGCCAGGCGATACGGCGGCTTTGTCGAGATTGCGCACCTGAATGATCTGGTCCAGCTTCTTGATGGCATCGCGGCTTGCGGCGTGAGCGAGGGCACCACCACCTCCATCCTGACCACCACCACCAGCTCCGTCCCTATCGGCGGCGTCGGTACTAGTTCGAGACCGGGGGTCCCTCTGGTTGTTTGTGCGGGCTGGGTTTGTCTGGGCCGAAACTGCGGGGGAGGAGACCCTTGGGGGATGACGAGATTGTTGATGCATTATGGATGGCGGATGTCGCCAGTGGGCGGCTATGTATAAGTGATGTCAATGTTAACGAGCGGCGTGCGTGGGATGCTTGACACGGGCGCCAAGCCCCGGCTCCGGTGTGACTGATAACAAAGTCGCGAGGCTGCCGTGTCTGTCAAAGCGAGCGCAGATGGAAGGCGTCAATCCGGACAAGATGGCTGAAGAAAAAAAGGGGTCGGGAATATTCGAGTGTCTAGACGACGGCCGGGGAAGAGCGGACCTTTGCATCCATCGTTTGTTATCGGCGATCAGTCGGATAAGGCAGACAGAGAGGACGACAATGACAGAAGGAGAGGAAATCTATAGTCTAGCAAAATGGAGGTTGGGAAGAAACACAAGGTACAGTAATGGGTCGTCGGGCCGTGCCACAAGGCAGAATGTGAGAGGCCGATGTATGTTAGGGGAGGAGGAGGAGGAGGAGGAGTCGAGAGAGGATGGATGGATGGATGGATGGATGGATGGATGGGAGGTGTGGAGGTGTGGAATGTGCGATAGGGAACGGGATCCAACTCGCCGTACATAGACGGGATGCCGACTTGGTTGGCGGTGACTGTCAGTCGCTGTCAAGGAGCGGGCGACAGCGGAGCAACCTAACAGCTGAGCTTTAACAGACAATAACAGCATCTCGTTGACGAACTGATGAGCCCAAGGCCATGACTGTTAGTGGAGCACGTCCCATTTGCGCCATCCTTCCGTCTCCACGGCAGCGCGTCAGAGAACGGAAGGGAAGCGTGTACCCTAGAGTGGTTCCAGTAAAAGGCAGGTCCGGAGTTTCAGGGTTCGTCGTGGCGGCTCCAGAGAACACCAATCAGTGGGCCAATGATTGGCAGTCATCCGGCACACTGCCGCGCCAAGTGGAGCAATGGCTGCGTGCATGGGGTTTTGTTGCACTGTTTGTAATCTGTTACATAGTGTTATGTACCTCTTCTACTCTCTCGAGCACGCCATCGAACGTTGTGTCCAAGTCGACATTTTTCATTTTCCTGTCGTCAATATTCAAAGTCCATCGACGATGTCTCAGTCAAAGACAAGATACACAGAAAAGAGGCGGCAAGAAAGCTCAGATGACGCTGTCCAGGTGCGGGCCTTGCCGTCGCCCATGTTTCTGGTGACTGCCGAGCGATAACACACACTATCACTAACAAGGTCGCTTGTGATTTTAGTAGGTATGGTTGCTGCAACTTTCCTTCCGGGCCACCAAGATTGTCTCGGTTGACCACCGTGGTACCTCGCAGCCTTTCTTCTTTTTTTTTCCCCAAGTGCTTGTCTCTGGTGCTGCACCCAGTTACATTACCAACAGGTATGTACACTACCTACAATATGTAGGCAAAGTTACGAGCATGAGGAGAGTGGTTCCTCTTCGTTCCTCGAGACGCCAACCTCCCCCGGCCATGGGCATGCCAGGACCGCCTCGTGATCACCAACTTATCTTTTTTCGTCATCGAGTCATCGACAATACAACTCTTCTCGAACCGACGTTCCATGCGCGACGATAAGGCTGCCTGCAAGTCCGATCATCCTATCCCATTGATCTGACCCATCCAAACGAACAATGCTAGGATCGACGCAGTTATCAAAGACTCTCTCTCTCTTTCTCTCTCTCTCTCTCTCTCTCTCTCTCTCTCTCTCCTCTTTGTCTTTACCGTGTACACTCATTCATTCATACCTCCCCGTCTTTATTCTTCTGAACTCACTAAACTACCTACCGGTACCCATATGCTGTACTGCGTATATTCATTCCCCTTCTTTCTTTGTTTTTGCAACTACCGAAGCGGGTGATGGCCCCTCATCGGACATTCAGTGCATAGCATGCAGTCACTTACATAAAGTATCTAGATGCCTTGAAAGAGGCACAGAAAGGGAGCTAGTCTAGCTGCCTGCCTGCCTGCCTGCCTGCCTGCCTAGAGGTATGAACCTATACAGCTACGCGTCGAATGAACAGCCGCTGAAGCAGCCCATTGTTTGTTTACCCAGGACTGAATGGAACATAGCTCCGAACCTGCAGCAGCAGTCTAGACGCACAAAGTCACGGCAGTGCTAAGTGCATTTGATTCAGTCAGTAGACTAGTGTACCAAAGACAGCCTTGGGTTTAATACAATACACAATGGATTGCATTTTTGGTGTTAACCACCAAATGTCCCTCCGGAATCGAGATAGTAAAAAAGTCATAATCTATACTTTGTCCTCAATACCTAGCTCTATCGTCGCCCCAAATAGCAACGATAACAGCACCTAAAAAAATTTCTCGCCTCGCCTCGCCTCGCCTCGCCGATGTTCTACACACACACACAACACAAAATATCAACTCGGACAAAGCTAGTGTACGTTGTGTAATCGATCGAGTCCCCCCGAAATTCCGAATTACGGTTTTGAGTGCGTGATGAAAGGCAGTCGGCGAACGGTTTGTTGTAGCTTGTGAGCTACAACAAGACAAGAAGACGTCCGTCCGGGGCGCAGAACGATGAATGGTCGGGTTACACGGCGGTTGAGTGATGAAGTTAGTAAGTAAGCCTTGGTTGATAAGGCGATTGGGAGGAGATAAACAACGGAAAACCTACCTTACCTACCTACCTAACCTAACCTGACAGGCAATACTTATCGATTGTATCGCGCATCTTCAAAGTTAAAATAAAAAAAGAAAATGGGTGTCAGTAACACTAGGTTACAAAACTTCATCTTCATTCTTTTGTCTGGACTTTGCTACCTAGTCGTCTCTCCGTCCATCCATCAGGTTGTGCGCGGTTGATGCTGCATGTCAGGATTTCTGCCTAGAGGTGATACCGGATCCTGGCTGTTTGTGTCGGTATCAAGTTAAACCGGCAAAGACAAGAAGTTTTAGGCTGCAACAACACGTGGAAGGAAAAATATGGGGATAACGCCAACTTCCACTTACACGCGTTCGGTTCGCTGCTTATGTACTTCCATCGTTGTAGTTTGAAAGGGGAGGCATACCTGTGCGGAGATAACGCCCGTCAAATCGTCAACCTGGTTAACCTGTAGTAAACTGAGGTGCCTGGTCGAAAATCTTCTTTGAAACCCAACACCCAAAACATTGATTATCCAGATCATCGTATCACGATATGCCACATATGTAGCGTGCTACAGATTACAGTATCGGTACACAGCTGCAGCCAGCAACTAGCAGCAGCAGCAGCAGCGGGGCAGCGATGCATTTCCCTTCCATGTGTGTCTATATGCAGCCTTATGAGTTGAACAAAAACCAAAAACCCCATGTAAAATACTGCCATATCCTTGTGTTTCCTTCCTTGGCTTTGCTTCACCCAGTCAACCCATGAATCTTTTCAGTGCATGGCTCCCGCGGTAAGCAGGGCACACGTTCACCAAAGCCCAACACTACCTCCCAGCAGCCGGGATGGCGGGACCGGTGGGAGTCGAAACAGCGCCAGCAACTTGTGTGGCATCTCGCCCGCCTTTCCCTCGATCTCTTCCTCTGTCTCTCCTCCTCGGGTGGCTGTTTCCTTCTCCGCCGTCTGCCTTTCTGGAATGATGTTGTGGCGCTGCTGCTCCACCATGGCCCTTTGGACCTGTTGGTATCGCTGGTGTTGCAGAGGTTGACGCAGCAGAAGCGACGACAGCTCCTTTTCCTTCGCCGGGGGGTGGCCCATCCTTCTTACCACCTGGACCTCCTTTTCCTCGCCCACCTCTCCCTTCACCCTTCCGTTCTCCCGTCTTAGCTTCACCACCTCCCGGCTTTCCAGTGCCCTTTGCAGTGGCATCTCCGCCAGCCTTTGAACTTTCGGCACCATTGACAGTGTCTCTGCCTCTTCCTTTGCCCCTTGCCTTGTCACCCTTCTCCTTCCTCTCCTCTTTCTCTGTAGCCTTTCTCTTCCTCTCCTCTTCCTCTTCTTGTAACCGCTTGCTCTCGGCATCCCACCATTCCTGGAACGCCTGCTCCTCTTGAATTTCTTGCAAGGACCTCTTAGACATAGCACCCTTGATCCGCTCTTGCTCGAGCTTCTGCTGCAGAATGATCTCCTCCATGCTAAAGCCGAGCAAATGCTCGTCCTTGCGCGCAGGAGCAATATACACCTTGGAGTGTGGGACGATTGGTTTGCTGGAAGAGTCTCCGAGGCTTGGGAACTGCTGGGCTGAAGGTTGGGGACTCGGACGGGGGGCTGAGGAAGAGGAGAGTGTGGGTGTGGACTTGGACTTGGAATTAGGGTTAGCGGTATGAACACTGTTGTTGCTTGACGTTCGCTGACCGGCAAATCGCGTGTCTGGCGATGCTGTCCTTCGGACGACGGGCGTAGCCTCTGCTGTTACCAGTGGCTTGGCGACTGGTGAAGAAGAGACGGGAGGATTGACATGTGGCGGCGCTGGCTTGGCCTTGTTGGCAGTAACCATCTTCCATGGAGGCGGCGCCTTCGATTCAGTGTCACCCCAGGCCGGCTTGTTTGCAAGGGAAGCCTTGGCAAAGTGCAAAGCTGCTTGAGCTGCCGCCTGTTCCTGCTGCTGTTTCTTCCTCTCCTTCTGAGACAGCTTGGGCTGTGCAACCTTTGGCGCCGATGTCCCTTCCTTGCCCGTCTGCTGTTGCTGTTGTGCAGCCAAACCCTCTGATAGGGCTGACCGACCTGCTGCAACTGGCGTAGTTGTGGTTTCCAATTGGATGATATCCCGCAAGCCGACCTTCGAGGCCGGCATCGGGGCGTTCGCCCATGGAACTCCTCCGGCTTTCGTCGCTGGCGATGTTCCGGCCTGCAAAGAACTGCGTGATGCCATTGCAGGCGACTGCCCACTCCGGATCGGAGCTTTGCCCTTCCATGAACTGCCTAGTGTCGGGAACTGGTCCTTATCCACTGCCGAACTAGAGACCTTGGGAGCCTTGGCACCAAGGGGCGTACTGAGCGTAGCCGGACCGTCTTCTTCCATGTCAAAGATGAGATCGGCTTGCGACGTTTTTGGCTTCAACTCGGGGCTATGACCAAATGGTTCATTCCTGGCAGCCTTTGACGCTCTCCTAGTTTTGTCAGCAGCAGGCGTAGACGCTGATGCATCATCAACGCCACTGCTACCCTTGCCTTTGAAGGCCGTGGAAAGCTTTCGATCATCTTCCCTTGAAGCTCTGAACGCAATCTCCTTAACCCTGATCTGCCTCTCTTCATCGATATCCTGAGCAAGCTCTGGGTGAGCTTCATGAAGCAGCATCTCAAATCTGCCACTCCTTACAAACGGCGACTGGGCAGCCTGGTTGTCACGAACAATCGCGTCTAGCTCCAGAAGCAGGTCATCGTCCAACTCATCAAGCAGGTGATTTTCGAGCATTGACTCCAGCTGTAAGCAGATGTACTCCAGCCCGGCATCTCTAAACTCAGTAATAGAGCATGGGCTGATGGCATTGAGAAAGTTGGCAATGTTGCGAATGTTGGCAAATCTTCCCATGATGGTTTGGCAGATCTGTGACAGCCTGTCCAGCATAAGGTAGTTGGCCATAGACATCACATCCATGACAAGGTCAAGGAAATCCGCGAACGTTTCACACATGGTGGGGTCAAACAGCTCCGCGCCGTAGTCGCCATACAGAAACCGAAGCACGTAAGCGAACGCACTGGGTTCCATATGCTTGAGATCAATCCTGATCCTCTCGTTCTCGATTTCTGCTTCTTCTCGACGCGTAGCCAGCCAAATGCCCCTGGATCGTCCGTGGAAAAGCACCTGGAACCAAGGACATCTCTGACACAGAAAGGAGCTGTGGACGGCAACTTCCCGGCCGTCGAGTTCAAGAAGGATATCGCCGTCGCCAAAGAAGGTGCGGTCCTTGATGGCTAGTCGGAAATCATCATCCATGCATTTCTTGGGGTCAACCTGCAGCCGGGCCGCTGCCTCAAGATTATGCATGTTGAGACGAGTGGCAAGCCTCATGACCTCCTGGCGAACCTGACGATATCTGTAGGCCAATGGCGGGGCTTGACGTGTAAAGTTCCATGCCGGTATCACCTTGTCCTCGTACATGAAGTGAACGAAGTTGAGCAAGGTGATCACATCCAAGCCCTGAAAGATAAGCAAAGGCTTTCCATCCACATTGCTGATCGTAAATGCTTCGTGCTGAACATCAGAGCTAACCCTCCGCGAGTGGGCCAGAGCATGCCGTATCACGGAGCTACGGGCGGAGAGGAGCCAGGCGTGAACTGGAATCCGAATATCCGGAAGGGATGAGCTGCATACCAGGGCGTCCAATGGTTGGTGAAGATGATTCCATTCTACAAGGTACGACTCCAAATCCTCTTCCAGATCCGAGGATTTGAGCACTTCATATGCGACGGATCCGAGGTTGGACTTTAGTGTCTCATTTCCCCAGAATTTGACCTTCTCCTTATTCCTGACTCTCGGCTTCGGCTCAGATGCTCTAAAATCCGCCAGAGGATTGAGTGGTGCCACATCCTTCCAAAGAGACTGCTCAGAAACCACGAGCTGTTCCTTCAATACATCCAAGTCTCGGCGAACCGCAGCAAACGCACCGAAAGGTGATGCTCTTACTGCGGCAACCTTTGTGATATGCGGCACTCTTTGAAATTTGAAGTCGTTGCGCTTTGATTCCGAAGACCACGAGTAGGCGTCTTTGACTTTTGCTCGCTTGATGCGGCGCCAAACGGCTCCAGAGTGGGTGCTGATGATAACCGAGCCATACTCACCCACTCCAACCGACCGCACTCCATCCTTTCTGGCGCTCCAGATACATTGCGGCTGGGTTACAGCACCCTTGATCTTGGAAGGATTGGTGGTAGAGGTTGCCGGTGGGTTCGTCTCCATCTTGTGGTCCAAATGCATGGTGAACAGATCTCCACGCTTTGTCAAAGCGGCAATCGTCTCTCCACCGGACGTGATATAGGAGATCTGGCTCCTACCTGGCTCATAT